CCCCCCCCCCCCCCCCCCCCCCCCCCCCCCCCCCCCCCCCCCCCCCCCCCCCCCCCCCCCCCCCCCCCCCCCCCCCCCCCCCCCCCCCCCCCCAAAACCGCGTGCTAATTTAGTAGTAATGATAATGATATCGGTAATAATTTGCTCAGGGCTAGGTGAATCGGGGCCTATTCTTCTCGAGAGGAGTTTCCTTCCAGCCCTCCTTTCTACCTAAGGTACCTACATATATGGTACTAGTGAATAGGTAAATTAGAGTAATCCTTCGCGTTTTCTTATTGGTTTTTCATCTTTGAAAAAGGGGATCGTTTCAAAGCAAGACGAGAGGAGAATGGATGTTTTGACGAGCGAGTGAGAGTCTAGACCGTTTTGCTTCTTTTAGGTCCTACAATGCACAATCGGAGTAAGGCTACATTTGTGAGATGCAATCGAAACATTAGCGTTGGCGTACCTGTGTTACGTGTAGCGCAGCAGCCGAGTCCACTAGGTACCTTTACATAAGGTACCTACCTACCTAAGGTACCTAGGTATCTAAACCTTATAGCTGCTTAGATAATCCTACATGGTTCCTTATCGCCAATTATCGATAAACACCTTATCATCCGCGCACGTTTTTCCGTCCGAAGAAAAAAAGTCCCATCCAGGTGCGTGTGGGAACTTTTTTTTTTTCTGGGATCCGTCTGAACTTTAGCTTGGCAGCAAAATTGTTCGGAAAAGCTTCAATCAAAACCTTTTTCTTTTTTTCCGAATAAAAGATTCCGTCCTCACCCCCCCTCCTCCAATTGCGCGAGAACGTGATCCGGCCAAGTCCCTAATCTCGAGGAAAAAAAGAGAAACATAACATAATATCGTAGAGGTTCAATTGACCTCGTTATCGCACGTCGTCATGTCGAGAGGAGCGCCGCGCGGTCGGGGCGGCTTCGGTGGAGGTCGTGGTGGTGGTGGAGGTCGAGGCGGTACGTCGTGATGCTTTTATATATAGATACCTATATATGCAGAGACAAACTCGTGAACTCGACAAAATACAAAATACTAACTTGATCGCGAAACGACGACAGGCCGAGGCGGATTCGGACAGCGCGACTTCGGGCCGCCGGACCAGATCCTGGAGATGGGCAGCTTCCTGCACGCGTGCGAGGGGGAGATGGTGTGCGAGAGCATCAACCCGAAGGTGCCGCACTTCAACGCGCAGATCTTCCTGGAGAACAAGACGGCCGTCGGCAAGGTCGACGAGGTCCTCGGCCCCATCAACCAGGTCTACTTCACCGTCAAGCCCTCCGAGGGCATCCAGGCCGCCTCCTTCAAACCCGGCGACAAGTTCTACATCGGCTCCGAGAAGCTCCTCCCCCTCGACAAGTTCCTCCCCAAGCCGAAACCCCCGCCCGGCGCACCCAAGGTCAAGAAGTCGAGCCGTGGGGGCCCCGGAGGCGGTGGTCGCGGAAGGGGTGGGCCGATAAGAGGTGGTGGACGAGGTGGATTTGGCGGCGGGTTTGGTGGTGGTAGAGGTGGTCCGTCAAGAGGTGGCCGCGGCGGATTCGGTGGTGGTCGCGGAGGCGGCGGTCGTGGTGGAAGCGGTGGATTTAGCAGAGGTGGTGGTGGTGGCAGTAGGGGACGGGGCGGTTTCAGCCGAGGAGGAGGTCGATTCTAAACCCAACAAGAAAAAAAAAAGCTGGGAAAGCGAAGATTTTCTAATACCCCCCCTTCCCCTCCCCCCTCCCCTGGTGTGATACTCCTACCGAGGCACACAGCTGCTACTTTGGCTCCCAGCCGTCCTCTTTCGTCGTCCTCGTCGTTAGTGGCCTGGCCTGGCCTAGCTTTCTGATTCCAAATGTTCTTCTCTCTCACATGGTATGGGAATGGCGTTACGAAGGAAAGATGTTTTTTTATTCTGATTATTTTTCTTTTTTTAGAGAAAAAAAATGTAAATGTTCCTCTTTTTTTGTTCCACCTTCACATCTTGCTGTCTTGCTGTGTTGTGTCTCTTGTTGCCCACCGCCTGCATAGGTACCTCAACCCGAAAGAAAAGCTCCCACTGCGCATACCGGTTCTCGTGTAAATATGCGTTGGTTACCTCATACGAGTGTCTATTGCGTGGACTTGGTTGAACTGGTGATATTATAGTTACATAACTACTACGCATGCCGTTTGAGTTTCCATACCAAGGTGGGTGAGTGTTTGAAAGGTAGGTAACTAATGGTAACGCGGCCTGTTGAGTCTTGATAAGTTATACTCCTGGTATTCTATACCTACCTACCTAAGGTACCTACCTACTAAGTTAATATCGAATTCGAATGCTGCGTACTGGAAGACAATATGCGACGTTGACATGTCGAAAAGCCATTGGTTCTCTCTCCTTTTCTCCCCTAAGCCTTACCAGTAACAGTAACTTCGATATACAACGTGAACCGGCATCTCCTTATAATAGGTATACCCTTCGACTCCGCCGCAGAAGGGGATACCTTCTATCGAACCACACACGGCTTCTTTATCAGGTTAGATAGGTAGCTACACAGCTCGATCTCCTCAGACGACTAGGTAGTCACAAAATATACACGACAGTAAGATCCCGAAGACCATCTTAAAGAAAAAAAAACTTCATATTTCCTACTGGCGTATACCCATACCCTCATTCATATCTACCACGTGTTATCCCATATCGATATTGATAACCGTATTCCATATCCATACTCATATTCATGTTCATGTTCATTCATCCCTGGCCGGTTAGGTTACCACGCCACGACACGTGCGGGGGATACCGGTACCCAAGGTATCTTATCTGTCTCTCTCCCATCCAAGCATCTCGTCTCAAGGAAAAGAAAAGAAAAAAGAGGAAAGGAATTGCACGAACAATCAAAGACGCTTGCCAAGCGCCTTGCCAACCCCCTTTTTTTTGTGCAACCCGGCGAATCTGAGCAGTTGAGAAGGTATACAAGAAAGAAGGGGAAAAAAAAGAAGAGAGAGCCGACGCAAACTAACGCCACGCGGAGGAAAAAAGAAAACTTTGACAAAGGTATACTTCCAGCATCCCTCACTAATACTCAAGCTTCAATCCGTCCATCAATCCTTCTTTCGAGAATACGCAAAAAAAAGTAACGTCGTATCCAAACCGCCCAGGCCAGGAACTTGTTCCTCAAGTATGGCCGTGTAGCGTGTATTCTTTAATTCAAAACCACACCATACACCATGTAACTTGCCCGTAGGATATCGGTTATATCTAGTCGCATCATAAAATCCGCGTAGACATCTAATAAGCCCCAGGTGTAGCACCCGGTGTACTTCGCGGGTACTCGCCAGGGACATGGGGGTTACTATTCGTCCTGCCACCGTACGGTCTTGGTTGCCCAATCTGCACCGAAAAGGGCATTCCGGTAGCCATATTGGGTAGCGGCTTCACGAACCCGTTTCCAGCTCCGACTACCTGCGCTTGCTGGTCCCTGCCTTGTATGCTATATGCACCGGTGCTCGGCACATATTTCTGCTGGGCGTCGGTAGCCGTCTCGTATGCGTCGGGATTACCCGAATCTTGACTAATAGTAGTCTCCAAAGTCTGCATCGTGCTATTAGATGCCGGACCCGGGATGATTACTGGCCGGTTCGGCGGGCCCCTTTGCTGTTGCTGCTGCTGGATAGGTTCCCCGTTGTATGGATTTATGCCATCTGCCCTCGCTTCATTGTCAATAACTACTGCTTGACTGTGCGCCTGGTCTAATCTGACGCTTGGGGTATTTCCGTAGGTTTGACCAACTAATTGAGATGCCCTGTTTCCAGGATATGGTTCGTCCATTCCGCCGCCGGGTAATGCGCCCGCCGCTGCGATTACGTCTCTATCTTGATTGATGGCCCCGTTAGCGCCGCTGAGCACATATTCGTTGCCTACAACTCCGGAACCGACACTACTGGGAGAGCGTGGTACTTGTAGGCCCCTCTGCGCGGTGACTTGGATGTCGGATGGGAACCGACCTCCTGGCTCAGGCCTATTCTGCATAGAATCCTGTCGAGAATCTGGGCTAGCAACAGTAGGGTCGACCGAAAACGGCTCGTCATCCTCATCATCCACAATGCCATCTGAACTCGAAGTACGCTGCGAAGCTTGCGAATATGCGCGAGAGTGGCCTCGAACGAAGTCGCTAAGCTCTTCGGGTGACTTCTCGGTAAGAGCCTTAATATCTTCATACCAAGCCATCATGGTATCGTGGCTTTCGGCGCGGAAGACCCAAGTATGACCGCGGTGCATAGCCCCGGTCTGTCGCCCCTTTAGAATGAACTTGTTGGAAGAGCCACCTTCGGTGGAGTGGGATCCAAGCTTCTGCTCGGGAAGATACAAAGACATGACGGGTGCTTGAGTCTTGTCTGCGGATTTGAATTCGTGCAGATGAGTCGGCGATAACACATACCTATACATCACGTTAGCTTATTCTTGTCTCCGCTTCTTCACAAGTGACACCTCACCATCCCGCTGTATAACTCTTCAAGTACTTGCTCTTCCGCTCAAGTAGACCCGCACGGATCTCCTGACAAGCAAAATGATCTCGGCCTGGGTAGTGGATGTGTTCAGCCGATCTCAGGGGCACGTCAGGATCGACAAATTGTGGGTCTCTCTGAATGAAATTAATCCACTCGTGGTCCTTGGGCATCGATATAGGACCGGCACGCAGTTCGTCGATGGTGTTATAAGCCGCATCTGCTTCTCGCTTGATAATACCCAAGTACGCGTTGTACGATTTCTGAATTTCGCCGACAACAATCGACTCAAGTTCTCTACCTGACGACTCGAGGTTCAAGTATGCCTGTTTAACTGTGAGATTTCGATACCATCTACGTGTAGTAGGAATCATTTTTACCTTGTGTAAATAGTTCTCTTCGTCGAGTTGCCTTTCAAGCTGGCGATCCACCGCAAGTCGCAAGAGGTATGGATCCTGCTTGCCCGTAGTCAGAGCGGAGTCTAACTCGGTCTGCCCTAAGGCTTCTTGAAGCGCATTGACAGCCTTCCTGGTATTCTCCATTTCCTTCTCGACCGAGTTTTTAAAGTCGCTAGACAAGCTCTTAATCTCTTTTATCTTCTGGTTGAGATCGCTTCTTAAGCCGGTCAGCGCTAAAATAACATCCTGCTCGATTTCCTTGGCTTTGGTGGCCTCTATGATCATGTTCTTATGATAGCCTCTTAAAATTTGCGCAGCATCATCTAGTCCACCGGACGTGAGGAATCCAGGCGGTGCTGACGTGTTGTTAAGCACGTTGGCGAGCTTGATAAGCGACTTGGATCGATGCTCGTAGTGCGATTGTATTTCCCTAAAATATGCAATGAGATCCTTGAGAATCTTCCGCCAGGCTACACATTCAGCATTAGCGATAAATCAAACGTACGAATGAACAGACATGGAAAATGACGCAACCTACACTGAAATCTCTCGGCTAGTACTTCCGTCGGGTTGCCCGAAGTCGGTACGGGACAATAGAATGCGCTGTGAATTTCGTCCGAATCATGGGAGCTTTGTAAGGCCAGACTTCTCATGCTGCCAGCGTTCATGCTCCTGCGACTGCTGCTGCGCTTGAGACTACCACTCCTGCGTAGAGAGCTCTTCTTCTTAAGGGTATTCCCCCTCGACAGGGATATAGCATGGGCACCTACGCCATCGCCGGTAGTGAGTGTTTCGGGTCGCGAAGATATCGAATTCGACCGCTGCATGGTGGAGTGCTGGTAGTGGCTCTGCTGCGATGTTGGACCGTCGACGACTGAGTCTCCTCTCGCACTGGCATCCCACTCTTCGGTAAACTTGGGTTGACGATTCGCTGTTTGGTAGGTATCGTTCTGGGGTGGCGCGATGTGAGAATTCGCTAGCGTGTTGGTCAAAGTTTCGTCATTTACTTGAGCCTTTTGTGGCTGGTGATAGGCAAAGTAGCTCCCAGAATTAGGTCTCGCATAGCCAGCTGTGTTACCGCTGGTAGGGAATGTTGCGGGATCTAGGGTGGCGGTGGGTTGATTCATATTGGGGTCGATAGTGGGCAATGGTGGGAGATGATGGGCGAATCGAGAGAGAGGTACTGAAGGCTCGGCAGAGATGAATGTGTTGACGTGGCTATAGACATAAATGCCGGTCAGAAGATAAGAAGTGACAAGGTTTGAGACTAATACATAGTATATAGAAAGCGGCCAGTCCGTGGGCTTAAGCAGCTCGCCGTCTCACAAGTCTTACCTGGTGTACCTTGCCTAGTACTATTAGATTTCTTAAAACGCGCGCCTAAGTAGCACCAAGTGACAACATAGATCGGTGGATGGTAGCGAGGTGCATAGAATTTGAGGTGGCTGGAGATGGTGGTAACGAATGGCGTCTTTAACTTTTCCCTAAGCAATAACCAGAAAGTTAGCTTTGGAAGGTTATATCATGTACAGATAGATAGTGGATTACTTGTCGGGCGGGCGTTCGTTTTTATGCTGCGATTAGAGGAGACGGGGAATATCCCAGTGTTAGAATCGAGAGCTTTTTAAAAAAAAATGAAAAACACGAATCGGGTCCATGTACCTGATTCAGGAATACTTCTTGTTGGAATCCGGGTGGTAGCTCGATTGGGCTCTAGTACAAAGTAAAATGAAGATAATTCATACCTACCAAGACCAATAATCTTGCGATTGAAGTGGGATTCGTTAATTGAATTCTAGAGCGATAGGGCCTGCGATGGGGAAACAGGACCAGGTCCCTGAATATGGAGAAGAAAAGGAAAAAAAAAGAAAATAGTAAGAGTTCGGAAAGGATGTGTGTGTAGTGACGATGATGTGGTTGTCGTCACCTTTGCGAGCCAGGATCTACCCTTTTACATCAATGTTAGGTGGTACCTATTGCATGTACCGTTCGCTACTGCTGCCATACGTAAAACCTTCATTTGCTAGGTACATACATGCACCCATAGTACATAGGTACCTAGGTAGTACCCATATCATATGCCACCTTATGCTACCAGCTGGCCGTTCGTACCATCCGCTTTCAGTATTTCGAGCTAGGTAAAGTCAAGGGCCCGGCAGAATCGGCGGACTAGGTAAGGACATCAGGGATGGTGGGGTTTGTTCAGTAGTTTGTTCGTTCTTGCAATTCTTGCAACGAGTTCTTTGTCAGACAATATTATGACGTAACCTATCCTCCGGGTTTAGCGTATACGGAAATATCCGCATCTTATGTCTCTCAATTTCTCTGATGGCAAACAACTTATCAATGTTAACCTATCGAGATTGATACCCAGACTTTCCATAAAAACCAGGTTACATATGCTGTGTTAAAATATTCGGTTAATCCAATGTAATATAATGGATTTATATCAACTTGCCTCAAGTACTAAGGTTATTATTTACCTAGGTGCTCGAAGATTCAGCCCTATGATTGCATAACCCTTCTAGGTATTATTTCAGTTTCTTTAGGTAGGTACCTAGGTACTTAAGCTTCCCTTTCCTTGCGTCTAGATAACGTGGCTCATCCATCACATGCGAATCCTTGGTTCCTCAACCTCAACCTTTACCTATGTGTAAGTGGAAATTTGATAGGCTATCGTTTTGCAGAAGCAAAACTGCTGCAAGAAGAGTTGTCCATAACTCCATATTACCCGCCAAAAATCTTCCTATGACCCTAGGTAGGTCCCGCCTCTAACCCGGAAGTATAAGCCACCTATGTTCCCCCGTTGCCATTATCAGTCTACAACCGTATGAGGTATACCCTAATTCATATGTATATAGCCGCTCTGCCATGCTGTACTGCTACGTTGTACCTGCATCTATTAATGCAAGACAGCTAGCTATACAGCAGTTCCAATTTCACGTGAAGATGTAAGAGAATTAATATCGCGAAATAACTTGTATCCAATTTTACTATAACTTATAACTCGCTATTGACCACCAAAACTCGGTGTCGGGTACTAGAATTATCATAGAACATTATGAACTATTTCTTACTGACTATAGCCTGCTCGGGTTGTTATTCGGTTGTTCCCTGCTTGACTCCAAGAGACTCCAAGAAACTAAAAATACCTCTCTGTCCCTCCCCCCTTTCCTGAACGCCTCGCCTATGCAAATGCTATTTCTGGGATCTTGATTCTCAATGCATTGGTTTCTCGAAACGCCATTTCCATGTCAAAAACCGCCATTCTCACACGACACGATAGAGTCCAATCTCCATCGCCGACGAAGTACCCCTCACCTATGATTAATCGAATTACGCCTTTGCTCTTTTTTTTGTATGCTCCCTAAGCCTCATACAAGCTCCGATATAGACCTCACCGTCTCCGTGGTCGTGGTATGCTTAATCCTTCCTTTACGTCTCGGTGGTGGTGCCTTAGGTGGCGCCTTCTTAACATTCCTAGTACCATTTTCAAGTACCGTAGACACATACGGTACTCCGTGCCGATGCTTCGGTACCTCGGGAAGCGGTTTCTTCGGCCTGGTTGGCTTCGACGCTTCTTTTGTTCTATTCTCTCCGCGGCTAGAATTTGGACGGGGAATCTCGCCCTTGACTTCCTCTCCATTATCAATTATAGGTTTAGCTTTAGCCGCAGTCTTGGATTCAGTTTCAGGCTGAGCTATGGCTTCGACTTCAACCTTCCGGCTTGGCGTCTGGACGCCTGGTTTCTCCATAACCGCCGCTACGTGCACGACGCTAACGTTGCTAGCGGTCTGCTCGTGCGAAAGGCTAATACCAAGGAGTTTGCGTGCGATCTCTCCAGAACCGGCGCCTTCATCAGACAGCCAGTTAACCTTGGCTACGCGATCGACAAGTCTTAGAGTTGTCTCATCCACTGGAGCGAAATGATTATTTCCCGATCCGGCGAGTATCCTCAACAATTTCTGCACCTCGTCTTTTTTGTAGTGGGGTGGCTGGCTAAGTTGCGTATGTGCAAGCAAAGGGTACATGACACGAAGGTACGTATGCCGTAAAGCCATCAATTCTTCTGGCAAGTCGAGAAGGTTACGAATGATGACATCAAGAAGCACTCGCAAGTCATTAGTATAAAAATATTCGTACGTTGCCTTGGTGGTAAAAAGTAAGTATAAAAGCTTCAAAATGAGAAGCTGTAAAGACGTCTCGGTTTCGCGGTTAAGAAGCAGTATGATATTTTCGCCGAAAGTTCTATAATTCGACCCGTGTAAGCTAAGGCACTTAACAACTTTGTTCGTCAACGGCGCAATCAATACGGGGTCATTTAACGCGGCTGTGGATGCGACCATATATTGCTCATTAAGGACAAGCTAGTGGTATAAGTTAGTATATAAATAAAACGCGTTTCACGGGGAAGGGGGTTCGACCTACCAGGACTCGGATGATGGGATAGTGATATGGATCGTGCGCGTCATCGGAAAAGTCCTCGATGAGTCCGAATAGGTAAGTTACGAATCCATCATCGACGTGTAGCAAATCTTCAATGCGAAGCTGCTCGATTCGCGACATCTCATACATCAAATCTAACAGTAGTCGATGTAAGCTCGGATCGTCATCTCTTCTCCCATTGATGAGTTCAAGTAGACGGTGGAAGCAACTCTCCTCAATCATCCTTTTGAAAGTGGATTCATCCGCTCGACCATCGATCAGGAGGAAATTAGCAATTACATATAAGGGTCCGGGTTCATCTTCCTGCAGTAAACTATAGATAATCTGCGTGCGCACGTATTCCGGGTTGATGTGGAAGAGGTTCCCATGGAGGAGGATTTGCGAGCAGTCGGCAACATCATCCCCGGACTCAGAAAACTCGTCTCGACATCGCGACGCGAGATAAAGCCATGATCTCAAGGCGTCATCGATAGTCTCGTGGGCCTCGGCAGGACAATTAGTAGCGACTACTTTACTCAACTCTATACATAGAAATAACGGGTTAGCTAGGTTTCTAAGGGGGATGGGAGGAGCAGTGTAGACGAACCAATCCATAATTGTTCCTCATTCTCTATTGAGGAACTATGTTCGAAGTCGGCCATATTGAAGATTAGAGCCCCGTCAACATGTCCGGCATCGCGTCAGGAAGTCCGACAAATCTGAGGGCGCGATGAATGCGCGATGGAAGCTAATGGGATAAAACAACAAATGATGTTATAGTTAACGGGTCTGCGATGTGGAATCATAACCGAACCTAGGCCTCCATAAGAGTCCGCGTTGTGGCTGGGTCCCCGTAATATGGAAGACGAGAGTGAGTTAAATGGCCGATCAGACGTGGTTGTAACAATTAAAATGGGCTGGCGGGTTTGGAAGGGTTGGCGTAAAAGGAAGAAATAGGAAAAAAATAAAATAAAAAAGAATAATGTTAGGTAGGGTAATGGTTGTAATGCCAAGGGTAATCCAAGTACCTAAGGTACCTCGTACGGATAGCATTTTTCCATTTTCTCCATAAACTTCAAGGGCCATTTTTAGGTTTATGAACTCATAATCTCCAAGGATGTCTTGTTATCTACCTCCTTGTAGCTATTAATTTAAGTGCTATGCAAACGGTTATCATTAATTCAACTGCGGGGCCCGGGACTTGGCGTTCCTGGTTACACGTACGTACGTACGTTACGTAGTCCGGGCAGTCGAATCTGATACAAACATACAGTTTCTAAGACCTACTTAGCCATCTTAGTAAGACACCAACTTAGCCTTTAATCTACCAGGTGACTCGTCAGGTTGAATCTTACTACATGAATTATTACAGTTTTTGCATCATCTGTGATCAGGTGCGCCGAGGAAAAAAAAAGTATTGACCTAGTACCTTCAGTACATATAACAATCTAAACAATTGGGAATACAAAGTATCCAACCCCATTTGTGGCATGTGTCAGTTTTATTAACCATTAAATGTAATCTATTTCAATGTACTGTAGAGAGAGAAGCTTATAAGAGGTATATATTATATTAGCTGTTAATAACAAATATCATCAAGCAAAATGCTACGGTCCTTTAATGATTGCCACACCCGAACATAACATATCTGCAGTATTGCTATATTAGGTACTACTAAATTTATCGTGCACTAGGATTCAGAATTTCCTTCTCTTTAGGTATCTAACCCATATATAGGTGAATTATTTTGTCTTTTTATTGTCGAGTTCAGACGCCTGCAAATGCTATCTAACTACCTAGGGTACAGCCAGAATTCTGTAACAAATCAACTATATCTACATTCGGCCTCGAGCTGCTACCTCTAAGAAAGACACCCTGCCACCTATGTCAGCATTGACGGTGCAAAATAGGATTTTGGCGCACTAGGTAGTCTGACCGGCAACCTCCTTGCTCTGATTATGGCCAACGCACCGTATCATACTCCCACCTCTTACGATTTCATCTTGGCTGGTATCCCACCGCCAACGAGCATGCGAGCTCAATATAAAACAGCGCAATTAGCTGTGCAGTCAACCGCAAACGAAAAGGAAAAGCCCACCCCGTCTAATCTGGTCCGAGAATGCGATGCTGATAACTTGATACGCGCTACGAATTGAACAGGCTAGCGAGGCCATCCAGATTATTGTCATTCCCATTCTCCCCGCCATTGCTTGTAGCGCCTGGTCCCGAAGCATCATGGCTGGATACTGGAGCAGTCATGAATTGCTGCGCCATTTTACTGCGGATCGGCCTCTTTGCTGAAGGAGCCTTGGTAGGCATTCTGGTGCTTTTGCTCAACTTTCCCATCTCTGACACGCTCACTCCTTTTATATCGCCTAGCAATTGAAGGACAACTGCTCGTTGACCGCGCGAGCTTGTTTCCCTCCTCAACATGTATTCTATCCCGCTGTCCACGTCACTTTGCTTCACGTTGGGAAGCGAGAGTAGTACATCCCTCGCTGTTTTTGTGTAGTCGTTGTATGTCACAAGGATAGTGGCGATAAGCGAAGCGAATTCCTTCTGCAGGTCAACAAAATATGGCTCGTGAATAGAAGTGATGCATGCTTTTACAACATCGGACGATATATATTCGCGGATGACGGCGGTGGTATCAGACGGAGGAAGGCCTGTTGTAAATTCCGGAATGATAGAGCGGAAAACCCTCAACATGATGCCGCAGCACCGAGAATCATGCCACCTTATCGCATGGGTGCAGAACATCAGGAGGGGCTCTACGACAGAGGAATGCTCTAGGCAGAACTCTCGAAGTGTAAGATGATTTCCCGTATCCTTGCCATCTAGGAGGGAGTCAGCATATCAGATATCTCGCAAAAATGTGTAATAAGTCGCTAATTAGTCTGGACTTACTGAGTCGAGCTGGATCTAAAAAGTCAGCGACCATCATCACAGCTGCATTGGTCAATTGCCTCAGGATACTCTCTGCTTTCATCTCCTCAGTTAGAGCGTCTCCTCCCGTCTTTACCGCCTGCTGATGCTCAAGCTTCATCCATTCCGAGTTTATCCTGGCATCCATCTGCTGACAACACGCGGCCAGAATTGGTGGGAGGAAATGCTCTCTTAGAGGGACCGGGCAGTTGTCCACCAAGTATCTAACAAGGTTAAGGACATTAATCAACTGGTGAGCGGAAAGACTGAAGGAATCTGCAAGGAGAGCATGAGCCAAGGGTCCTGGAAGCTCGCTGAAGCCGTAGAAGTGCACGTCTAGACGCGTCATGCAATATATGATTGCGTAGCATGATTCGCGCACAAAGCGTATGGAACCTCGAATCGTCGAGGCGAGCCCCTCTAGGGTGAGCTTCTTCTCGAGTACGCGAGCGTAAAACTCGTCTTTACTACCTTCTGAAATACCGGCCTGCCAAAACCTGTCGGTGAGGACGCGACCGACGATTGTTCTCATCTCGGGTGGCAACCCCGTCCAATTGTCAGGGGTATGCGAAGCGTGTGCATGGCTAGTAGTGCATATCAGTATATGTACTACCGCTTGTGGGATATATAGGGATTCTTACGTTAAGAAATTAAGGAGTTGGGGAAGGATAATTGGGAATCCATCTTGCCACAAGGCACACGAGACCTGGTATGGATTAGTCCCCTTTTCTACCTTATCGGCGGAACAAGTCAGGAATGACTTCGCAGGTCGTAGCGGAAGAACCTATATGCTATGTCAGCAAATAAGTTCGGATATAAGGTAAGGGGCGTCCTAACAGTTTGACGCTCTTCAAGCTCGGCTTGTAATGCTTGTCCCTCAGCATCGAGCTCAACTGAACCCCAGTCTGGAATGTTTTGCATCTGCATTCGCGCAAGATAGTTCTGCGCTTTGTCAAGAGCCATAAGCTCGCAAAATCCGGCATATGATGACAAGGCCTGCTTGAGGCGGTCATCTTGCCACTGAGCTACGACGGGGTCAATGAACCCGCGTAGCTTTTGAGCTTTGGTAGCCTCGTCGAGTCGGGTGGAACGGTGACTAGGTCGGTTAGTATACCTTTGGGACACTTTAGCATCTGATGCTTACATTATCGTAAATAGAAAAGTCTGGTAGTTGATTTGGCGCTTCTCGTCGAGTGTTCCTGAAGCAATCATCTCGTTCACTTTTGCCTCTATCTGGTCATAAACATCCTGAGAACCTAGTTAGCACAGATAGTCAAGTATGATAAGGAAACGGGATTGTATTTCTGACCAGTAAATGATCGGGCATCTTGACGGCAAGTCTCTGAAGCTCTACCAAGCTCTCCGTCTGCAACTCCTTAATTGCATCTGTGTATACACGGTAATCGGGATGCGTAGCTGGCCAAGTTACGAGAATGTGTTCCAGAACTTTAAGCATAAAGCCTGCGTTCCGATCAAGCGCGTTGATGGAGAAAGCAACAAGAAGCTCTAGAATTCGTTTTCGGATAAGAGGATCCTATATTGGTAAGTAAATATCGACAGGGTGCCAATACAAGAAAAGCATACCTCAAACTTCATGGCTAGCAGACGATTGCACCATGATTCTAGACTTGCTTCTACTGCGTTTCGCTATTATAACGTGTTAGTACTGCCCTCTGTGCTAAATAGAATATACGCTTATACTGACCTCCTCCGCAGTAACATATGAGCGCCATCTCACGCATCCCTTTAGAGCTGCTTCGATTACTGTTGCCTGAGCGTCAACTCGGAGGACTTGTGGGGACGTCTTGGAGTAATTGGCCACTGCTGATGGTTAGACTGAAAACGTTATAAATTTAGGTGAGACGTACTATCGAAGGCTGGTCCATCACTGTAAAGATGCTCCAAGATGTTATCTGTTTGACCCAGGATATGTTGCATTGCGTCAGTTGTCTGCAACTCTACAATGAGCTCGATCACTGTTGAGCTGTAGCGTCTATAGTTTCCCAGGAAAGCATGTCGCTCGGGAATCGTGTCTGTATCTTCTAATAGGAAGAGAAACGTAGGGTCTTGCGTATCGTCGGGCAAGCTTTCATACCGAACAAGCCTCGAACTACAACATTCTAGAAGCGGCCCAATGAGCGAAGGCAAACTTGCGATGTTCCGTCCAAGAGACTCGTTACTTAAAAGCCGGGTCCACGTTACGAGGACGGGGATTGAGACCACCAAGCTCTGGCTTTGGGCAATCAGTAGAAGCAGTTGTAGGAATCCTTGGAAGTCGATACGGGATGGGTCGTTAGGTAAAACGTTAAAACGTCGGTCCATATAGGTCCCTAGGAATGAAATCACCTACACATGGTCAGTGAGTGGACATGGCAATTAAACCTCTGGTTAAACTCACTTCAGATAACTTCTTAGAGAATTGATATTTGTCGTCGTCAATATCCTCTGGATCAACCACGGACCACTGAAAAAGCTGTCTAAATAGATCAACGTATTTGCTGCTGTAGAGGGGAACGACGAGGTCTATAAACTCCTGGTCGACAAAGCTTGTTCTCGAATAGAAGGAATGTAAAGCTTCCAGAGAGGCCTTTAAAAATTAGTAACAGGTACAGAGAAAACTAGCAGAGCGGCTTACCTTCTGGACTTCGATATGGTTTGCACGAAGCCCCTCACACATCACTGGAACACACTGTGTAGCGGTGACGGCATTGGGAACGACCCAGGGCAGTAGGGAGTAGAGCACGCCGAGAGCACGAACGGCACAGCTTCGCACTTCTGAGTCGTTTTGTATATCTTCTGACAAGCAACGATTTAGAAGGTCCGTTATTCTTGCAAGCCAGCCTTCATCACCGCATCTCACATCTGGCCCAGCCTGTCTCTTAGGGAACGTTTCTATTAGGACAGCAGCGGGTGTGAAAATCTCAACAGACGCCTTACTAAGGACGCCCTCGCGGACTGCCACCACCGGATCGTCGCCACTAAAGATGTCGTCTGAGAGCATCTCTAAGATACACAAGACAAGCTCCTTGTGTACCGCAGGGCCTGACCATAGTTGGCAAAGTAAAGCGTCCATGTCCATCCACTCTCCAGCCCAGGTCCTTTTTGCAACCTCGACCCATAACAGGGCAATCTTGTTCCTCAAGTATGTAGGGTCTTCTCTGGTTATACCTCGTGAAAGCTCTAGAACGCCATTGCGCAGGTCGGCAGCCTGATCTTCGGTATAATCGGCCCATTTATGTTTGATTACGTATTCGAGGAGCGATAGAGCGTAATGTCGCACCACGGGAGACTGGGTCTTGTCGATAGAGAGGTGGAATCCGTAAAAGGAGGCATTTCCGTTGTTTTTTACGTCTTCAAGGAACATCTGGGCATCTTTACGTGTGTCGTTGGGAGAGTGAGGATTATGAATGACCTCTAGGGCCTTGTGAATTTTGGGTAGGACCTCCATGTTGTCGGCGCCAAAACCTACGCTGCCCGATCCCATATTGCCGTTGATCGCAGTATGCGCAGCCATCGTATTGGGGAACTGGAAGGTGCGCGGTCGGCGACGATCTTTGGAGGGGTGAGCGTGAGCTATCGACCAACCTTGGCTTCAGGTGTGAATCATCAGGCAATGTCCGAAGATTAGTTACGAGATGAAATGAAAGGCGGAAAAGATATGCCGAATTGGGGGTATAGAGATTCGGCACGGATCACTTTTTTGTAGATAGATTGAGAAAAAAAGAAAAAGAAAGTGTTGGATCCGTTAATACGGTTCTTGCTCAAGGAAAAGGTTAAAGGTTAAAGGTTGAAGGTGGAACGTGGAACGATGAATTATGAAATTATGCGCTAACTAAGGTACCGTGATTGAGGTTCGTGTCTGGCGGAAATTTACAGGTAATGTTGCTTCAGCTCGGCAGCAGACCGTATTGTTAGGTACCTATTGTACATAGTACCTTCTGCACGCGACGATTGGTGGGTCCACCTTAGGTAGAGTATATATGTGGCATACATGGAGACATGAATACATGGTAGGTACTACGTTAAGGCTTGAGCTCCCCTCTCTCTAAACCGTAGATTATGTACCTACATCGTACCTGCTGTAGACCAGTATCTGTGTAAAATACCTACAACGCATGTACGATACTAAACCAGCGTTATTAGGGTGTACCTGCCTCGCCCTAGGTACATAAACTCCAGTGCCATACAGCAAACCCCACCTTCAAAGGGCTTGTTGTCATGTACTATTATGTACTTGAACGCATAACCAATCAGTTATTTGATCAGGGAAGCCACCGTTCTAGAAGCACTAGAAGCACTAGAAGTCTAGAACATTTCCCTACAACGCCGCATGGGCCATGGCAACATTGAAACATTGACACGACTATGCTCCACAATATATACGCTCCATCAGAACCTACCTAGGTTGAACTGGACCGAATTATTTACTACCTATGTAGAGATGGGTTGGGTTTTACAAGGATAACATGTCATAGCCTCAGAAGTTGCGATTATCTACAATATTCCATACGGTCTAGTAATGTTGAGATAATTTGTAACTTTACGTCGCCAAGCTGATTAAGAACTACTATACACATATCACCGTTAGTTATGAAGGGTTCAAGCATACTACCTAGGTCCTAGGTGATTATTAGTATTCCCATAAACACAACAACTTGTCATAAAAGCTTGTTGACACACATCGGAGATTTCTATCTCCTACCTCGGATCCCGGTTGAAAATCGCTGCCGTAATTCATACTCTTGTGTTCCTCAACCCGACCCAGAACTTTGATCCCGCAAACCTCGGGGTCTGTGCTACCTGAGATCTCGAGTACCCGTGATCCCGCGTGCATGCATGAGGCGAGAATAAAGACTTTCCATGGCTGATTCTCATCCTCGGTGTTTTCTGCGGCCTCTTCCAGTCTTATCAATTTAAGTCTCCATACACCTCCTTGTAAGTTCTGCTCTGCTAACAACTTGGGTCTGTAAGGTGGCATGCCGTCTCTCCGCTCGTCAAACGTGTATACTCTAATGTAATCGTCATAACTTCCAGTGACAACGATAGAATCATGTGATGAAACGCGTAAGTTGAGGGGGAGTATAGCGGTTACGCCAGCTCCGTGACCCTTGGACACAATCGGTGGATAAGAAGCCTCTATTAAATCCCCTTCAGCATCATGACGAGCTGGATAGTATGCACAGTTCGTCGTAAGGAGTTTAGAGTCATCGCCTCCGGAGAACACTGCAAACTGCTCATAATTTTCTTCCGAAGAACCTGCCTCGTCCGGGATAGGCCTAGCTGGCGTTAACGACGAAAATGCCACTGTCCAAGCCTCGAGAGTGTGAGTTATCACAGGTCCATCGCAAGTTTTAGACGTGTCCCATAAGTCAGTCACGCGCAAGATATGGACTTCGTAGTTGGAGGTTGTAACCGCCAGGAGCTCGGGGATATGTGGGTGCCACGAGCACGACAGAAACAAAACTCCTTCATCATCACCAAGTGGTTTATGGGTGATAATTTCGTTTAGAGAAGCTGAAGACCCTTCTGAAACCGAAAGATTGAAGAACGAGAGGGTGCCAGTACTGGAAACGACAGCCAGTACACTAGACTTCTCCCGGCTAGGATGAAAGTGAAGATCAAGAATAGCAGAAGGGTATACAACGGTTTGTACGTGTTTTCTATCCAATGGTGAATTTGATATTAAATTGGAATAACGTAGATAAATAGGGCATATAAGGTAGCTTACATGTCTGCAATATTTAACAGTTTGAAGAGAACAAGACTGCCATTCCGAGTCTGGGCCTTTTTTATTTGCTGTGGCTCATCATCAGCTTCGGTGGTTATATCCGCCTCCGCCCCCGTCTCATCCTTATCCTCTTTTTGTAAGTTATACGTGCCAACGACGAAATAGTCCGGATGGCTTGGACAAAACTCGATACAGCTTGGGGGAAGATCGAGGGTTAGTGATTTCAGAGGCGTAATGCCACGTCCCTGCACGTCCATGACGTTTTTATGAGGCCTCTTCTACCGCGTTTATATTCGTCAACGGAGAATATGTCAGCAATTAGCGTAAAATTCAAGCCCCCGCGGAGACGTTGAGAAGAATTTTGAAGTTATTTTTGCTTTTTTCTTTTTCTTTTATACTTTATACTATGTAGAGAAGATAGTGGGGACTTACACTAAAATAGTGGGGCATCAGAGCTGCATGCCGGTTTTTGAAGCTGTGAAGAGCGGCTCGGAATCATCCCCGCTGAATAAACCCTGGAGCATTGGAGCCCTTCCAGTTAGGAGGTACTGGACCCGGTCTAATTAGCGCCCGAGCGCCCGGTTCCCGTTCCTCTTATGGAAAGACCGTGGTAACAAACGGACGAGCTATCACTGCCTGACTTGCAAGAACGAGGGGAAGTCGGGAACATTTGATCTGGCAAGAGCACATCAATCACCAGCAACCCTGGTCTCATGATGCAAGGACCTTTGGGGAATTTTCGACTAACTTATTAATGTTGACTTTACCTGGTATGTTTCCAATATTGTAAACCTGACTCGTTACATACCTACCTACCTAATTCAAGTTCTATCCTCCCCATATTTTTCTGAGCCTTTTATCACTTCTACTTTGTTATTCACATAGTAGGAGTTGCTATCTACCAAAATAACGTACCTAGGTACACAACTCGTCTATTTTAAATTGCAATTATGAGTTCCGAGGACTCAGATTTCTATGGTGGAGATTGTTCGGTTCTATTTTAACTGATGATAGGTTACTAACTAATAACTTTAGGCGACGATGAAGTTCTGGCAGATCTTAAAGCCAAAGTAAAGATATTCGACGTTGAAGCTTGGTGGGAGGAACAGCGAACTCTTGATACACCGCTCAAGATGCAGGCGCAAAAGAAGGAAGCTGTCGATATCTCTCACCTACATAACCCGTTTGCCAAACTCAAGAACGCTTGGCAACTTACCGAGACCATTGAAGAGTTTGTACAGCGCGTACCACCCGCAACAACAGACGAAACTCCGGAAGACCCTTGGATTTGGGTGTGTAATCCATATATCCCCCGCAAGAAGAAGCATGAAGCAAGTAATCAAACCATTCCCGGCGGCCAAGATGAAGCACCCGAAGAGATTGGAGCAGACCTGCCAAGTGTAGTTGAAGGCGGGATGGCAAGACTACATCTTGCCTCGGAATTCATCGACGCATGCAAAAGGTCTGGAAATCAGCCAAATATAATCACCCGAGAGTGCCGGAAGGCAGGTATAGATGCGGCTAAAGATATTCTTAATCTCGCAAGGGCTCTGCGTGTAAGATGCGGCAAGGTCAGTGGTTCACCTCGTACGAGTACATATTTGAGCAATTATTTCTGATTTATGCCAGTGGATGCTCTTCTGTTCTGTCCCCCAGGTCAACGAGGTCTGGGAGATTGTCGCCAAAGCTACGGCAAACAACGAGCTTGGAATTGGCGCCAAGGTGGCGCCACGATCGACTACTGATAAGAGGACGGACCGCCTCATCTGTGTCTACACCGCCGATTTCTCTGATACGCAGGACGTAAGGAGAGTGGCCGAAAGGTTGAAGCAGCTCGGACTTATCCAAGCTAGGGATCGACCAATATACTACAAACCAGGTAAGTCTATCAACAATCCGAACAAGATCACACAAGATGATGCTTACCAGATTAGATGTGTACACTTACCTAGGCATAGCACGAGGCAATCCCTGGGAGATAAGGGCCTCTATATACGACAGCAAGTCTATGCTTAAGAAGTCTTAAAGGGAGAAAAGAAGGCTATAATCGACGAAACTAGATAAATAAAGGGCCCTCGCAGAAAATTGTTGAATTTTTTCGCTACCCTTTACCACTGGGAGCTCGCTGCATGCATACCTAAATCAGAGACTTTGAGGAGTACAGGCACTAATCTGAGCGTGACCCAAATTGGATCTCAATGCTTGCTTGCTGTCCCTTTAACGCCGCTAAATGCATCGACCTTCCATGCTAATGCCATCCGAATTCCGCAAGCTGGTCTCCTAACATGCTCTTTTGCGTCGTCTGGTCTTCCGTAATCGTCCGTCAAGGGGTTTATATATCGCCCGCGGGTCACACTCTAAGTTTCACATCCAATTCCTACACCGATGCGGCCCATCTCACTACTAGTCAGGTTGCTGGCCAGCGTCGAGGTCTAGCGACTTTAAGAGCAATACAAGCCTATAGGCGCTGTTTCCATTTAGGTAATACCGATGGAGCTTCTTCGATCGTAGAAACCCTAGCCTTTCGTATAGCCTCATAGCTGGTATGTTTGTTTCTTCCGTTTCCAAGACGATTTCGTCGGCGTGGCGCTCGGCCATCGCATCGATCGCCATCTTTACTAGTGCGGTCGCTATTCCGTGGCCTCTGAAGGCAGATGACACGGCGAGCATGGCTATATAGCCTCGATGTGTGGGAGGGGAGTGGGACGCATGGTGTTCGAGCTTGCAAATGATGACGCCCATAAGAGATTTATCGACAGGATTGAGGGCCTAGTGGCAAGATATTGAAGAAATTAGTAAATATGTTGGAACAATGGAAAACAATACACATGCTGAGACTTACCATATAGCACAGATGAGCCCATTGGTACAAGAAATATCGGTAGACATATATGCTATAAGGCTCGCTGAGGTCCTTCGAAATCAGGGCCCGGATAGCGGGTAGGTACTTTTCCTCTAGGGAATGTTCGTATTGTATATATAGAAGCTCCCCGGGAAGCTCTTTCGCGCGCTCTATTTCCATAGCTTTTTCTTCAGGTCGCGTAGCGTATAAAATGTCTAGTTGTACTGAGGGATCCCCAAGAAGTTGAAGCGCCGCTATCGGTAGTTAATCGTCCGTCAAAGCCTGGAAATTTAGTCTTGTACAATACGCGGTCAATAAGGAGGACAAGTGTCCAAAAGAGTAATTTGTAAAGAGACGCGCCGTTGAGAAATCAGGGAGTGAGAGGCGTTATAATGGCTTGATACGGTTTAACACTAGAAAAGAGAGCCCTGAAGTTGACTAAGACGGGCAGATCGTCCGTTACAGTAATAAATTAAGACGAAGCTGACGAGACACGCCAGATTAGACGTGGCCCGCTTTCACATGCAAGCTAAAGAATTTATCTTCACGCGTAATCCGTACTTGGGTTACAATGGGTGGGGGGGAAGGAGGGGGGGCCTTTCGAGCTGACTTCTCTAAGATAGGAATAGTATCCGCGGGGCCGTCCGTTTTAGATGGGGGGTTAAAATGCAATCCATGCTTGTCCTGCAGCAATGGTAAGAGCGCGAGCGATACACCTCCGCCAGGATCGTACGTGTTAGCGTCTCCATAGCCCCATATAGATTCTGTAAGTAACTTACAAGGGGTTTTATATGGGAAATTCCCTAGCATTTACTTATTAATCTAGAATCTTCAGTCTTGGCTTGTGCGAAGAAAGACGTCTTGAACTCATAACGTATTTTTATCATAGAAATTACCTTGTAAGTTACTTGAATGATAAAGTATGGAACGGTGGAGACGCTAACACGTACGATCCTGGCGGAGGTGTACTTACCTCATAGTACATAGTGCCTACTTAGTGCCTACTAACGGTCCTGAAACGTTCTGAACCTTCTACCAATCTAGGCCGCTGATTGGTCCATGCTCAAAGGAAGGCAGCACATGCCACTGCTACTATGTACCTACATGGTAAGGTAAGGTGTTACAATGGCCCACTATCTATTGCACTTAGGTAAAGGTAAGTATCATTTCTGTCTGGACTTTCCAGAGTTTCCGCGCCTGCTACAAATTTGGTGCCGTTGATCAGGTACCGACTTTTTTATTTATTTTTTTATTCTTTTAAGCTTTCAGCCATGAACGAGTCGTGAGCCTAGAAGAAAAAAACGGTATTCCCACCTCTCACCCCACGTTTCCATACCGCTTAATACAGCACCATCTGCGGTTCCGTATCCGATTTCTGTCTCCCGTGCACCATCCACTTTTTCACACCAAACTTTTCTGCTCGGTCATGTAGCTCTGTCCGACGATGGCTTCCACTCTCAGACGCAGGGCGCTTGGTGCCGATAACTCATCCGAGTCTTCATCGTCGCTGGCGGCGACACCGAGAGACGAAAGTCCGGCGAAGCCGAAAGATAATGTTACGATCGTACACGAGCAGAAGCCAAAGACGCGCAAGCGGCGTAATACGTTTATATTCTTAATGGGCAGCTTGTTTGGTCTTATAGCTGCTGGGTTCCTGGCGAAGAATAATGACTTAATTGAGCTTCCGGAGATTGGCGAACTTAGTATGGATAGTTTTCTTGACGTGCTGCCAGCTGGTCTGGTCAAAGATATGAGGGACCTAATGGTATGTCTCCGCCTTCAAAAAGAGGGACCGACTCAACTAATAATCTCCGCGGTTCGTGTAGAAAGGCGAGCGAGACTTGGTTGATAGCTACGATTCCTTTTCCGTAGGGCTGAAAGCGCGGTCCGAAGGACTTAAGGTCCACCATCCCGTCATTATGGTTCCCGGCGTCATCTCAACTGGCCTCGAATCTTGGGGGACTGCTAATATCTCTCGTCCGTATTTTCGAAGGCGGCTCTGGGGTAGCTGGACTATGATGAGAGCACTAGTCCTAGACAAGGAGATATGGAAGAAGCATATTATGTTGGATAAGGAAACAGGGTTAGATCCGCCAAATATCAAATTAAGAGCTGCGCAGGGCTTTGACGCAACGGACTTCTTCATTACGGGGTACTGGATCTGGAGTAAAATCGTGGAGAATCTGGCGTCTCTAGGTTACGACCCGACCAATTCGTTCACAGCCGCTTACGATTGGCGCTTGTCGTATCAAAACCTCGAGCTACGAGACCAATACTTTACGAAATTAAAAAGTTATGTGGAGCTTGCGCACGAGTTCTCGGGTCAAAAGGTGGTTCTTACGTCCCACAGCATGGGTAGCCAGGTTCTATTCTATTTCTTCCATTGGGTAGCATCCGCGCAAGGTGGTAAAGGCGGTGACGATTGGGTCGAGAAGCACGTCGAAGCCTGGATCAACATTAGTGGATGTATGCTGGGTGCGGTAAAGGATGTGACTGCAATTCTCTCAGGCGAAATGCGCGACACGGCGCAGCTAAACGCTTTTGCGGTATACGGACTTGAGAAGTTCCTCAGCAAAGATGAACGGGCTGAAATATTTCGTGCCATGCCAGGCATGTCGTCGATGCTGCCGCTTGGTGGAGACGCAGTTTGGGGGAACTTAACATGGGCGCCGGATGACAAGCCCGGGCAGAAGACCTCGTTTGGCTCATTTTTAAACTTCCGTCGTGGTCTTAACTGGACCACGCCGGATCAAAATCTCACTGTCAGCAACGCAATACAGTATTTATTCGACACGACCGACGACTGGTACCGTGATCAGGTAAAGAAGAGCTTCTCTCACGGTGTGGCTCACACCACCGCCGAGGTAGAAGCCAACGAGCTTGACAGTCGTAAATGGGTCAATCCTCTGGAGACGAGGTTGCCCTTAGCTCCAAGCTTGAAGATTTATTGTTTCTACGGCGTGGGGAAGCCAACCGAGAGAGCATACTACTATCGCAGCCCCGAATATCCGGGCCTCACAAACCTCAATGTCACTATTGATACAGCACTGACCGTTGACGAGATCGACCACGGTGTAGTCATGGGGGAGGGCGACGGGACGGTTAATATTCTAAGCAGCGGTTATATGTGCTCTAAAGGTTGGCGCATGAAGCGATATAACCCAGCCGGCGCGAAGGTCACGGTCGTAGAAATGCCTCACGAGCCCGAAAGATTCAATCCTCGCGGAGGACGGAATACAGCAGACCACGTGGATATTCTGGGGCGGCAGGCGCTTAATGAGCTGATACTGCGCGTCGTGGCTGGCAAGGGACCGATGATTGACGATTATATCGTTAGTAATATTTTGGAATATGCGAATAATGTTCAGATTTTCGAAGAGGAGGATAAATAAGATATGGCGAAGGGGGACCCGGGGGGAGTGTTAGATTAGACTTGGACTTGTAAAATATGGTTACATCAAGAAGTACCTAAGCAAGCAGGTATAGTAAAACTAATGAATGGATGGATGGGTGGATGGAGAAGAAATGTACATATGAGGACGGTGTATTATATCATACTGGGACTATACATACCTTAGCTACGTACCTACATATGTCCCGATTATATTGTTCCCTAGGTATTTGGTGGTTGAAATAGGCATCTAGGTACCTTAGGTAGATATTAGCTAGAAGACGCCTTATTTTAATAATATAGGGAGGGTACCTGATACACATATGAATACCTAAAGCTGAAAGACCAGGCGAGACAAGACTTTGTTCCTAGAGGCTATGAACTTCAGTTAGGACGGGATGCCGGATGGGATGAGTTTAAGGCTTATCCCCCCCTTTCTCATCTTTAAAATCACTTAGACGTTTCAGTTAATTTTAATTACCTCAGATACATATCAACTTCTTTAGGTTTCCCAAATTTGCTCAATCATTGTATATTATTGAGATCGTTGGCTATTGCGAGTCCTATATACGAAAGTTACCTCCTATCGAGGCTTGAAATGGGAATGAGGTGGATTTAAAAACGCCTAGCGTTGGTGTAGCACGTGCCAAGAGCTTCCTAAAGGCTGCTGTAACTGTAGCTACACCTGCTCAACACGTGATCCCCGTATTCATAAACTTGCGATACGTACCTGTTGCCTTTATGATTAAATCACAATTATATGGTTTACAACGTCGCGAACCAACGCCAATTTGTTACACAGGCTGAATCAAACCAGCAGGTGATCCTTTATTCTAATTCTAAGATTAACACCCTCACACCTAAACCATGGATTCTTCCACAAAGAGAAAGCAGCCCCCCTCAAACGGGTCCGATGGTCGTGCTATCAAAAAGAGTAAAGTAAGATTATACAACCATATCTTAACAAATAGGTCCAATATCTCATTATTTTACAGGGAGGTAGCAATGGTAGATGGCAGACGCCTCACCAGAAGGCCAAACTTGAGGCCATCAAAGGCAGGGGCCTGGAAGTGGGTGATATGGGAATTTGGACCACGTGTGTTAAGGGCAAGGAGCGACAAGCCTTGGAGGAAATGATGGATCTTTGCGAAGAGGTATTCTCGATTCTTGAAACAATCCTGACAGGGTCTGCGATGCTCAGAATATACCTTTTTAGTACGGTGAAAAGCTATACGGCATCAAACGCGAAGACCCCGCCGAAGGCAAGGAGGATGAGCAGGACGAAGATGATGACATCGAATCATCTATCAAGAAGGAAGTCCAGGAGATGAAACCGGCGAGTAAGCCCAAGGGCTCGACTTTCGAGCCTATGCGCATGGACCTCGATTGCTTGCTCTTCATACGGACGAAGCCGCCTGTCGACCCCGTCGCGCTCGTCAAGGAGATCTGCAAGGACGCAAAGGAGATTACCGAGAAGTCGCAGCGACGGTCAAGGTTCATCAATCGATTCACGCCGATCACGCTGACTGCAAAAGCCACCGAGGCTGCTGTCGAAGAGGTCGCTAAGAATGTCTTGGCTAAGCACTTCCAACTTACTGGCGAAGACGACGAGAAGACCGAGGCCCCCAAGGCGGACGCTTATTCGGTGCGCTACCCCCATCGGCCCATCTTGATAGATATCTGCGTTTACTGATAGCTTGAGTTCTATAGTATGCTATTCGTCCCAGCTTTCGAGCCCACAATACGCTTAAGCGCGACGACGTAATTAAGAAAGTCGCATCGCTTATCGCCCCGCGTCATAAGGTCAATCTCTCGTCCCCAGACAAGGTCATTCTCATCGACATCTATCAGGTTTGTATTCTTGCTTCTCTTCCCCCTACCCTTCTAACCCATTCTAAAAGGTCAAAAACCAACTAACAATCACAGACGTTCTGCGGCATGAGCGTCGTCGACGGAGACTGGGACTCCCTGAAGCGATACAATCTCCACGAGATCTACCTGTCGGCGCTGGGGCCCGACGAGAAGAAGAAGAAAGATACGGATAAGAAGGGGGGTGAGATCGCGCAGAAGGAGGTGCCGTTGACGGAAGAGTCGGAGGACTAGAGCTGGCTCCCGCGCAAAAAGTCTACGGAATTACCTAGTCGTGTGGACCTTCGCAAGTTCGCCGGCCGCACACGACAGGCTAGGATTGATGGTCACCGGAAATGATGGTCCTTTACCTAGGTACGTAACCTATGTGCTTCTCGGTTCATGGGGGCCCTGGATTGCGTTGTTATTGGCGATATGTGTATGGAGATGAGAATTATCTATTCGTACTGCCTAGCGGACCATTTAGTTCCATGTACAGATATTATACAGCGGTACTTATTCCGTTCCCCGTCCTTCCAACATCGAGACCAGCTCCACATTTGAAGCCAGCAGGAGTCGTGATTCACAGTTCCGACATGATACCTTGCTTATACTAGGGGGGGAACCCGCACTAAAACGGGTGGAATGTAACGTAGAAATGATGCTAGCGCTTGCTACGAAGGCTCATTGGTGTGCTTTGCGTTACACCTATAAGTCCTACCCCGGATTTCAGGACGAATTGCTGAGATAATCCTAGAGTCTCTTTTGACTACCTACCTAGGCACTTACCGATCGCCTAGAAGATGACGAGTTTTAGATATATTAGGTGTCGGGTATTAGGTAGAGGTCTAGGAAGTCTCTGCTGGTTCGTTGGGTATTAGGTATTAACGTGTGAAGGATCTTTCTTTTGCTAGCTATCATAGACGCATTATGCGGTTGACTTAAAACCCATTGTAATCCTATTTACTCCCCCTTTTCACCTGGGGCAAAGGAAGAAATTCGTAAGTACTATCCGCAACTCTTCTCAATCAGGTTCGTAATCCTTCGTTTGCGAAAAAACTAAACCTAAAAAAAAAAAAAAAAAACTACATCATTTCCCTACTTGCTCACTCGTTCGCTCGCTTTGCATCACGCCGTAAAACTGAGGCTTTGACTCACAAAACGCCAAGTACCTACTTAATTAGGGAATGGTTACGAACCGCCCCCAATGATACGCGGAATCCTCATTGAGCAGAAAAGGAAAACAAAATTAAATTTAAACGGCTACCTAAAAATTGGAGAAGCTAAGCTGCCTTTTTCATTATATGATTCCAACCTCGAACCTTTATTATGGCATTTCTGGATCGGAGATTAAGCTTAAATCCTAACAGAACCCCCCGTCTTCCCCAGGAACGCACAGTGTCCGACGGCCTCCGTTGGAAGTGGGTAAAGCGGTTTTGTGTTACTGCCTGGCGTTTAAGGCTTTTAAAGCATTGAGGCGTTCTGAATCAAGATAACTGGTATTGACGGGATTGGTTTGGCGGCCTTCTTTAGGAATGTGGCTTTTAAATAGTTTGGGGTCATATCAGGGTAGATTAGGTAGGTATTGACTTATCACAGTGGCGATGTACAAATATCATTGGCACGAGAAATATACTATGCTCACGTATATATATACGTCGTTGTAAATGTACCGTTGGAGAGGAATCAAAATGCGAGACCGATGTTACGGCGTGACGTGAAAGGCGCTGTGAGAGCTGTGCGAGCTGTGCGTTCAAATGTACCGTCAAGATATTCAAATACGACGCAGTCGACCAACCAATCTCGTGCGGGGGTGTAGTTATTCCTCCCCAGCCAGTGACATCCTTACCTACCTACCTTAGGTAGTAACTCAGAACAATCCCCAAGAACATCATCATTAAAGGCCCGATACCCCCCCTCACTGAAACGAGCAGGTAAAATATATTCATTCTTACTAGACACCTATATATATATATACCTTACATTTTATATAAACTACCTACCTAGGGCGAGATAGTTGATAGAGGGTTTAGCGCTTATATTTAGTTACCTCTTATTTAGCTTGGTTGCTTCGACCGTTTGCCCATATGCTGCATTCCAGCATACCAGACAGCTACGTACCGCCACCCATGGGTCGTCCCCACCCCAGTGCGAGATATTCCCTCGAGTGGCATGACATCAGCGGCCGGCGGCGGAGGGGGACGATTCCCGAGCAGAAGGCGGCGGCCAGAGTGGGGTGGATACCGAACTCGACGTCCGACGCCTGGCGGCGGTTGCGGTGGGCGCCCTCGCGGCTCGCGGGCTACCTGGGGCTCGCGACCGGCGCCGCGCCGCCGTACTCGGACCAGACGCAGTGCCTGCTCCTGCGGCTGCCGCCCGAGATCAGGCTCGAGATATGGGAGTACGTCCTCGGCGGCGGCGCCGACGTGTGCATCCTGCGGAGGGCGAATAAGCTCGCCCACGCAGTCCTCCCCCGCGATCAGGCCAGGCTCGACCAGGCTCATGATAATCGGAGACGCAGGTACCTGCCGCTCTGGGGGGAATTCATGGCTGAGAGATCGTCCCTAACGGATAATAGGACCGCTGAGGTTAACTTGGTGACGCCCCTGCTCAGCTGTAAGCGGATGTAAGTTTCTCCCCTCATTTCTTTGGAAGAAGAAGAAGAAGATGATGATGATGCCGATGATGAATTAATTGCTGACGCGAGGGATACAACATATCTAGCCACTCGGAAATGATAGCGATGCTATACAAGCGGCACTTCAAATTCGAGCTGATGGAAGGGTTCTACCGCTTCCTGCTGCTCTCGCCGCTGGCGGGCCTCTCCGCCGTGCGGTCGATCGAGCTCGACTGGTCGGGCTTCTACTACTGGGCGCGGTTCGAGGAGGACGCGGCGGCGGGGTACCCGATCTGCCACAACGAGAGCTGGGCGGACATCTGCGGCGCCGTGGTCGGCATGATGACGGGCCTGCGGCGCCTGACGCTCCGCGTGCTCGCCTTCGAACACCCGGCCCGCGACGACCAGCGGTACCGCTTGATGCGGAAGATCGTGGCGCCGCTCGAGGCGCTGCCCAGCCACGTCGTGTTTACGGTTGTGATTAGGGATGAGGCGTTTTGTCGGAGCTTTCAGGATGGGTTGCGCAGGGAGGGGTATGGCAGGGTGACGGTTAATAGTCCTTCGGCGGCATAGGTAATATACCCTCTCCCTCTCTCTCCCACCCCCCCTTTTGTTTCCCCGGGCTTTGGTGGAACATCACGATCATTTGATATCTAGGTAATCAAGGCGGCGCTCTTTATGGGGCAGGTTAGTGTGTTTTTTATATAATTACGTTTTACGATCAGGTACCTAGTACCTATTATCATGATGCCTAACGTCGATCATTATTGAGAATTGAGTGTACCTACTTGTGGTGATGAGTGATTGTGTGAGTATGAGAGTGGACTCTCGTTCATAGCAACCAAAGGGCATGTCTTCTCAAGCATCGAAAGAGTACTCTGTTCAATAGTAGGATGGCACAGCTTAGGAGGACGTGTTCTTGTCTGTCTAAGGTAAATTGACTTAGTAGCCAGGAAACAGCATAATTGCCCCTTTTTAGGGTAAAGGGGGTGGGACGTCTTCACGCAAACCTATGGCCTAGCGGTTATATTCTTACAATAGTGTATACACTTTTAACTATCCTGGTGGTCAAGTATACGTTATATGTCTCTAACCACATATACTTCTATAATCTTTTGTCTATATCGCGAAGTGAAGCAACGTCAAAGTCTGCTACGTTAGAGGTACCTATCATAATATTAGACTAACATGTTATTTTATTATGTAGGAAATACTCTATTCATGGGGGTCACATGGTAAAAATTGCGAGATCTCTAAGTAATGTCAGGCCAAACACTTGTTGGGCACAGATATAGAATAGTCGGGTCTACTCCTGAAGCTTGGGTCCGCGAAAACTGCCATTATTGCCTTGCTAGGTAGTTCACGCTGTCGGAAAGTTGGGACATGCTTTGAACAGCCTCCCAGTGTCTGAATCCTTGAGAGTTCGCGATCACGAGGAAAGAGGGTGCTCTGGTATCGTAGTTACAGCTAAATATCCCCTACCAACATAACACCTTCTTGAACTCGAAGGGTTGGGAATATAGATATGCTCGTGATTTTAAGTCTCGGTTTGATAGCTTCCATTCAAATAATGCTGGAATCCTATTCTATTTCTATTTCTTTTCTTTTTTCTGCGTCTCCTTCCTCTAGATCTCATTATTCTGTATAGGTAACTGACTATAGAATAAATAGTGTCGTCGATACTAATGACTAAGAAGCTCTAATTAATTATTTCAATACCCCAAGTCCCTTCTATGGTTATAGATAGATACCGAATGCCGAGCGGCTGAATTCCCCCCTGTGAGCTATCACACTGACCCGCCGAAGCCCCTTAAATTTCCAAAAAGCTTGGAAGGGTAACGGTAACGGTGACGGTAACCGGACAAGTGGGCTCTACTAATTTAGCAGCGTACTAAAAAGCTAACATGGTTTAGGTACCGACGCTTTGGGAGGCGACGGGGTTTACCATGCCTCGTTGCACATCACCACAAGTTTAAGCAGAAGTTTAAAGGGAGATGGATACCTAGCATACCTTGATGCTAGTTACCTACGTAGGCAGTGAGCTTTGGTCAAATCTAACATGCTCGTGAACTGTAGGTAGTCGTATTATGTGGCCACTGCGAGATGCGTCGACAACTGGAGCTATGCTCGACTCGGTATGTTTCTTTGAGCCATTTAAAAGCTCAGATGCTGCAACGATATCCCTTCCGGTGTATACTACTGTTCAATGGCCCCACGCTGTCAAGATTCCATTCAGATGCAACGTAATATCGAAGTGGACGTATGGAGAATATACCCACACTTAGGTATGCTTACCTACCAAGGCAGGCTAATGGGACCTATATGAGCTTTATTTAAGTGCTTCGACTACATAGTACTATCTCCACATCATATAGCTAGATTCCAGCTGTCATTGTTTTACCATTGACGAGATGGGGCCATGCATAGAACTACTCGCAAGATTTGAATGATACCCGAAAAAGGTATTTCCACCGATGCGTATGATGATCGAGGCCAACTTGGCTAGCATGGCCAAGGGGTTTTTTTTTTTCTGTTGAGGTTGAAATCTGATTTGTGCCGAATACTGCAAGACTCGAGCGGATATATTGAACTATTCCAAAAAAAAAAAAAAAAAAAAAAAAGAAAGAAGTGAAGCCCCTGACAGCTGAGCTCGAGCTTCCATGCAAAAGTGCCCAATGGCACCAATATGCCAGTCAATATCCTAGGCAGTATGGAGGTTAGGTTCGGAATGTAGCCATCCTCACATCCAGGGGTAATCAGATTCACCAGTAAGTGAACCCTGGGACCGAATAACATGTTTGATTCGCTACTAGGTAGCGAGGAAATGCTACATTTGGTAGGTAGGTATGTATTAGACGAAGAGCCGCATCATCGGTATACACGAACTTAGTGAGGACAATAAGAAAATATGTCCCTGACTTAAGACCTGATAAAGGAACATGGGATGTAGGGGAGCAGATCATCCTAGCTAGTAGCTATATACAGGGTAACTTTTTCGCTTAAGATTACCGGATGCCTTCAAGGTCCCGATGCAGATGTCGTTCATGGAAGGAGGGGGGTTGCATTAACTTCATCGATGATCGACGGACTGCTTATACGGGGCTAAGGAGAAGCATGTCATTGGCCAATGGCGTCTTTACCCATTGGGGGATGTAGCCGCTCATACTCGCATTCGTCTATTCAAGAAGGAATATATGATTTGCTCAACCCTTTATTAAGCTTCGGCATTTTAGTTTCCAGCGCTGGAGGCTGCCGGGAACTCTCCTAAGATACTTAGATACAATCCGATAGCGTTACTTTAGGTAGTTTTCTAATATCTTTTTCTATACGTAAGTACAAGACAGTGCTATCCCCTTTGACAAGAAAGATGAGACTAGCAGGCCACATCAACACGACAAACCTCTATGCAATATCTACGTCTACCTACTAAATTCGACTCCTTACTTCTAACACGGGTTTAGACCAAGTGCAAGTGCAAGTGCAAGGGACAAATCAACTGTCTCTTTTACTAGGGCTCGGCAATTTACGGAGGAATCCGAACCGCATAACAGTTACCTGTTATATACTAGGAGCTTGAGCAATATGAAGAGATGATGAGACTGTTTACTTTATTATGTAATTAGGAGGCAACCCTATATACAAGAACCGTATGTTCGTCGAGTCATAATTACGAACGTAAGGAAAATATGAATATACCGGTACTAGCTGTTTCCAAGGGACTCGTCAAAGTAACGTGACGATCAGCGCAGCCAAAGCGAACACGTAACTTATTATAGTACTCTGATAGATCTGAGCCATCGCAATTACGCGGCTGAACTGCGGATCCCCTTGATGCCGCTTTCTAGCTAGAACCGGGAACTACGCAGTAGGTAAGGGGATCGGGACACGGGTATGCCGAGTTGAAAATGGCAACGTGCTTGATTACCCAAGAGAGGCTGCGATGGATCGTCAATCCAACAAGAAGATCCCTGAGGAGTTAAAGGAACTGGTTCAAGTTTGCAATCACAAATAAAAATAAAACGCTTCAGACATCTAACACGAGGTTTTTCTTATTCTATACCGAGCAGATCGAGGCACAGCCGCGCTAAGCCCTATTGCGGCAAAAATTGACGACACCTTACATGAATTACGGACCGGGAAGCTGGTTAGCTACTTGCGAGAATCGCTATTTGTTTATTGATTTGAAGGGGGAACAAAAAACAAAAGAGGAAAGAAAACATATGGGTCACAACCCGTAGGAATATGGTGAAAAGGAGCCGGTATGAGGCGGGTGGATAGATGACGAGTTACTAATCTACATAATTACCTCCTATCGTACTCTGACGAGTGAAAAGTCGAGAAATGGCTGGCGCCGGAAGGCTTCCAACTGCCATATATGTACGGATAACACGTATATTGCCTACGCGGGGATGATGGAGGTCTGGATTGTTCCGTGCTGTCGGCACCGCACGTAACATTGCATCGAAGGAGCCGGGACGGCAAGACGTGTAGGTGCTTCCTTTGACTGGTAATAGATCGTTATTTTATTGCAAAGATTAACTAAGGCAGTAGTCCGCGATATTAATATCCGTGTAAGTAGTTGGTGTTGAGATTAGTAGCTACGAAGGCGGTAAATTAAGATATGTACCTGTGAGAAACCGTGGATATCTTTATCAAGTTCACGGGTTGTCGGTACCTCTATTAGAGAGATGATAGGCCAAGGTAGATGTCAATCCCTCTTACATGAGCATACCTGCAGCTTTTTTTGGTATTGGAGATGACATGGTGGTGATGATATTTGTTTGATGATTGCCCGCTTACTGACATATTGATGATGGAAATTGTAAAGTCAGCACAGGGGTTAAACGGGAACAATCATTGTTCCTAGTAGTAGTAAAATAAATATATTACAACATATGATTAAAATACTTTATTTTCATTTGAGGACGTGAGGATGTGAGGAATCGGGTTCGGGGTGGACAGGGCCCCGTTTACTTAGTTGAAAGGAGGCTTAAGGAGCAAGGGCGGAACGGAGTGCGACCCATAATTAAGGCTTCAGAACCTTACCATTTTCAGCCATTTCGCTTACTGCCAACCAATCAAAAAATCTCCGTCTCGCTTGCTAATGCAACCTTCATTTAGGTACCTAAGGTACCCACATTACTTACCCAATGCTAGGAACGTCGTACTATGTACGGTAGTACATCTAGTTAGGTACCTAACATCGCATAGGTTAGCACGTCGTATACTGGATCGCGACCTACCACATACGTAGTAGCTTAATCAAACCGCCAACCTTGAAACTTTTTTTTTTCTTACTACATCCACTTACATCCTATCCTCTCTAAACTAATACAACTACCTAATACACATCAAACCAACTTCTCTAAAGTAGTAGGTAGCTAAGCTAACCCGAACTCGAGCTGATCGGCTAGGTAGTTAATTGTTAACTATCTAACAACCATCTTACTATCTTACTAACAAATTCGGCCGACGCGCTAATAAGCCAATCGAAAAGTCTCTCTTCCCAAGTTCTACTACACCTTTCCTATGAGGCACACCGTGATGCTATCCTCGTGGTACTCTGCTACGCACACCGCTGGATTGGTACGCGACTCCAGTGAACGTTGAGACAACCATCGTGCCAATGCAACTTCGCTTGTCAAAACCCAATCGTCCATTATGTGACTGTCTATGCGAATCCGTCTTCCTTCGGATAGCTAGCTTACCTACTTAGCCTTTCTATCTAGCCTTTTCCGTCTCGTGGGGTCTTCCCAACTTCAGTGTCATATAGGTATAGCGGTCACGACGGTCATAACGGCTATAATGCGTGGGGATAACGTTGAAATGAGTTCCCACAAACTGCCCGGCCTGGGCTTCTCTCATCATCTCATCATCTCATCATTCATGAACTGAGCGCTGAGCATTTCTCAGCCCGCTTGCCGCACTTAACCAGGGTTCCCGGTTGTGGGAATTCTCAACCAACCCGGCTTGGGCTTCGAGAAAGTTTGGAGTTCTCTCGCCTGGCGCCTTGGCATTCGGGTAGATATTACCCTTGAGTGCCTTGAGTGCCTCGAGTGGAACAACTTTCCCATCATACTTGGTCGTTTTACTACGCTCTTTTTGAGGTATAGCATGTCCTTTGTCCATTTCGACCTATTATGTACACGGCTGCAGCCACTCGACATCGTAGCTCCACTTCCTTTGATCTTATTAACCTATTCACGCCTTACTTAGGCGAGTATTACCTGATATTACCTTAGTTCCCTTTTCTGAGCCGCGAATCCAATGTCTCTCTCAGAGCCAGCTCGCCAGGCCAACACGCCTTATTCGTCAGTTAACCGACTTGTTGTATCTCATATTTAGCCTCCTTTAGATCTTCCTGTCGCTTTTAAGTACCTATCGTATCGTGTAATACCGCTTCTTTTTTTTCTTTTGCCCTTGGCTGAATACCTAACACTATGGTTTTGCGGATCCCTTCGCCAAATATTCGTCTATTAACTTGGTTTGCTGAGACACCTGACTGTATAAGGCTTCCGTTCTCTCTTATAAATCTAAAATATCTTCTATCGACAACACTACCCATTCCTTAGAGCGTCGTTTTATTATTCTATTCATCTGATACCTAGAGTCATTTAAGAAAGGGTTATATATCTAAGACGCTCAATACCTGCATGTCTAAAGACGTTGTCAAGCCAAGCTGTGCGGGATCAGGCATTTATCACAGGGTTTGTTCAAGTAGGTTCTCGTCTCGGCGTATGTCTTGATTGAGTATTCCTATCATTCACCGAAGAGCCAGCACCCGTCTCAACCTTCTACTTTGAGCCATTATCTGTCCTTATTATAGAATTTCTACCCTATAGAAAGGCATATGCCACAAATACAAGTTATGCACCCAAATTCAAGGGTAGCCTTAGCAGCACAGACCGACCCTTGCCCCGTCTGCCCCGGTGGTCATTTTCATTCACTCCACATTACCGAGTCTCCTGCTCCTCAAGCTTATCCGTACAAAGGGGACCTCGAGGTACCCAGCCTATTTCGTTCCACAAGATGGCTTCCTTCACGTCACAAAATATCCCCTGTTCCACGAGCCCAGCCCTCATCTCCCACAGCCGCCATGGACCGACTCCATCCACTCGAATCGATGCGCTTAGCAATCCAGAAAGCATTACCGACTATTACCGTCGAGTCTGTTAGCCCTTTACCGTCTTGCCGGCTCCTAAGGTTTTTCAGTATTAAGATCTCGGATGGCAGAGCGTTAGTTCTCAGCCTTCCACCACCTCCGACGTTGAGGTTACTTCGGTCTGAGAGGGGGTTAAATCTTTCAGAGACCCTTTTAACAAAATGGATGCTCGAAGGAGTACTAGAACCTCCCAGTAAGACTCAAAATGCAATCCAGGGGGATATCGGCCTCTATCAACACGTTCAAATCCGTCCAGGGGAGGTTAAACCAGAGATCAGTTCTGAGAAAGAATTCAACTGGAGACAGGATGTGCTCAAGTTTCTTCCCGTCCTCGTTGCCCATGTCCCTTCATCGGCAGAACTGGGTGCTCCTTTCAACATCTTCGAGCCAGCGAGAGGAGTTACTATCGGCGAACTTCCCATGTCCTTAACAGCATCCGAGAGGCAGACCGTAGACTTTCAGAAAGGCCAACTTGTACGACAACTTTCGAGTTTCGTGTCACCGAACGGGCTCTTCGGACCGGCTACGGCAGTCGTCAGTCCCCAGTTACCATCTACTGACTTACACGCGGCGCAACTAGCCAACCTCGGCCTTCGTAGCTCGAGGACGTGGAAGCAAACCTTCCACTCTCTCCTGGAGAGCGTGCTACGGGATGCGGAGGACATGGCCGTCACAATCAGCTACGAGCCAATAAGGAACTACTTTAACAGACTAAGCTACCTCCTAGATGGTGTAACCACCGCTAGACTGGTTATACTAGACGCGAGCGACGACCTGAACGTATTAGTATCGCGGGCTTCGAAGCAGGATATGGGTAAAGACAAGGACGGGGACGATAACAAGTTATTAGCGACGGCACCGGAAGCAAAGCATACCAAAACGGAAGATATTTCCGAAAGAAAAGCAATACCAGAATGTACCCCAGGAGACGAAGAAAAGGGGCCGAAACATCACAAAACAGACCACCACCACCAGCAAAAGGAGCAGCAACAGCAGACCATCGCCGTCACAGGCCTCCGCGACTGGAGCAACAGCGTCTTCGGCGACCCCCTATTCGCCGAAACTTTCAGCCAAGATCCTTCAGCCGATTTCTCGCGCGGCTTCTTCCACTCCCCTTCCCCTTCCCCATCCTCTTCCTCCCCCTCCCTCCCCTCTTCTTCCCCCCCTCCTCCTCCTCCAAACACCCCCATCGACGACCCAGACACCGCCCCCGTGCGGCTCCTCCTGTACGAGTGCTACCACGCGACCGTCGGCGTGGTGCAGCAGTTCTACCGCCCCGGCCCCGCCAGCAGCGACCGGGAGATCGCGGCGCGGCGACGGCTCGCCGCGGCGCTGAAGCGGCTCGACGAGGTGGAAGGAGGAGGTGGAGGGGGAGGGGGAGAGGGGTTGTTGTTGGTGTTGGGGAGCTTAGGCGGCGCCGAGGTCGATTCCGTGGGGAAGAGGGCCAGACGGCCTAGTGCGAATGTTGAGGCGTGGCCTGTTAAGAAGACTAAGGCGGAGGGGGAGGGGGAGGGGGATACTTCTACTTCTAATGCAGGGTCAGGGTCAGGGTCTGGGTTTGATGCGGGAGGAGGAAGAGGAAGAGGAAGAGGAGGAATAGGAGTAGGAGTAGGAGTAGGAGTAAGGATAAAAGAAGAGGAAGAAGTGTACGAGTCGATAGAGAAAGACGAAGATATACATGACGCACCTTGATAGGCGCCGCCGGTGGCGTTTTATTAATATTTTTTATGTATATATCTATCTTGATTATACTCGGTTCTACATTGCATTGGATGGGTGGGTTATAAAGGAGGTATATAAAGGGGAAGAAGCGGGAAGAGGTGATTGGTTATATGTTAGCGACTTATGTATTACCTGTGTGAATATTGATTTGGGTTAGGTAGTTACCTAATTTAATATAATGAATATGATACGACGATGTGGTCATATATATATATATAGAGAGAGAGAGAGAGAGAGAGAGCTTTCTATGCTATGCGATGGTGTGCTACGGTATGTCATTTTATGCCATGTTATGCTATATTTCAATACAGAGTTAATGTCCTTTATAGATTTTCCCTTTACGCTCTCTCTATGATATGGATGGCATGACATATACCTTAATTTAGGTATATAATGGTATAGTGTGTCTACCTCTTCCCTCCCTTTTCATATCCCTCTATACGCCCAAGCTATATATATCTTAGGCACCTACCTAAACATTCCCTTTCCCCTTGTCAACTTTTCCACCGCTTACGACAACAAAATCCTGATCTCCCCCGTCGTCCTAGGGAACACAGCTCTCAACCCCGCCCTCTCTTCTCCCTGTCCCTCTTCCCCAGCCACCTCATCCACCGCGACGAGCAGCTCCTCGACGTGCTCGAAGTCGGCGCAGAACCGATCCGCCGCCTCCTCCGTGACCTCGCGCGCGAGCCTCGCGTCCTGGAGGTTCTTCACGTTCTCCAGCGCGTCCATGACGGCCGACGGCAAAAAGTCGTCTAGCCCCTGGGCCGCGCGCGCCAGGACCTCCGGCTGGAGCTCCGGGAGCAAGGGGAGTTTGGCCACGTCTTCAGGGCGCGCGTCGGAGAGGGGCGATAGAGCCGCGAATAAGGGCGAGAGAGAGGATTCGGCGCGGAAGAAGGCGTATTGGCTCTCGACGAGGAGGGCGCTGTGTTCGGCGATCGCGGAGCGTAGGCGCTCGAGGCGTGCGCGCGTGAACGATTGGAAGGGCTCGATGGCCGTCTGGGCGGCGAGGAGGCAGTTTATGAGGAATATGGAATTAGAGGGCGGGGAGATGTTTTTGGCCATGTTGGAACAGCCGGCTAGGAAAGGGTCAAAGGACTCGGCTAGGATAGGCTCGAAGTCCGCCTCGCGATCGCCGTCTGCGGCTAGTGATGTTTCGTAGGTTTTCATAATCGCCGTTAGCTGTTTTAAGCATTCCTGTAAGAACTCGGGCGGCCCGAGGTCGGACGGGGTGTGTTGGAATTCGCCCTCGAGGGTGGTGATATGGTCGCGCATCAGAGAGCGGAATTGCCGTAGCGCTTCTGCTTCTAGGTTGTTCATCGATTGTAGTAGAACCGAGTCCTCACCGAGTAACTTGGAAAATGTTACGCGGTAGAAGCTGAGGAGGTTGGCTAGCTTGTATGCTAAGATAGTGTCCTCGTTGGTCTGGATGACCTGTTCAACTCGCTGTCTCAATATGCGCGCTGCGCCAGAGACGTCCCTATCGACTAATTCATTTAGAGCCTTGACGGCATCGAATTCCGGAGGCCCATCTGCCTCGTCAGCCATCAGCATCCACAACTCGTTCTCGCGGCCCTCTTGTATCCCTTTAGCAATCTCGTTCCCGTCAGATATAAACAGGATTTCGAGGGCTTCTCTCTCGCTGACGGCGGCGGAATGCGTCCAAGCCAGCATGTCACCCGCATACCGCAGCGGATCGTGAGCCACGAGCTCGATCGGCTTCACGGAGTTATCCTTAGCACCAGCTGAGGACGTGCCGGTCAGCGCGAGGTAGAAGGCATCAGAGAGGATTTGCTCTCTAGCCTCAGCGAAGAAATCTAGACAACTCTGAAAAAGGGAGGGCCTCTCGGCAAGCACGCGTATAGCGCGGCGAACAGACGAGTTGATCTGAGGGTTCTCCAGGTTAAGGGTCTTGAACTCCTTCTGGACCCAGCGGTACAATTTCTGCATAGCCTGGTTCAAGTTTTTGGATGTCTGATCCATAATCTCGAGGCCTAGCGTCTGGCTCTCGAAGCCGAGAAGGAATTCGCAGTCCTTCCTAATGCGCTTCGCTTTTGCTAGAACAGCGAAGAAACGGTCGTCGACAGGTTCGGCTGTTAAGGTTAAAGAGGCGATCTCATCTTCTGATAGAAGGAAGTGCTCGCGGAAGGCCTTTAATACCTGCTGCTTCGTCTCGATATTCTTCCTTTGGGCCATGATGGAAGACGCCTCTTCAAGCACAGAGGACGTCGACTCGTGAGCGGCTGTGACGTGACCTCTCATCTCCTGGTAGTTTTTGTTGAGTTTATTGATAGTTGTACCTATCCTCTTTAACTGCTCGGCTACCCGGCCGAACTCTGTAATTATCTTGCCATTACTGTCAATAACCTCTTTCTGGACGTCCAGCCGTAGCTGTCTCCGAGTTTCAGCGGTGTTGCTAATGCCACGCTCGTCTAACAAAGCCAGAGACTCGCGGAACTCTGCGTCGGCATATGAGGTCGACAATACAGACGTCACCTTGGAAGACAGTGGATTTGATGAGCGTCCTGGAAATGACGCGCTTGCTGGCGATAGCGGTAGTCCATCATGTCCAGGTAAACGGGGTGAGTTGAGGCCATCCGAGGCCATAGTTCATATTTCCAATTGGTTACCTCTTTAGACAATCTTGAGCTGTCTTGACTTGCATCATCTCATTTCCATTTTACTCGAGGATGAAATTCCAAGAAAGATGAGCGTTAAATTGTTGGTAGATTCGAATACCACGGCGTTGAAAGGGAATCTTGAATATCCCAAGGTGTTGATGAAGGTGAAAGTTGTCCACGTCCACTATGTGAAAGAGGCGCCACCTGAGGAAATGTTGTCTGGCAGCTGGGGGAATTAGTTGAGTACCTAGGTACCTATTAGTTAAGTGATCATACCGTATACGTACAGGTATGTAGTACCTAAGCTTATTAAATGAAATGACTTCATCCCTCCGATTTCGATATCGATAATGATACCCTAGTTGATACTTAAGGTACCAGGTACATGTACCTATGACATGTACCTATGAACGCGTGCGCCTGCCTGTAAGCTCTCACTCCCAAGTCATAAGGTCCGTTCGATGTTTTCAGGGTTCAAGTGACCAACTGCAACTTGTTCATCATTTCTTAATAAAAAAGAAGCACAGCCGATGCTTTTAAAAACACCTTTCAATCACCGGGCCTTTAATATTCTGCGCCATTCTATAATCTTATATTATAGTTAAGAGAAGGTCTTTAAGCGTCATCTTGTCTCGGCTATAACTCAGAGCTTATCTATCACCTTCGCCCTACGGGATAGTTAGGTTTACAATTATTCACCTTAAACTTTTGAGACGATCAACAGCTCCTCTCTTCTTAATAAAAGTCAGGCGTTTGTTTCTATTTTCTACCTTTACAATTTTCACTCTTCTCCTTCCCTCTCTAAGTACCTAAGTCAGTTTAATCATGATAAGGAAGATATCCTATTGAATTCGACAACGCCTATGAGCCCATCTATGAACCCATCTATGAGCCGATACGATGCCTCCGAACCTCTTCTCTCGCCTCGTACCCTCTGGCGACGATAGACCCTTATACGACCGACTTAGAAATGCTCAAGATGACGACGTCGAAAGTAGAGCCGGTCTCGACTTAGACGAAGAGAACTTAGCCCAGCATTTCCAAGAAGATGATCTAGCCCACGCCGGTGGTGCTGGCCTCGACGATAGTCGCATCTCTACCCCACGCAGCCCTATCGCTACCGCAAGTAAAGCTCGTCGCGGCCCTGCTAGAGTAAACCCACACGATGCGAGATCACGATGGCTTCCGCCAGAGGATGAGATGGATAACGATGTCCCCGCCTCTCTTCTGGTAGAAGGTCTTGATGCCACCACGTCCAAACCAAACAAACAGAGGACAAGTCCTCGGCCTGCACGAAACTCCACCAGACGTTACTCTGCGGACAAGAGGATACAAGCGCAGTGGGAAACTGCACAGGCGCGTCAGAGGCTTCACCAAGACGAAGAATATGGCCCATCAACTGCCGAACCCCAAAGAGGCGGCACCGTGAGAAGCCCGGGATTTATAGGCAGTCCCAAAGACAAGGCCATGTTTAGATGGGCCAATGTCTCTAATCTAGACGTTTTCATTAGGGACGTCTACGACTACTATCTAGGAGCGGGCATGTGGTGTATCTTGCTCGACAGGTTTCTGCACTTATTGAAAGTCGTCTTTGTTGCGACTTTACTTACCCTGTTATCGCAGTGTATAGATTACAGCAAGATCCGCGATAGTAAGAACTTGTCGCAGATCATGATTCCCCAGTGTACCAAGCACATGTGGGGGATATGGAACTTGAGCCTTTGGGTTTGTAGTTTTTACTTTGTCTGGAAGAGCATTCAGTGGATTCTTGACATACCGCGCTTGATGCACATCCGCGATTTCTTCGTCTACCTCCTGGAGATCCCCGAAGAGGATATGCAAACTGTCTCGTGGCAGGATGTCGTGGCCAAGATTACCGCCTTACGCGATGAGAATGTGAAAACCGCTACCAATATTACCCCATCGCAGCGCCGTTTCTTGTCTAAACAGCTGGGACAGCACATTGCAAGCCAGTCGAAAGAAAGGCTTGATGCTCATGATATCGCGAACAGGCTGATGAGGCGGGAGAACTACATCATCGCCCTGTTCAACAAGGATATACTAGATCTTACAGCCCCGATTCCCTTTCTACGAAATCGGCAGCTGTTCTCCAAATCTCTCGAGTGGACGGTCCAGTTTGGGGTTCTAGACCTTGTTTTCAACGAGGGCGGTCAGGTTCACCAACGAGTTCTCAAATCCGACCACCGTGGACACCTTAGTAGGGAAATGCAGACGAGATTTATATTTGCGGCAGTGATGAATCTCATATTCGCCCCGTTCGCAGCATCCGCCCTCCTTATTGACTTCATCTTCACGTACTACAATGTAAGTAATCTTGAAGAAGACATAAAATGTATTATGCTTACCTACTTCCCAGGAATTCAAAACCAATACTTCATCTCTGGGAGCAAGGCAGTACACACCCCTTGCCAGGTGGAAATTCCGCGAGTTCAATGAGCTGCCACACTTGTTCGAAGAACGGTTGAATATGTCATATCCTTTCGCGAAACACTATATAGATCAGTTTCCAAAGAAAAAGACAGAGTCGGTTGCCCGGACAGTTCAGTTCTTTTCTGGAGCGCTCATTGCTGTTTTGGCCATTGTAGGATTCTCTGATCCCGAAATGTTTGTCGACTTTGAATTATTTCCAGGGATGAACACGTTCGCCTTCGTTGCGCTTCTCACGACGACATGGGCTGTTGCTCGCGGGATGATATCCGAAGAGAACGACGTGTTCGATCCCGAGTTTGCGATGCGGAGCGTTATCGAGTACACACATTACCAGCCAGACCAGTGGAAAGGCAGACTCCACAGCTACGAGGTCAAGGCCGAGTTCTCGGAGCTTTACAAATCGCGAATCATCATCTTTCTCGAGGAGATTATCGGCGTCTTAATCACGCCCATGGTGCTATTTTTCAGCTTACCAAAGTGCAGCGATCAAATCATCGACTTCTTCCGCGAATTCACAATCCACGTTGACGGTCTGGGCTACGTATGCTCGTTTGCCGTGTTCGACTTCCAGAAGGACCAGCGTACTACAAAGCAACAGCCAGGCAACGCAAACGATGCTCGGGAAGACTACTACGCTACTAAGCATGGAAAGATGCAAGCTTCTGTCCATGGATTTTTGGATAACTACGTCTACCATCCTAGGACCGGCCTTCCCAGCAATCATACTATGGGACCAGCCGGACGCCACCAGTTCCACCCCCCGCCCGCTTTCCCGGGCCTCATGTCGCCCACCCTCGCCGCAGACATGCACTCGTCGCGCATCGTACCTAATGAACGGGCTAGAAGCCGAGCGCCAGTACCTGGTAGAACACCGCGCTTCGGCCCAGCGGTGGCACCATCGCCAATGGCATCGATGCTCCTCGACCCGCACCACCAACCCTCCGCCTCCTTCATCGCACTGCGCACCACCCCGCAGCGAGCGCGCCAGCAGCGCGGTCTGCCCTCCGGCGACACGGATATCATCGAGGAGTCTACGGAAGACGGCATGTCGCGAAGCGTTATTCGCAGGCACGACACGGCGTTTACGGACGACGGCGATGTGGAAGAGAGCGTGGCGCGTCTCGGCGAATCTACGTGGGAAGGCTCGCCGAGGCGTGGCATCAGCCGCGAGGCGAGTAATGCTACCGACGGGGATGATGGGCCCGGCGTGGTGACGTTGCTGAAGCAGTTCCAGCAGGCGCATCTGGATCGCAGGGGTGTTATGTGATGTACTAAGCAAGCAAGCTGGACCGGGTCGGGCGTTTTGTTGTTGGAATGACTTGCTTGCGTGGTGGCCTTCGCATCAGTCTAGCAAGTATGATGGTTAAATTAGTCTGGATCGACTAATATGATATACGTACCTAATGTAACATGACGCAGCGGGTTATGAAGGCAAGGGAAATGGAAACGGAAACGGAGTTCAGTAGTATTTGGGTTAGGCACGGCAGTATGGTGCATTGCTTTGCATTGCTGTTATTCTTTTTCTTTTTTTCTTTTTGGATTAGGGGGTCAGGGATATATCATCAGCATCGGCACAGAGAGTAGGTAGGTATCCATCGTGCCAGTAGCAATGAGTGTCATACACATAAATAAAATAAGTAAAATCAACTCTCTATATTGTCGTACATGGATGGTATGTAGGAGGTACCTATAGTGGACGTAATCACAATCACACTTCGTGTTAAATCGATGAGCGAGACTACTTCATCCCCTATAAGAAGTTCATGTTTGGTAGATTTAGGTACCTAAGTAAGTAAGTTGCTATATTCACTTGATGAATCCCTATCTCTATTCCTAAACCGTCTTCGGAAGCGAATCACTTTTCACTCGATTGTGAACTTTATCGAGGTATGTTAGGTATGTATAGTACAGCATGCACAGTTCAAATATCAAAACCTGAAAAGTCATCTACCTGTTAGTTATCCAAAGTTATATCTCCAAAGTTTCCGTAATAGTATACGACCGCAAACGCATCACAGATAGGTAATTTCAGAATAGATAATGTGAAATTGATCCTTGTTCCTGTTGTATACAACATAAGCCACATTATGGCCTCGTCTCATGATGCAGTAGACTTTTTTAAAACCCCCAAACCGAAGCAATGCACGCCGGACTTTTGGCCACACCCTTTTTGATGCTGACGCTTTTTTGAATACGCTCCATAATGGAAGTCACCTTTCTCTATCTTGTTCCCGCTACTAGTTCCCTTCAATTGGTATTTACCAAGTTTTGTAGATTCAAATGGAAAGTACGAATGATTGAATCAGCATCGTCGATAGCTATCGGTCGCACATCAGCCAATGCCTTGATCTTAGCCGTACTATAAACAATCTGTTAGCGATATCTTTCGCAATTTTTAGTGCTAAGATCGATACGCACCATTCCTTGACCTGGTCGTCTGTCATAGTCAGGCCAAGTTGTGTTACTCGAGTCTTGACGGCGTTCCATCCCGTTAATCGGGAAGCAAAGTGTACGTAACGCGTCAAACCGAAATCCTCGGGGTTTAAGATTTCGTAGGTGGAGGGGTTGTTCAGGATGGCTTTGGCACTGTAACATTTCGTGTTAGTACGCTGAAATACCACGAGAGGAGTCGTTGAAGGGATGAGTTAAAATTGAAAAAGCCGGGTGACCCAAGAAGCTCTCAATTATAACAAGTTGAAAGAATCTCTTGTTTCAAGGATTGACTTACTGGATACCGGCCTTGTGGGTGAAAGCACAGAAACCAGTGATGGGGTTGTTAAAGGGGGTGTTGATCTCCACCGCCTCGGCAACCATATCTTCGATCTGGGATATATTAGATTCTGCGAAGCGCTCGTTGATCAAAATTTAGCTTACCTCCTTGATCATGCTCAGCTTGTACTTGCTCTTGACGTAGTCGGGGCTAGTGACCACCATGCGTGCTAGGAAGCCACCAAGAGGGGTGATGCCGTTACGCTCGCCGACTATAACATGTCAGTAATTGCTATGTCCCATTCAGAATGCCAGCAGAAAATACTCACTTCCGAGTACACTGGTGTCAACGTGTGTTGCACCAGCCTCGAGGGCACAGAAACTGAAGTCAAGTTAGTGACCTGGAACACAATCTTTGTTTTTCTTTTCGAGTTGGAACTTACGCATTGGCAATAGCGCAGCCCGTGTCGTTGTGGAAGTGCGTCTCGATGTCGCAAGCTTAACAATTGGTCAGTAAACGTAGCGTAGAGAAATAAGATGTTAAACTCACAAACTACGCCTCTTAATGTTCGGACGAGCTGTACGGCAAGTTAGTAAGTAAGAACGAATTCTGACAGCGTGAACAAATAATATACCTCGTAGACCTGTCGTGGACTGGCGCAGCCGACGGTATCAGCAATACCGACACGGTTAACACCAATCTTGTCCACTGCGTTGTAGAGTGATAATAGATCTACTAGGTCGGATCGGAAAGAATCCTCGCTAGAAACTACACCATATTAGCGCGTGTCTTCTTCCGAGGAGATTGTCAACGTACATCGGACCTCGATGCCCTTGTCCTTGACGTATTGCACGACTTCCAAGGCAGCCTTGGTGATGAAGGCCATGTCCTTGCCATGGCTGTGCTCCCGGAGGAAATGTGATGTTCCAATGACAATATCCAGGCCATCTACACCAGTGTCGATAGCCATCTGCACATCTCGCATATCGCAACGAACGTCTACGAGTTCACGATTAGTAGGTAAAGAGTATGTGTCTTTTCGGTAGCAACCCACGAGTTAGGATTTTGGCCTTAAGAAAATGTCAGTTGAATAATCCGCACACCAATGAATATATTGGAGGTCGTACCTTGAGTCCGAGCTTGCAGATCTCAATGCAGTCCAAGCGCGATTGCTCAGAAGCAGCCGGGGATGTGAGTTCGATATAGTCGACTCCGAAGGCATCGAGAGCTACGAGGTTGACGGTTTAGCAACGTGATATAGTAGGAGACCAAGCTATAATATAAAGCAATTCAACATACCCTTAGCACTAGACAATGTATGTTAGCGGAAGCGTAGTAAGAAGACACAATATACCGGTGACGTACATGTTAATCTTGGTTTGGGTGTCGAAGTAGGCATTGGCAAATTGTTCTCCCTCTAGAACCGATTATCAGCAACTATAGGAGTTAAATCTAATACAAAAAAGAGGCTGACCTCGGAGAGTTGACTCAATGATCTTGAATCTTCCTACGTTGGACAAAAACTCGCCCGGGTTGGACTGGTAAGGATTGGACCGGCGAATAGGCGCTGTGTCATTGGTGCCATTGGTGCCCTAGAGAAATCAAATATTAACTTCGATAAACGGAAATTAGGATCATATAAGCATATATGACATGACATACATTGCTGGCCGCAGAACCATTTGTTTCACACATCTTTGCTCTCGTAATGGAAAAATAAATAAAAAATAAAAATAAAGTTGGGGAAAAAAAAAGGTGTCGCCTCTTGGGAATTGGTGACCCAGAAGAAATTTCTATTTCAGCATGCAATGAATCACATTTCGCAGTAACAGTACCCCACGTCCGCCGATCGCGGTTCCCCAGCTCAGGGTCGTACCGAATTACCACAGAGCCTGCCTAGGTAGGTACCTATGCAACAAGATCTTAGCAGGGCCAACCTGAACAATCTAAACAATGTCCGCGGGGCTATCACGTGATGCTTACCATTTAAATCCCTGCGGAATGCTTTAGCCTAGGCCGCGGTGACGTATCATAAATTGAAATTGACCAATCGTATATGCCATGTTAGCATTTCGTCTCCTAGGCCCCACCTTGCCTGCCGCAACTTTGTACATACAATACCTGAGTCAAAACAACCCCACCATCAAATACTCAAGTTACATACCTTGCAAATGCCCGTCTGCAGAGACGGCTTATGAAAAAGGAGGTCTATATCTCCTATCCCCTTTTCCCCTTTAGTCTTTGAGCGAGTAGACAGGTTCTTTCCTGATTTAGGTGATATACTGCGGAACGAACAGGGTCTCGGCTTTTGCTAGACCACCGATCTTCAGATTTGAATCTGAAAATTATAGTCAACTTGTAGGTCCCACCATTCTGCCGAAGGTCCCGTTCAACTAATCCACTTCACGCTATCTTGGCCGGCTTGGGAGGCAAAAACTTCTTAGACCTATCTAAATTTGTAAGCATACGGTATCGGAAAAGCCTCCTCTTATACTGAGATTCTTGATCCTGATAATTACCATTCCGAGTTAATTAATGATACCTTCTAAGATGATTACCATACATAAAAGGGTGTTATTAAAAGGTGCTTGCTTCATAATATCAACAACCAAATATGTATTTGCTGTAGGAATTGATACACTCCTGATTACTTATGTCTCTACCTTAAACCTGTATGCTTTTGACAGGTCACAACTTGGCTTCGTTTAACGACACGAGTTTACCGCTTCTGCGGAGCTTGTTCTAGGAAACTTATTAAAGCTATTTTTCTATTAGATAAAGCGTTAAAGAGGGTATACAACTTAATGTAAAATCGTTCATGTTGCTGTCTTATCATTGTGATTGAAAACTGATGTGAGTGAATACGTATACGTCAATCACAGATCTAACAAACAAACCAAGATAATTATTTGTGTATCTTAAGCTTCGTCATATACCACGTAGTCAAGTCCTCCTTTCAAAGTCACACATAGACTACGTGGATACGTATTAATTGATACATTTTGCACAGATGTGAAAATATTAGGGCCTTGGTAGTGTCATGGATTACGTAGTGGTGTAAGTATACGAGCACAGCGATACATCGACGACACCTTGAACATGTGAAAGGATATAAGTATCGATTCTATGCGAATGAGTGCTGGCTTAGAGAGTGGTGTCCTAGTTATAGTTCATATAATCTACATAGTAATTCAGCTAATAGAAAATAATATTATAGAATGCATAACTTGGCACTTAGATGGGAAAAGAAGTGCTATTCGACAGATGCCAAAAAGGGGAAATCTAATATCACCCACCATCGTACGATGATAGTCTGATCGATCTGTAGTATGACCGCATACCCCAGATCTGAAGGCTGCATTATGCCAGATATGAAAGCTACCTCTCGATCGGGTTCAATAAGAGATTGACGAGGATGCTGATAGGGAAAGGTTCTAGAACAAGTGTAACGAATTCAGGATGATCTAGAGCCTCTGTTTGGGTAACAAACATCCTCTGAGGAGACGGGAATCCTTGTTTGAACCGTGCCTAACTTAGTTTTATTATGAGATGTTCGTTATAGCGTTATATTTGCCATTGGTAGCTCAAACACGGGATAATTACTGTAAAGATACCTGTCCAAGGTATGTACGTAAGGTATGTATATATTTAGGCGTCGGGTTGTGACATTAGTAAACGGGTACCTAAGTAGTAATTATTTACAAGCAAACGAACGGGTTAACTATGGTTAAAGTGAGATGAGCCATAACTAGCCATTTCAGATGAAAGAAACGAGATCGCATTAGCTTAAGCCAGATACTCGGGGGAATACTAGGTAGAAACATTGGCATTGTTTCCGCTGCCGAATGCGTATAACGGATATAAAAAACAAAAAAAAAAAAAAAATGGTGAGAAAAATGGATCCTGTAAGCATCTGATTTCAGAGGGATTTGATTGATAACGGAGTTAAACTTTCGGAATGGAGAATATATTTTTTGGAAGCCCCCCCTTTTAAACAACTCACAAGCCACATAGAGAACAATGAGGCACATATGTAGTCAGCCTTAGCCTCATGAGGGCTTATCTGATGGACCGTCACGTCCGCCCTTAACCTAATCCAGGTTTAGCTTGAGTTGAGAAGGCCACGGCATCCGACGTACCCCTGCTAAACCGGCTCCGAAATGCGCTGAGAAACTTGGATCAATTTTTACTTTCAGTTGCAAGCTAGGTATCTTATCTTAGGTAGTTGCTAGGTACCACCACCACCAGCAAAAGCAGCAAAAGCACCAACCCCGAATTCAGGTCAACCTACGTATTTGAGTCGGGAAGATTTTCCACAATTTCGCAACTTGTCACTTCTCAACATCACCATAATAATTGGCGCACACAAACTTGAGGGGAATATATCTCTCGCCATTTTATACTCATTTGCAAACACGAATTCTTGCGCAATTCTTTGTGCAACTTCTTTGTTCCACTGAAATCCGCATCGTCGTCGATCCGCTGGTCCGCGGGCCTTCAATATCTCTCGCATTGGCGGCCCTCAATAAACTCCATTTCTCTTGAAGGGCGACACTAATAAGGGAAGCTTCTCCTGCTTCGCATTTCGCACATCGCCCGCTTCCCCCCTCCGACCTCACCAAAGTCGCAACCCTGGCTCTTCAACCAAAGGCCTTCGGCGAAGGCTCTGAAGCTGTGGCCAAAATGGCCCAGCCCACAATCGTTGAGCCCGTCGAGGATTACGAGTATGCATTCCTTCCTGAGGCATACCGCACAATTTCAGACAGTCAACATGACTTTTATGCAGATACTGACTTAGATCTTGTTACCAGTTATGAGTCCCTGCCCCCCAATTTCTCCCTAGCCCAAAATATGCTTGCTGGCGCCTTCGCCGGCATTGCCGTAAGCCGGATTCCACTCGCCTTTCGGAGCTGATCCGTGGTTGCTAACAGGATGGCAGGAACACACGGTTATGTATCCAATTGACGCGATCAAAGTTGGTGATTTTTTGAATCCAGCCGACTATCCGACTTAATACTAATGGGATATATTATAGACGCGAATGCAGATTCTTAGCCCGTCGGAAGCGAGTGCCTCCTACAAGGGCATGATACAGAGTACTATGCGTATAGCAAGCAGAGAGGGCGTGCTGAAGCTATGGCGAGGGATGTCAAGTGTGGTCGTCGGAGCTGGTAAGCTACCTTTTTTTTAAAAAAGAAAAAGAAAAAAACTATGGCCCAACTCATTTCTCACTATTGGACTATTAGGACCTGCGCACGCCGTATACTTTGCGACGTACGAAGCTGTCAAGCATGTCATGGGTGGTAATAGAGCTGGAGTTCACCACCCCTTAGCAGCAGGTACGCCTTGAACCCGATATCTCGGCAAAGATTATTATGTCTAATCCTCACTATTTTTTCTTTCTCCTTTTAGCAACAAGTGGGGCTTGCGCAACCATAGCCAGTGATGCACTCATGAACCCCTTTGACGGTATGTCGAGCTTCATATCTTCCATACTACCTATATATATTTACCTAGGTACTAACCCTAACGGTAGTGATCAAGCAGCGCATGCAAATCCAAGATTCGAGCAAGATGTACAGGTCTATGACCGACTGCGCTCGATACGTCTATAAGACCGAAGGCCTATCAGCCTTTTACGTCTCGTATCCGACCACCCTATCCATGACCGTACCTTTTACAGCCCTCCAGTTCCTCGCGTACGAGTCGATATCCACAGCCATGAATCCGAGTAAGAAGTACGATCCTTATACGCATTGTCTGGCAGGTGCCGTTGCTGGCGGTTTCGCCGCAGCTTTAACCACGCCAATGGACGTTATCAAGACTATGCTACAAACCCGAGGTACAGCTACCGACCCGGAACTTAGATCGGTGAATGGATTTGTGGCAGGTTGCAGGCTGCTGTACCGACGGGAGGGTCTGCGTGGGTTCTTCAAAGGAGTTCGGCCGAGAGTGGTGACTACAATGCCGAGCACAGCCATCTGCTGGTCGGCTTACGAAGCTTCCAAGTAAGTCCACTCTGATCCCGGTGTTATACTGTTTCCGAGAACGTCTTATATTCACAATTTTATGCTGTAGGGCGTACTTCATTCGCACCAACGCGTCATCGTCATGATGGGGTTGAGTCAGGCAACAATTCAGTTTTGTTTTATTAAGGTAGCTATCCATGAAGGACTCCACAAATCGGCTCCCTTTCTTTGCCGATCTTTCCCGTCATCAGGATATCTCCGAGGTACATGACCGAAGCCGAAGCCGAGGCTGCGAGTCTCGTTTCCTGCATTTATCTGGTTTCGGGTTGTTCGGGCCTAACGTGCCCTGCTGCACAAGGAACATCGAACTCGTTCCACAGGCTTACCGAAGCCGTCGCAGGCCTCATGTGGAATGCAACAATGATGATTAGTTTTCCTGGATAAACCTATCCGTTGGAGTTTTACGTGGGGTTGTTTTCCCGTGGACTTCCGAGATGTTCTACCTCTTCCGGGACACGATGCAAAGAAGAAAAAAAGATAATCCACGAGCAATCGGGAATAAGATTTTCAAAAATGGCCGGAGAGAAAAGAGGGGGGGATCATTAAGAGGGGAGGAGTGGTTCCATGTGTCTGGGTTTAGACACTGAAATCCGGAATGTACATATCACATTTGCTTTTTTCTACGTGCCATATCCTCCGACATCTTGCCTTCATTGGCCCATAGATGGGAGGAAGGATCGAAATGAATGATACTGACAAGGAGCTTTACGAAAAGCCCTGGCGTTGAACTATTTTTTTTTCTCTTCCCTTTCTTGTACAATCGTTCTTTTATTGAGGTTATGATTCATGTAAGCAACGACTTATTAATTGTTGCTAGACGAATCGGATAGAAAATTACTTGACGTTCGGAACTATGAGGTTTAGAGGGGGGCCAGGGGAGAGAGACATTTCTATGATCTGATCGTATCAGATGGTGGTGGTGGGCATATTCTTTCTTTCAGCTCAAGTCGCCGTGTATAGGTGGGTGTTTTGGTACTGGGTATTAGAGCTATGTGACAGGCGACGAAGTGATGCTGCCTACATCACAGGATAAGACGGGACGAGACGATAAATTAAAAGCTGGGTACTTGTGTTAAGTTAAGTAGGGTATATATATGTGTTATAGTATCGGCGATGTTATGTTTTGAATTGAATAATAGGATTTTTGCACCTCTAAGCCCGACTTATATGTTACTTTCTTTAACGCATATTATATCATACTGTGCTTATTATTCCACCGGAGTTCACAAATTCCAAGTCCGTTATTGAATATGCCGGCCATGATATAGGTTAGAAACAAGGAATAATAAGATAAGATTCAACTCCGCTCAAAAAGCAATCAAGTAAGTCATAACAACCTATATCAGGGCCACGGAACTGTGAATACACATCTCTCTTATACAACTAACTGTACAAGCCCATGTATATTTATTGTAAGGTATGTATATACTCACAGGGTCAAAACCAGGCAAACGAGCAAGTAAGGCCCAAACCTAGCAACAACTGCGCTTCACCTAAACGGATATTTAGCTAGGTAAATAATTAATTGTTATCTTTACTGACTTAATTTCCAGCTTTCTCAAACGCAAAAACTTGTAACGATATTCTTTGAAGACTCCACAAACCCCACAAACTCCCAACCTCCCGCCATAGACGGTTCATGCAAGAATTCTTCATCTTCTTCATCTTTGTCTCCTTCTTCACATCTTTATCTTCTCTCGTCTCTCTTCTTATGTCTCCCCTTCTTATTCTTAACCGAAGGGGAAACCACCCGGGAAACCACCGCCTCCCGAACCGAACTTGAAGTGGAATTGTTGACCGCCGCCCTGCTGAAACATGAACGGGTGTCCTTGTTGGAATGGGTTGCCCTGCTGCTGCTCGTGGGAATTAGGGTCATCGCCGCGGTCGAACCGTTCGCGCAGCTCGGGGTTGCTGAGCACCTCGTACGCCTCGTTGATAGCAGCCATCTTCTTCTCCGCCTCCTCCTTGCTCAGGCCCTGCTTCGCCGCCTTGTCGGGGTGGTGAATCTTGGTAAGTTTCCGGTAGGCCGACTTGATCTGTCGCTCGTCCGCGTCGTGAGACACGCCGAGAACCTTGTAGTAATCTTTCGTCTTGCTGCGCTTGAGAGCGACCTGGGCCTTCTGCATCAGGGGGTTTATGACATTGTTCTTGTCTGGTCTTATTTCTGCTGCTTTCTTCAGAGTCGCTACACAACTTTCGAATTCCTCGGCGTCTAATTGTGTTTTGGCCTTGTACAAGAGACCGTAGAGGGAATTTTCGTCTAGTTCTAGAGCTTTCGGACAATATATGCTAGCCTTCTTGCCATTTGCCTGTGAAAATATTAGCAACTCATCTTGAGTTTCGAGCGTTAGATAAGTAATTGTCATACCTCGTAGTAAGCCTGACAAGCAGTCTCAACTAATCTGGCCAGTAACACATTGGGTGACCGCTCCGGGATGATACCAGCTTTCTTGTACTCCTTAATCTGCTCTTCTATCTCGTTGATCAGACCCGGTTCGTCGCCGGATGGTATTAACAGCTTAACACCCGACATGGGCTGATTTCTCTCCAAGGCCTTGTTGACTTTAATTATCGTCTTATCGATGCTCTTCTCTTGTTTTAATAACTTCTTGCAGGGTTTAGACTCGGGGTCGGAGTGCAGACACTTCTTGGCCTGTCCCATTCCCTGTTCCAAATCCCCTAGAGCGTAAAACGTAGTAGCCGATATCTGTAAATGGGGGGTGGTATCGCCCGGTTTCATCTGTAGAATGTGTTGTAAGTCGCCCAGCGCCCCTTCAACTTCTCCCTTCTCGAATCGACATTTGACGCGTAGCTCTCGAAGGTTAGGAGCGCGGTTTGCGACGAGGATGGCCTCGCTGGCCTGGCTTATGCAGTCGTCCCAATTTCCCTTTTTTGCAGCTTCCTCGGCCAGCTTCGCGGCGCCCTGCGCCTCAACAAGCTTCTCGAATTCGGGGGAGCCTTGCTTATGCTTGGCTAAAATGTAGTGTTGCTTGGCTCCATCCCAATCGGCACTCCTGGCCTTTAACTTCCCCAGCTGCAAATGCGCGCCTTCGAAATCCGGCTTCAGTTGTAAGACCTTGTTGAAGTCCGAGGTGGCCTGCGACGTGCGACCGAGCGAGAGGTTGGTAGTGGCGCGTTTGAAGTAGGTAAGGTAGTCATTGGGGTCACGGGCGACAGCAGCGTCGTAGTACATAAGAGCCTCGCTAGTTTCGCCTTTGGTTAAATGTGACTGCGCCGAGGAGAGAAGATTCGAGATTGGGGTATCGGAGGGTATATCAGAGGCAGAGAGTGCTTGAACGAGGCCGGTAGAAGTGAGCGCTGTGGCTGCAAGAGCCAGCGCTGATAGAGGGACAATCATGATGAGAAAATGGATTTGGTTGGCCTGTTGGCGCGGACGCCTTCAGGTTTGTTTCTTTTTCTTCTATCTTTATCTTTTAATTGTGTTGCCGAAGCAAACGAAGGAGGTATCTAGTAATTACAGGATAGATGATGGATAGAAGTTAGGAAGTAATAGTTTGTAGAAACACAGAGAAATGTTAGAAACTCGGAAGTGAACGAAGGTATAAATGGGTTGAAAAGATACAAAAGATTAACAAGTGGCTACTACGCGCAATTCCATCCATTATCTGTTAGTTAAGTACTTATAAAGATGCTGTATTTAGGCTGTTCGGAAAATGTACCTTTCAAACAACTTTATCCCTGCATGGACAACCTGGCCACATGCAACTTCCTATGTATTTGTGTACCTTAGCTACCTCATGCATGCATTGTACGTAGGTACTATAGTACCACCACCGATCATGCGCCACATTTTTAGTATACATGTATATTTCCCCAAGCGGTAAGAGGGGCTAAAGAACCTGTCCGGGGATTTGCAGCCGATGATCGATCAAAAGCTCTACCCCACCAATGCCCCCCTTAATCCCTGCGTGTCGCGTGTAATCGACGTGTAACCTCTTCGAACGTCTCCAAATTTTGGAGCTTCACTTCAACCTTACCAAACCCCAAGGAACAAAATACAAGAGAGTCTCTTTTTTCTTTTTTTTTCTTTTCCCTTTACTCACAATGTCGCATCTCGCCCCCTCCCAAGCAGCCATCTTCTCCCCCTCCGTCGCCCGCGCCGCAGCCTCTACCGCAAAAGATTGGTCTTACATCGACACCTGGCTGCGTAGCATCTTCTCCAATTCTTCCTCTTCCTCTTCTTCTTCCTCTTCGTCCCGTCGCCCGCCCCATTTCGAACGCAACCCCGAAACCCTCAAGGCCCTCCTCGCCCTGGCCGCCGCCAACGAAGCCGCCGACGACCACCGCGAGCAGCTCTTCCGCGTCGAGCAGGCCGCCCTCGACGAGATACGCGCCGCGGAAAAGGACCGCGAGGACCGAAGACAGCGTGTAGAAGCGCAAAAGCAAAACCAACAAGGCTATGAAGGAGAAGAACAAGAACAAGAAGAAACAACAATAGACCCCGAAATCCTCGCCTCCGACCTCCTCTCCGCCCTCGAAGCCAACCTCTCCAAAGACGGCGCCGCCGCCCTCGAAGCCATGGCCGCCGTCGCCGCCGAGCTCGGCGTCGCCTACCCGACCCCGGAGGTCCTCGGGTCCCAGTTCGTCGAGCTGCAGGGCCGCGCCCTCGAGCTCGAGGACGGCCTCGAACGCGTCGATCTGTTGCGCCGGTACCTCGACCGCGAGGCCGCGCGCGCCGAGGCCTTCCTCGCTGAGCTGCGGCAGTCTACGTCTAACAACGCTCCTAATCTAAACGATAGCACTATGAGTATCGCTGGTGGTGGAAGTGGTGGTGGTAGTGGTGGTGGCAGCAGCAGCATATTCGCCCTCCCTCCCGATCTCCCCCGGCAGAACCTCGAGCTCCAGCGCCTCGTGAAGAGCACGTCCTCGCGCCTGCCGGAGCTCACGCAACAAGTACTCTCCCTGGAGAAAACCGTCGGCATTCCCAGCGTTACCGTCGAGGACGTGCGCGCGGACGAGGAAGCGTATCTAGACTTGCTCGCTCGGAAGAAGGACCTCGACGCCCAGGTGCGCGCCTTTGCGGGACTGCCGCCCGACGTCGAGGCCGCGCGCGCCGAGCTGGAGGCCCTCCGCGCCGAGCTCCGGGATGCGACGGAGCGGCGAGATGAGAATTTCGAAAAGTTGGTGGAGCGCGAGAGTCCGGTCAAGGTCAGGAGGAGACCCAGATTAGATTAGGACTGCCATAGACTTCAAAGGAGCTGTAAATACGCATAATACACACGCTTATACTGGTCCCTAAAGCAACGTGAATATACGTGTATCTATGTATGAACGCCATTATTACCATTACTATTTGTATGTGCTCTTCAGGTATCCCCCCTCCGCTGTACAAATGATGATAGTACTCGATACAAGACATACATGATGATCTAACGAAGCGCTTCTACAAAAATCACCTTCCTCGTGGTACAACAAGTTAGCATCTCAATATCTCGCATACCCTTCTATAATGATGTAAACAAGTGATCGCACAATCCGACGCCATAATCTACTCCAACTCTATTGTTGCTGTGATCGTTTCCCTCTACCAGAAACCGACGCGCCAAGTCGTCCGAACTGTTTTCCTAAACTCGAACGCTTCGGCGGTGGGGCAGCAGGTGGTATCGAGTCTTTCGGCGATACGGCTGGGATGGGCGCCGGCCGTGGAGGTTCCCTTTCCGTGATGCGTAGTCCGCCGAAGTCTGGCCCGTCGTCGAGATTCCTGCCGTTCAGCATCCTCTGTGCTCGCCTCGCCTTGTCCTGTACGCTCCTGAACTTTTCCAAGAGCTGGTCCCACCTAATCGTGTTGTCTTCGCGGCCCTTACCTAACCTGTTCGGGCGGTCATAATTTGAACTACTAGGTGTAGCGGCAGGACTAATAACGCATGAAGAATAAGTGTCATGGACGCTTTTGGAACGAGGGTGATAGCTTTGGTAAGAGGAGACGGCTTCGGCTACTAAACCTTGCCGAGAAGTTGTTAGGGGAGCAGTGAGGCATGGTACATACGGTCGAGGCCCGATTTGCAAGTATCCTATCGAGCTTACGCTGTTCAATCTGTTTTTGAGTGCGGCAAAGGCAGAGGACTGCGGCAAAAGCATCAAAATTCCATATAGACATTTGTAGAGGTACGGGTATTTCTCGGGCTCGAGAAGCTGTAGTCGAAGATCTGGTAGCCCAACGGCGTCTTATTAACATATCTTTGTCAATTGCAGGCTCGGAATTGGGTTAACTCACATGTGAAAACAGGGGACTCGATCAGCTGGACAAGCTTGTCGATCTGAATAAGAATATTAACTGTCATCTCCAGCTCCGCACTTGTCTATATTAGTAAATTGACCACCTAGGTAGTTACTATAAATATACTCTTATTTGGCTTCACTTACAAGATCTGTAGGAGATTATATGCAGCCTCGTACGCCTGAGCGAGTAGACATAGGGAAAAAGTCGCCACCGCATTATAACACCAAGAGCGAAATAGGGCGACGAAGAAGGTTTGGCCTTCCTATAACAATAGTGAGCAATACGCAAATCATAATTTCATTAGGTGGCTAAACAGCCTTCATTACCTTGGTTTCTAGATTCCTTAACCGTTTCCTGAGGTCAGCCAACTCCGGCGCCGTAATGAGATTGTTGTTGAGGTTCTGCACCATAATGCTGGCAAACTCGACATCCTCTTCTTTTTCGATCGCTTCGGCTAAAGTACGATATATCCTCTCGGGACTCAAAGTCATGCACAATTGGCGGATAATTAGGTTCCCTCGAGTCTCTAATAACTTTCTATCAGTGGAGAAAAGCTGTAGGAGGCTGACCATGAAGTTTGAAAAATAGTCGTCTTCGCTGTTTCTCGATATTTGCGATAGTAGTTGCAAGTCTTTGGTTACGACAGCTTCTGCTGGATCAGAAAGTGTCTTGAGGAGGGCGGGAAATGTCCCGTCATTGAACGCAACGATCTTTCTAGGTGCTTTTCGATGCAACATAATAAGCCAAGTTAGTGCAGCAACACGAGTTGCCTCGTGGTCGTTCAAAAATAGTAAGGTAAGAGAATTGACGGCAGCAGCATAATCCAAGTCCGGCTGGGGCTGGGCTTGTTGGGCGGGCGTTGATGCTCGGCGATGCTGAGCTGGCGTGGGACTACGTAGATCGATTTCGCGATTGCTCGACAAGGAGGCTCGCGTACTAGACACTCCCTCGGGGCGGTCAGTAGCAGGTGCAGAGAGTCGTGACGTCGATTGACCAGGGGAGACTTCGTTTTCATCCGCCAGAGAAACAACGTATTCCATGAGCGACGTGTTCACCCTTGTCGCAGCTAGCCGAATCGACTCGACCCCGCTAGCCATCGCTGGGAGGAGATGAGCTAATATTTTGGGAGTAAACGGTAAGACCTCTTCGGGGCAGATGTCTAGAAAGGAGACTATCCATCGCAGACTCTCTAGGAGACTATCTTCCTCTATCTCAATATTAGAATCTGCAATGATATCATTCGGCCAAGAACACGTACCCAGTGGAGAGTCAAGCGTCGCGGTGAGAATCTCAAGAATGGCCTTATAGTTGATCTGCACATCCTGCCCCGGAATCCAGTCGTCCTCGCTGCTGACTTCATCATCGTCCTCATTAGCAGTAGCAGATCCCGCTTCATCAGCATCGTCCGCCTGACGCATACTACCGCTGTCGACAGAGTCCTCTCGTTTTCTCTTTCCCTCCCCCTTTGATTTCCTGCTTTCGGCGATCCCTTTCTTTACTCGGGAAATCCTCTTGATCTCGTTCAAGAACTTATCCAGACAGGCTTGGGTGGCCGCATGAACATCGGCATTGTTGCCGCTGACAAACTTGAGCAAGCCTCCCAGGAACTCGGGTAGGTACGTAACCAATTCGAGGTCTGGAATCGAGTCAAGCAGAGTAATCCATCCAACAAGGAACGTTCTAGTAAACGGGTTCATAACCCATATCCGTTCTTTGAGGAGGGGGATAAAATCCGGCAGGGAGAAAGCTGTTGGAAGGTTTAAATTTGGTGAAGTGATTGAGCCAGAGTCCTTGGCTTCATAAGGTGGGGGCTGTTCACTCTCAAGCACGGACACATATGTAGCTGCAGACTCAGAGACGATGTCCTTGATAAGGCGATCGAGAAGTTCGGCGCCATTTTTCACAGAGAGTTCGGAGTCTGCGCCTAGCTGCAGTAGAGAGAGTGAATGTCAGGCTAACGAAAAAGAAGTCTCAGATGGAGGGGGGCGTGAGTACCTTGCATAGAGCATCAAATATATGATTAAAATACTTCAAAATCTCCCCCTTGGCGACTTTGGCAATGTTGTACATAGATTCGCAAGCATAATAGCGAACACGAGCATCTTGGTCTGTGAAACAAGCCAGTACAGGCGGTACTATCACTTCGAGGTATCTCGGTAATTCCTTAGAATGGGTCAGATTGAACAGTATCAGGAGGCAACAAAAGGTTTCTGAACAAGGGGATAGAAGAGAAGGGGAGGGAGGAAACATACTGGGCCGAGGGCAATCGCGGCGGCAGCCAGACCTATCAAGCCTCCGTTGCGCGCATGAGGTTGGTGGACAGCATAAGCATATTCGTTACACAACTGCTCGAGGATATCCTTAACCCTATTGTAGTCCTTGAGAACTACAAGCTCTCGGATGGAGCGTTCGAGCCTGTTTATAAGTTAACGAAAGCTAACTCGACATCAAATTCAAGGTATTTTAGATATTTATCCAGGGAGACGAGACTCGGAACATACTCAAGGGCGCCGGTCTTCCTCTTGTCATATAGCTTGTCGTTAAGAAGGCGCTGGACGTTGGGTTCCATCGTTGCGTTCTCGTCTCAGCACCGCAAGTCACGTTACCATGCCGCGCCGAGATGTAGATAAGGGTATTTTGGTAGTTCATCAACAGCGCTGAATGGGAGATATCTGATTAAATATTTCAAGTGTGGTTTAGACGGACGAATTGACGATAATGAATATCTGATAATAAGACTTGATAGAAAAAAGAAGAGAAAAGCAAAGCAAAGGGCAAAAAAAAGGCAAAAAGCAAGTCGAATTACAATATTGTTTTGGATATTCTATCAAAGTAACCTGGAATCAGAACCTTGCCGAAGTACGTAACTACGTTGAGGTGACCTGCAAGGCAAGGCAAGGCAAGGCAAGGCTGAGAGGATGAAGCGTTCAATGAATGATGATGTATGTGTATTGTGAGGGGCGAATTGAAATAAGTGATTACAGCTTTGCTGCGGGTTCAATTCGACCGTGCAAGGATTAAAGTTTGGCGGGGCAGCGGGGGGCAACACTACCTAGGTACCTAAGGTAAGCTGCGTAGCTGCTAGCATACAGTATACTACCTTAGGTATGTACTACATAGTACCTACAATACATCATACGTAAACAGCTGACTGCTAAGTCCTGACTCCTGACTGCTGACCGCTAAAGGCTGACGAGGCTGAACCTTCTAATCTCTAAAGTCTACATAATATGTACATAGGTACCTGTAACTTGTAAGCGCTTCTACTATGTACAGTAGGTACATTAACCATCGAAAGGCACTTTGCTTATCAGCGTGATATGACATCTGCGCCAAGGTTCCCTAAGCCAGTGCCCTGGGACCAGACGAACGTCCCCCAATTCTCGCAGCTAAAAGGCAGTTAAAGTTTTGGCCTACGGAAACGTGCAGATTCTTGCGCATAGCGCGCTTTGATCGAAATTCAAGCTTAACATCATTCCATTCGCTTCGCTCCAAAAGCACGTATTTCTTAACCATCATATTTATTTGGAAATGCGAAATAGTAAGGCAACGGGATATCTGGGAATACATTATTGGCAACGGTTTCAGGAAGAAGGGGAAATAATAAAATAGAAAGATTACATGTCGATGTACGAAGGACCTTGGAGAAAAAGGGTGCCTGTCGTTAGGAGTCAACAAGAAAATCATTCGATTATCTTTCTTCTTCTCTCTACGTTGACCAAGATGAACATGTCAGTTTCTCTTGGCTTCGTAGGATGTCAGAATACAGGGTACATCCCGCCGACGGAAGCAAGAAACGTCCTACCTGCATACATGACGAGGATAAAGAAAGGAGAGTGAGAAAGTGAGAATACTCTGCCCAATCTTGGAGTTTTTTTTTGGGGGTTTTTTTTTTTTTTTTTCTTAACCGCTGTAGCCACCAAAAGTAGTCGGCTACCCGCGGGTTCGCGTTCGTTTATTATTATTCGCCGACTATTTCGACCGGCGTGTAATACCCCTGGATAAGGGTTTCTTCTAAGTCGGGCGTGTGTTCCCGCGTGCTGGTAGGGTCAAGTGATATGTTAAAAAAAAAATCGAATTCGGCAAGTTTTCCCAATTGATAAATGACGCGACGTCGAGCACAGCCCTAGATATATTAGGTACATCCCTACCATATGTATTGATATGTAGGTATTGTGAGGGTTAGATAGGGTCAGACAGAGCATATCCCCTCTGCCGTGTAGGTACTACGTGAGAAATATTTCCGCATGTATAATGACGCAGCAAAATTGCTACATACGACGGGAGCGTCCGTTGTGGTCGTTGTTATTGTTGTACTGGGGCTACCTAGATCTTCAGATGAGCCCAATTTATCTGAAGATCCGACTACTGGGATACCCGCTGCTCATTACTTATACTAGACTGTTTAGACAAGTTCGTACACATACATAGATTGGATAGATGTACTTCACATGAACACTGTGCGTGATGAATGCTACGGCTTTGGTAAGTAGTAGTTTGTTGAAAACTTCGATATAGCATCACTGTTATAACAACGTCTGATTCAGAGTCAAATAAATAGGCGGGGTAGATTTAAGATGTGTGCCTGGCTTGGGCCTCAATGTTGTTTCGTTGGCGGATAATACCGTTCCTTTCCTTCTGGGTAAGTATACCCTTTTATTCTATCAATTCTCATATTTTATTTTTATCTTAGCCTTCTTGTCTTCATTACCTTGCCCCCCTATTATGCGAAGTACGTCTAATACCATAATTCCTTGCAGGTGTTGTGTTGTATCATCTACGTCACTTCTCAACTTTTTTCCTTTTCTTTCCTTTCTATTTTCTTTTTCCTTCTTTCTATTAATTTTACGAGTAAATTCTTTGCTGAAACATGATTCATCAATTATTCATGCACCCAATACTAATACGTTTTCTAATAAGCCGAACTGACTCCAAGTCGAAGCTAAGCCATCACGCCTGTACACCCCCTTTTTGGGTAAGCCGCATCAAACTGGCGAAACCCAGGATCCGATCAGCTGGTATACCTTATAGCTATGTCACATCGGATATAAGTAAATTTGCTGCTTGGGACTACTTCTAAAGTAACATTGTTGGATACCTAGGTGTACTTCATACCTGAGCACGACCTTGGAATCGGGGTTTGGGAATTGGGTATCTGCTGATCTTGGTAACGACAGTAAGATGTGGTCCCTTCCCCCTTTCCGCCCCTCGAACGGAGAATTCTGAAGTAGCCAATAATGAAGATGAGGCGGCCCATCCAAAACAAGAACAAAAAAAAGGGTAACCTATTAATGTACTCTTAACTGGCATACACGGTGGCTTTACTAATAATTCTACTTGGTGCGTTAAAGAAGAAGAAGATTGGAAAATGAGAGAAAAGTTGCCAGTTGCTCTGCCTGACTTGTCCCGGTATATTCCGCTTCTCGTCCACGATCATGTGCGCACCGCGATGGTGACGTCGATACTACGGCATCATTACCCACGCGCTTTTCTCCCGCCAGCTCCTTCGCCCAGTCCCCCACCCAACGCGGTTCATAATTCCCCATCTTCAGCCAACCTGAGACCATCGCCTTATGATCTATCACAAAGGGGCCCCCGTCTAGAGCTTCAGTTCCCGGCCTCTATAAAGCGGCGCTCGCGCCACTATCGCACCTGTGTCAGCCCATGCGGGAACTGCTGATTGGACGGGGACAGCCCCGGATCCTCTTTTACTTTTCCTGGCCGCTGTCGTTTTTCTTCTGGTCTGAGTCGCTCTTCCGCCAGGATCCGTCCGAGCCATCGCCCTTCTGATCCTTGTTGTTTCGGGCGGCCATATCTGCACGCTTTGCGAAGGGGTCCTGCTCCCGTAGTAAGTATCAGTAAGCAAGCCATCGATGGAAACTAGTAGATCATGGCGTAAGTACGTTCTTCCCGCGGGACTTAGCAATCCGCGTGGCTGACTTCTCGTCCATCTTTGTTGGTCCCATATCGTAAAGAAAAAGATCAAAACCTCCCAAAAACTGGAGAAACCGAAAGTGTATACGTTGAAGAACGACCCAACCTTACGCACTCAGAAACAAGCACAACCCAGGACGACTAAACGGTAGATGATAAGAGGAGTGCAGAGTTTGAAACAGCGAGGGAAGACCAGAATATATAGTCCAGGCCGTGCTCCTGAAAACAGACCGGTCTACTAGCCTTTCCAAATTTGAAGCAACCTGCCAGGGTCACACCGTATTTGCTTTTTTCACTTTACACTCTGCTAAAGATATCGTGGTTGTACACGAGGCAAGGCTTGTCTCTTCGTTCCCAACGCATCACTGGCCGCGGCATCTCTCTCGAGCGTCATGCTATGCACGCAAGGAAAGCTGCAGCAAGCATGTCGGTATGTAAGACAGTAGCAAACAATAGGGTAACTGACATGATGTAGAGTCATATGCGAGGCACCTTCTGCCAATCTCGTCCTCGCGTTCAGATAATTAGTGGTTCCAGATATAATATTCTAAGGATCCATATTGGTCGGTGAACAGACGATGCTTTAGGTACTTCCTCTCAGTCGTGTAGCAGCCCTGGATGCAAAACTTTCTTGCTTGGACATTCTAAAGCCGGGGCCGGGTTGCTGCAAGAAAGCGACGGGAACACCCACCTATCGACTTTGGGCATACACGCGACCCCTTCGGCAGGCAAGACCTTTCCCGCCTCGCAGGATTCGTGCGGCTGTCCAGAAACGCTTCTTTACCCAACGAGAGTCGAAAGTTATTAAGGTTTATCCTCGACCGAAAACCCGCGGCAGCCGAAGGTACTAGAAAATATATTTGAAGCAAGCGACCACTAAGAGCTTGTCCAGAACCTCAGCTTGTACACATGGCTACACGTAGCGTGGATTGAGATGTAAGAGATTATCGAGCGTTTCATAAGAGCATTAAATCAATCTATGTGAGAACTGCCAGGAATCAGCTCACAATAAGGCAATCTCTCAGGCATGCATATATCCCTCTTGTCCGGTAGGGCAGCAACATGGTAAACTACCTTCTTCATGATCTTGGGCACCTGGTTTGGACGAAAGCCCCTACGCCAGTGCAGCATACCGCGGCCGATTTTAACAATATACCTTGGTAGTGGACGAGTCGCAGGTCAGGTACGAGACCTACATTTGATTCGTCCAGCTCGACATCGTATCGGCTCGCTACGGGGATGCTATTGTCTTGGAATCCGAAAGTTATCAAATTTCCATTCAACCAGAATGGCTAGATAAACCGAGTGCAATACCGCCGAGTTTTCAAGAGCACCATCTCTTGTAATAATCCCGACGAGGTTGCATTAGGTTTTGAGAGGGTTGTAAGGCATAAAGTCCGAGAAATGTCTCCAACATTATACCGAGTCAACCCTATTCCATTTTCCGTTGGTTGACTTCCGCTGCAGAAAGACACCGCTAACCTATTTACAGAGCTTATCAAAAGCTACGACAAGAGATGGGTAGCACCATGCTAGAATATTAATGAGGGTGTCCATGAATTGGATCATCCCCCTCGCTGATGACCTTCTGACACTTAGCAAGGATGGCTGCTTGCCTCGACACCTCGGCTAGCGTGCCAACAACCTGCTTATTACCATCCACGAAGCCGTATAGCGCGTACGGGATACCGACATCGTTACAAAACTCCTGTACCAGCTTTTGCGTGCGGCGGAGATTATGGCGCGGAATCCTGGGGAACAAGTGGTGGATCACTTGGAATTGCAGACCGCCATGGAAAAAGTCCAGCCACTGAGGGCAGTCAATGTCCATGGTCGTGCGCAGCATCTTCTGAGGAAATGATTCGTGGGGGCCCATATCGGATGTGCTCATTGCGAAGTGGGAAAGACAGATCTGCGCGTGGACGGGCATGGGGACCATGTGGCTGATCAGGAAGAAGACGAATCGATCCCAGTTGTTTGGGATCAACTTATACACTACTCCATAGAAGTACCAAGTAATGAAACAAAGCTGCCCGACTATCTCGAACCACCCATGCCACCAGGCAGGTCCCTTCTTGGGACCCCTGCGAGCAAGTAAATAATCCCAGGATAGGCGGTAGAGGTTCAGACGTCCGAAAAGGAGAAGTATGTAGTAAGTGTACGGCTGGATCCTGAGCATGAGCTTTGCTGCAGCATCGTACTCCATTACACGATCGTAGAAAGTGGAACGCATCGACGTGAAGAATCGGTGGGACACAGCCATGAACGGCATATGTTCAATATCCGGGTCGTGCTCAGGTGCATTGGTAACAATATGATGCACATTATGGTTTCGCTTCCACCATCCTAAGGAGAGCCCACCTAAGAAATCGGCAATGATGATACCAATAACGGTATCCGTGTGGAAGCCATGCGTGATACCCATGTGACCGGCGTCGTGGGCGGTAAAAACAAGTTGATGCCAGAATGCGCCTAGGCATATTGCACTAGGAACGTACCAACTCCAATGTAAAAAGAGGAAGGTCAGGGCGAAGAGGATAGAATACCGGGTACACTCGATTGCATATGCCCCATAGTTACACTTATAGAGACCTTCGGCTTTGATCCGCTCGCCAAGATGGCGATATTTGGCCACGATGGTATCCTGGGTATCAAAATCCAGGGAGGGGTATTTCTCCAAATCCAAAGTTGTCTTCTCCCTGGTAATAGTATCGAGGTACGACATGCCATCATCGTCAGGTTCCACAGAAGACACGGAAGATGTTGATGAAGATTTGGGCACTGCCCCATCAGCACCGCGCCGTTTTCGAACCTCGGAGTCGGCGCCGTCAAAAACGGGAGAAGGTTCCCGGGAACTCGGGCTGCTCGAAGTAACAGTAGAAATTACGTCTCCTTCTTCAGCCTCCTTCTCAACATCGTCGCCCCCTAGTAATGGTCTGAATTTACCACCTTGGATAGGGGGAACGAAGTTGGTCCATCTTCCTTCTATTCGACCGATCCGATAACGGTTCATTTGCTGTCTTGCTTCGGCAGAATGGAGACTATAATAAATAACAAGGACATGTTAGAGTATTGAGATTCTGATGCGGGTAATAGGGTTATACGGGAGAGAGCAGCACTAACGCAGTGACTTCATCGGTAGCATCTCGACCAACCATATGCAGGATTGCCTTGTCACCACCTGGGTGATACGGGAGCCAGGCATCGGCCTTGAATACGTATTGGTCAGCGATGAAAATGTGTCGTCCCTCGGCGATTAGACCTTCAATCTGCCTTCTCGACAGTATCGGGTACGTTTTTTCAGCCATTATCGCCCACGTCCACCAGCTTCTTTAGAGCCCCCAGGTACCCAACGAATAGCAAAGGGAGTAAATAGACACAAAAGGTCTAGCTTAATGCTCAAAGGAGAATTTACGCAACCATTTCATGTAGGTAATGAAAGGGAGGGTATATAGAACCGGGAGGGATTGTGTATAAGACGATTGGTAGAGGTACCTTTTTTATCAAAAAAAAGATGGGATTATTTAAAAAGTCAATGGACATTAAAACATTAAAATGCTAAAGTTTAAGGCACGTCCTGAACAGTCCAGACGAAGAGCCTTGGGAGCTAAGGAGAAGCGGTGGAAACGAAAGAGTGGGGGTTACTTCACCGTAACTCTCCGCACAATCCGTTTGGGTCGATCCCCCCTGAATGTTGTTTTGACCAATGATGATTGGTTCAATAAGCCACGACGCCTTCCCCACCGTTCCCCATTTCTCAACCAATACGTACAATATGTACATTATCATATGTACACAGCCACAACTTTTATACCCAACAGACTACCTCACAGAATGTTGCATCTTTAGCATCACTTTTACATCTACCTGTTAACATCACGCCAAGCACATAACGTAGGAGGTATATTACACGTCAGATACGCATAAACATAGCTGACCAAAGATTTCTTCTTTTTCCTTCTTTTTTATATACTATGTAATAAAAAAATATAAAAAAATAAAATAAAAAAGCCAGACTCGGGTAGCTCATCCGTACATAGTAACCAGCTGTATGGTATGACTTGTAAATCATACCCTTGCAGTCGTACGACTCGCCAATATACTAAACCACCTAGCCTAGCCGCCCCAAGCAAGAAAAATATCTCTATATTATTCAATTCGGATGAAGTGTTAAAAATTGACTTGTCACTTAGGCATACGGAGTCTCTATCAAGCTACTTGGGCAACGCTAGATACGACGTCAAGAGTAGCTGATATCCATTACGTGTTTCCGGTAAAGTTCTAGTGAGCTTCACCGGTGTTGGATTAACCACAAATTGACATGTGTAGGACCCTGTATCTAAGTTTCCCAACAGGTCATTATCATTCGAGACAATTCGAGACACAGATAATTAGTGCTTTAGGTGACTATGTGGTAGAAATACGACGACATAGTGTATTTACAATGCCGCCAGTACTAATCAAATCTCAGGTTTAACTATACCCTTCGCCGGAACCAGGAATTGGCAAATTCAGGGACGGGTTTCTCCGTGTGATAATAGATAACTCGACACAACGAAAGTATTGTATCTTGGGTCCTCGAATTAAGGAATTACCCATACTATCACGGTGTGAAACTAAAAAGACTATAGAGACAACAGAGCCACTCCGTACAGAACTCTTATTTAGCTATATAAGCCTACTACTTACTATGCATACCAGAAGTGTCCTTTACCCCAGAATCTCGTCTAGAATCCGAGCTCATGCGTTGTTCTTCTCCGCTAATTTCAGGAGGAGCGGGCTTGCTCTTTACTCTTTCACGTAGGTTTAGGTATGCCAAACCACCAATCTAACATACCTAACGTGGTCCTAGAAGACTGGTAATTGTCCTGGTATATCTTTGCGTTATGTAGGCAAAGACGAAATTCTAGGTATCTATATCCATTCTAAGTATGCAATGATGACCCGTAGATGAAACAGAAACTTCCTAGTAATTCCGCTACTTGGTAATGGGTTTATAGAAGTAGGAATTATTAAGAGCAAGCCGTACGTTTACATCTACCTAGCCATGCAGTCAGTCGTAACGTCGTAACTGTACATGCAGCCCTACATTCCCACATAGGAACTAGACGAATAGGAACACGCGGCAGCCGGTGATATACGTATGTCGAGTCAGGTGCACGTCCTTACAAGACGAAGGAGGCAAATAATATACCTAAAAAGGGCGTACCTAGAACTTGCTCCTAAAGAAGGGGGGCTTATGTTACATGCCGGCTTCGCGAACCACGAACCGGATCTCGCCCGCGCCGTAACATCTCCCAAAAAGCGCTTCCTCGGAGAGAAGGACTGAGAGAAGGACAGGGGCGAAAGAAGATAATCCTATTGTTCGATGAATACTATTTCACGCGATCAAGTGGTATCTACCTCCGCGGACCCCCACGCCGTCAATGTGCCTCCTTATTCAACCGTCGGAGCGCCAAGACACAAGACGAAGATGTCCTAATTCTATACCTAACTCACATCAGCTGGGAAGTTAATAGTACGAAAAAAAAAGCCGACTAATCAGATTTATATGAGCAACTTACCTATACCTATCTTGCACCCGAGAGCACATTAGTGACCCAGCATCAACGAAGTTGCGATATCACCTCCTATCTCTTGCCCATGTCTTCGTATCCTCATATCAAGACAGTTATTAAAATATTGTAGTAAAGCACGCGCTTTACGCTTTTCGGAAGCTTTCGCCAGCAAAAAAAAAAAAAAAAATCAAGGCAGAATATTGAAGAGCTTTATATGTATCTAACTGCTGAAAGTATGTTGCTTTCTATATACCTAGCTCGCCTCGCCCCGTCTGGAACCCCGTTACAGAGGCAGATATACAGACCCCCCCTGACTATTGCGATGATATAGTTTAAACAAAAATAGACTAGCAAACCTATCAAGTAATGATCTCGACTATTCATATAGCGTGAAAAAACGTACCTGTCTATCATCCCAGAAGATACCACTCTCGTCCTAGCACATCGTACCCCAGGTTAGTCCGCCGCCACAATCAGCATGCACGACAACTCAATGTCCAAACCGGCCGTAGATTCGAACACGCTCACAGCACTTGGTGTAACAACCACTGGAGGGCACATAAAGATAACATGAAATTAAGTTTATATAAGCCGAGATATATCCCTATCCTGATGTATCCCAATATCTAGCCCTTATATCCCGAACCCATGAACCATATTCCCCAGACCTCTGCCCATACCCATACGGACCCGGTTTATACCTATTCCAAAGTGACGATCCCAACTAACGACTCGGGAAATAAATTGCGCTGGTGCGGCACAGTATCTCGTTTGTTGGATCGAGGTACTCCTAGAATGCTTCTCCCTTTAGAAGCCCCAAGAACAAGCAATCTCAGACGTGCTGCGACCTCCTCCCATGTCGACTCCCGATATTGCTAATACTGTCACTCGGCGCTACGCTTCCAGCATCATCATCATCATCATCCCAGACCGCAAACCCGCTGCCGGCGTGACTTTCAAGACGTCGCGACGCCCGCCTGTCATTGGACCCCTTATGAGTAGACGACGGATACCTACTTGCTGCTTTAAAGGGAGCTCGCGACGGTGAGGTACGTGTGCCACGGGCCGTACCAGCTGACTTATCCGTTTTAGCTGAGACATATGTCTCTGCTTCAGCGTCTCGCGGTCGCGACGACGCAGTCGTGTGCTTGGAGCTAACATAAGTGCACCAGTCTGACTCTGAGTCAGGAGAGTGCCGCGAACTCGCATGGCTGCGGGATTCGGGAGCGTGGGAGTGTCTGGATCGGCCTGTGTTGCTGCGGTACTCCGATTCCATCGGTGGCCTGGACGAGTCGCGGTATTTCGACCCCGAGCTGCTTTTATACTCGTGTTCATCAATCATAAAGGGGCGTCTAGACGAGGAAGCCTCGCTACGGCCGCGGGATCGGCTACCAGTGGTGTAGTGGCTTGAGTAACGGCTAGAGCGATCGTCGACGTCTTCTACCATTCTACCTCGAGGATTACCGCCATTGTAGCTACTCGGAGGGTAGTACCGGGGTCGGTCCGGAGATTGGTCCGGGTATGTGGATCTCCTGGTAAATGGGGGTATATTGTGCCCTTGGAACGCCATGGTCTCTTGCTCTTCTTTGTTTTTCAACGAATTATAAGTTAGCGCGCCACCAACAGCAGCGCCCACTGCAAGACCAAAGACGGCACCAAGGATTGTGGTGGCATTCAACCCTTTTGGGCCCTCCTCAGGTGGAGGCTCAATGGTTGACGAGGTAGTAGTGCTTTCTGGGACCACCGTATAGGAATCGCCGCAGGAGACGTAGCTGCCGACTGTAGAACCAGGTGCAGCAGGACGGGCAATAGACCGTGGCAAAGGAACCATGGGAGCACCGACATCCATAGTCCAATCAAGAACGCGGCTAGATTCCTGTGAAGAAGAATGAGAGCGGCTTACCGTCGAGCCCGTCCGGCTCGCGGCATACTTCTTCGAAGTGTTGGCGTGGATGACTTCCATTATGTTGCCGTCAAAGTCTCCGATTATAGCACGACTCTCTTCGCTCGAGTCTGGTTTCTGAATGCGTATATAGTTCACGCCGTATTTTCCGTCCTTTAGATCAGGGTTGGACCGTAAAGCAGCTTCGTGGAAAGCAGCGACAGCCGAAGGTGATCTTGCCGAGAGAACTATACGGCAAGGTCGCACGAATTGTGAGTCTGAGTCGACGTCCTGTTTCAATTCGAAGACCGGTTCAGGAGAGGATGAAGCAGTGTCGCCAAACAATACCGAAGTGGGAGTGGCAGATATATAACGAAGGCCGAGGGGTTGGACCACAGCGGCGTAGAAGGAGGCCGACGGGGCTAGGTCTTTAACTTGGATAAACGGTAGGACCTGCATATCCCCAGGAGCTACTAGTCCGTGACAGGTTATCAAGTAGGGTGGGATTGAAACTTAGAACGGCCGAGTAGTCGAAGTTGAGTGACTCAGACTACCAGCAGCGATGTGGAACACGTCTGAAGGTATAAAGCAACGAATAATAAAGTTGGAATAATCAAATCGACAAACCAAAGGTGGTATAATAAGTGGAACAGAGTGGAACGAAGGGTGTTGTCAATGTCCTAATTTAGTTGTGCAGGTGTCTTAATATGCGAGCCAAGTACGAAGTATAAACGTGCTTCAACGCCCAGAGCCCAGGGGGGGATTTTCAGGGGAAATAGTAAAAATGATTGAGTCGATAGAACTTGAGTTGATATTGGGCAGTTAACCCCCGACCTGTTAGGTAGAATTATTAACAATTAGAATTAGAACGATTATGAGCGAAAAGAAACCGAGAAGCCAGCAAATTTATGAGTAGAAATATACCAACCGAAGTACCCATTCTGATATTTTAGCGGGAATATATATCCATTGAAAAGGCCGCCAATAGACGAGCTTCTCCCAAAATGCTTATAGTTAGGTATTGATGCAGGAGACATCTTTGACTTGTCTTGGGAATTTTCCGGACGGTGATCCACCCCTCAATAATCCGATGCAACTGGCTACTCATGTTAGGCCAGTTGCGTCTACCTGAACTCATTCATACACGTGTAGTGTGATAGATTGAAAGACGACTACATAACTTGGCGGAGTTTGTTTTGGTAGTGGCAAAAGAATATCCACCATGTTCCTGGATATACATTAAGTACGCAAGATGCCCCATGAAAAAGGTTCACGATCCATGGTTGTCAAAGCCGTATAATAATAACCCAGCTGAACCATGAGGGGTATAAGATGGCTCGAGTCCGAATGGTGTATGTTGGTCTTCACGTTAATGCTGTGGGTATATATCAAGCAGGCTGCTGGAAGTGACCATGGATTTCATGATTTTTATTTCTTCTTATTTCTTTTTTGGATGGAAAATAGCGCCGACTCCCAGACTTTGCCTACTACAACAACGATGAAAGGACTGCCACGTTGAATTAATGCCCTATATTGAGCTGCCGCGTGCCAGAAGCATCTTCCGACACGAGCTGAGCTTGAGAGGATAACTAGAGGTAAATAGGTGAGTGTAAAGTAGGGGTCTCAGAGTGATTTGGCTTATAAGATGTTGGCGGAGACTGACTGCAAAGCTTGCATTGCAGCAGTGTGGAAAAGCAAGGTGGGACAATTATGTGGACAATCATGTGGAAATACTTTGGATTAGGTATCCCTTCCGTTGTGAGACCTTGACAGCGCAACGGGTCTGGCCTGCCGGTACACTTATGTACAGACCGGCATCATGTGAGTGGATAGGTACACGTAAGAACCAAAGACTCCAAATTCAACGACAGGTAACTAGCCAATTCCTAGTTTAACTTTGTCTATTAATTGCGTGATCCTCGAACCAGGACCCTATGTTAGGTAGGATTGTAGGATAGTCATAGGCTAATTTATTGCTAGTTTCTCCCCATTAATATGATCTCCGCAGATGCAGATTTGACTACAAGATCTTCACCTTGCACCCCCCCTCCCCCCAATGCATATCCACCTCCCAACCAGATATCATCAGAGCAAGGTACCCAATGCCTACCTAGAAGCAGATCGGTAGTGAAGGGAATTATGAGGGGACGCTGTCCTCATCGAACTAGTGCCTCCACTCTGCCTGCTTTCATCGCCGAAGCCGACGCTGAAATTCGTTTCTAAAAACGGCTGGCCCAACAGCAAGACGCTCCTGTGTCCGGGATCAGTCTTCCATGGGTTGAACTCATCTCATAGGTCCGGCGTAAAACCGACATATAGTTCTGCTACAGAAATTAGATCAGCTGCGCAGCCAAGCCATGGCAGCCTCGTACTAGGCGGGCTGCGTAATCAATGACTTTTGGCACTGAGTACTTAAACTCGACCTGTGGCTAGGACAGATCCTAGCATCGGACTAGAAAGGTGAGCTAACATGGTAAGAGGGACTTCCTGGGAAGAAAAAAGAAAGGAAACAAAGAAAGAGGGCTGTGGGCCAAGTTGAAGTGACCCACATAAGACGGCGAAAACGTCTTGGATCTCATGTTGAACGCCTGATGTTTTGGTTGCAAAAACAGAGACTGAACAAAACCCGTAGACCCAAGCTCCGGGAGAATACCTGCGTCTGCCACCATGTTGTATGGCGGGTTCCGCAAGACACGCCCGCTTTATCATTCATACCTAGATTAATACGTTCCACTACCTACCCTCCTCTTACATTCCCCCTTTTCCTCCTCGAGGGGCACAGCTTAGGAGATGATCACCTTAGAGGATGTCCCAGACGTCCTCAGCAGCGTGGCAAAACTTGCTGCATGCAACACTGGCTGATAAACTGTATTGGCTGATGGAGATCTTCTCGTCCACGTACTCGTCGGCAAAGTTGTCCGGGCCCTTAGCCATGGCACCGACGAAAACACATATGCTTTCCTTTGGTCCAAGGGTCTGGATGTAGTCCCGTACGCGCACAGTAGCCGAGTCAAAGCTTAGTGTAACCTTGCGGCAATTGGGCGGTAGGTGGTCCGTGATGGGATTCTGAATGACCCGGAGAAGCTTCTCTTGGGAGTTTGTCGAGCGGATGGATAAGCGGTGGAGCAATTGGACCATCAAACCAGCAAATCGCTTGAATGTTCGGGGAATACGGACGGTGGGAGACACCTCGATGAGAACGCCCTTTGCAGTTTGTATATATATTTGTAGCTTTCCCGCCTTGTTGATAGGCGAATCCAGAAGAGTGAGGAGGCACTGCACCAATGGGATATGATGTCAGCATGTTGAATGCTAACCTACTAAGACTAACGGCTTGTTGAGAAGCGGGGGAGAAGTGGTGAGATTATAGCGTACCTGATGTGTGATATCCGGTCGGGCGTCGCTGATGTCTCGGTTCATCTTGCGCATCACTCCGATGTGCTCGTCGCTGTTTAGGAGCGAGTATTTATCCTCGCGCTGCATACCCGCCCGTCCTGCGCCGCCACCGTGGGAGGCTTTGTACGTCTCTAGACTGGCATTGGATAGGACTACTATGAGTCTCTGGCTGTCCTTATCATTGGAGGCTATAGGTACGTGTTGTTCGGCGACAAGCTGAGGAAGAGCTGGGGGTGGTAGAGACTGAGTACCTGCGGAAGTAGCCATTGATGTTAGAAGATTTGTTTAACAAACTGAGTACTATAGAGCAAGATTGATATTTGTGCACGTGGACGCTATACACTCTCGAGGGCCTTGGTGCGTCCAAGAAGAGTCTTTTAATCCAGTGTCCCCCTTAATGGGGTAGACAGGCCGAGGCGTACAGACATGCGGGCTGAATTGTGAAGGCATAGCTCGGAGTGGAACAGACAGCAAGCCTTCTGTCCTCTTTTCTTATCTGTGGAAACAGCAGGAGAGGGCTAGAAAAAACAACTGCGTTTGGAACTTACGAGGTCGCTTCCCAGCGCGATATTCTACTGTGGAAGGCATGATTTTGACCTGACCTGATCTGATCTAATCTGATTGGTAAATAATAGGACGAAATAGAGTTTTCGGCGGTAGTCAGTCAGTAATGCAACAAAGATAGGGCTGTATAGTAAGCAGCTGTCCTGATTATGGAAGTAAATAATCGCTAATGTGTGACCAAAACGTGGTATAAAAGCACAAGGTGAAAAAAGAAATCGTCAATGGGGCAGAGAATTAATGTGAAGAAATTGTCGAGAACTTAGGAAAGAACGGGTTAAGCTATAGATGTGGAGGAAGTCCCCTCGTGTGGAGAGAGGACTTTCTTTTTTTTTTTTTTTTTTTTTTTTTTTTTTTCTCTATTCTCTTGACCCCACTTACTCTATAAAGGATTGTTATCGATGTCCTGATTGTCCCACCTGATTGCCCCCACTATGGGTACCACCCACCCAACCCACCTAGCATATGCGAGTGCCTGTGCTACCTGGCGACGTACCTGGCTACAATACATATTATTGTCCCATATTTTATAAGTTCTATTTTATATGATTGCTGCGCTTAAAAACAACTTTGGTACCGCTAAAGGAAAACCAACATCCCTTGCTTTGCAATGATATACTACCTATGTGATGTGTTAAGCGCCAGGGATAAAATATGTAAGTAGGTAACTACTATGTAAGGTAGCGTCGTCTGTGTTGGTTCCAGTTACCAAACAGAATTTCATCGGAGCACCGGCCCCATTGGATACTTGGACGCGAGCCAACGAAGCCCGAGCCCGAACCCGGACGCCGACTCCGTGATTTTCTACCCTAGCTGTCTGGTCCCTCTACCTCTATCGTTACAGTTTATGAACGTGGTAATACCTCCTGCAGGTCTCGCGAAAATTAGACGAGCTCAACCCTTCCGGGGCCGACCTGTCAGATTCGACGGAGTACGGAAGTATTTATGATTTCAACTCGTCCGACAGAATGGTGCCTAACCCTTACCTCAGCCTGCGCCCCGGTTTCTGCGAATAAAGCTTCAAGCCTTTCGGACAAACTTAGTAGGCTATCTGCAGTTGGCGGCTTTTTGCAGGTGGTCCGATCCCGTCGCGGGGAAGCTTTTCAACTTCTTGGGGTCCGAGATGCGTCTACTATGTACCTATACGTCTAAGCTCCAGCAACCAGCTATGGAAGGATTCGCTTGCCTTGACAAATCTAGTTGGCCAAGTGGGAACTTGAACCTAGTCTAGTGTAAGTAAGACAATGGGGATGTCGAGTGTTCTGCATTAGGGTAGGAAGTAAGCTGACTTGCCCCGAGATTATAAGCCCAACTACTTCGGCCGAGAATAATCCTTGCACGGGGTAGTAATTAATATAGCCAACCGACAAATTAAGGAATACATGAATGTTCATATAGGTTGTCATGGCTTATGTCTTATGCAAGCTAAGCTCGGGGTTTTCCCAAATACAACCAAGATGCACAAGTGGAATGTCCTAGCTTGATAAGAAGGTGCACACTATTAATCGTTTCCTCATTTGGGACACGGAACGGCATTCATATCCATAAAATATTAATTACGTTTGCCGTCCTCCTACTTGCATAGTTGACAGAGGAAGGTCAAGGCTATCAAGAGAGTCTAGATATATAGAGATGAAAAGTAACACCCGCAAGCATTTACGGGTGTTAACTTTGCTCTATTTATAATCAGCATATTAATGTGAAACCAATCATGATTAAAAATCAGCCTTTACACGTAGTAGTTGATATACGATCGATACGGTCCAGATTCTGCTAGACACATATAGCAAGTAAGAAGGAATTACCATCATCTAAAAAGGTCCCTTCCATTCAATCAGGATTGGCTAAATTATGCTTGCCTATCAGGGGATGTTGTCATTAGGGTAGAACAATATATTGATATTACCTATAGTTCATTAGCAATGTCTTCCCAGACAACCCTGAGGGTTAAAACACTTTGAATAGTCAACACACCAGGTATCAAGAATCTGACACTTCAAACTCGATGGGATGCCAGGTAATCGTCACCTAGATACCTAGATACCTAGATAAGCATGCCTATATTCTCAGCCAATCATGCTTTAAAAGGCCTTCCATCTGTAAATGTTTATATACCGCATTACCTTAAGTAATTGGGACAATCGCTGAGGACAAGCCGAAGTTCACTATCGTTGTATATCACTTAAGATGATGTTCATCACCCCCTGATAAAACTAAAGAGTGATATCAGACTAGTATGTGTAGATGTGTAAGTAATACCAGTGTAGTGTAGACATCTAAATGTTTAAATTGCTAACCTGGAGCCCATGATGGCGTGGAGGAAGATGATTAATCTTGACTAGATTGTAGACTGTAGTGCTATATTAAAGCCACCTAGAGCAATCTTGCAGTTTAAGGGGTAAAACTAATTGTTACTAGGTACTTATATTATGATTGAGACAGGCAAGCAAGCGTTCAGTATTATATGGCTGCCCTCGGCGTGAGAATGTTCAAATGTAAAAAGAAAGGAAAAAAGGAAAAAGAAAGGGCACCTACGGGGTTCGAACCCGTGATCTCTCCCAGTTTGCAACTTGAATTCAAGTTACCCAAAGGGAGCGAGTTTCCACTTCTCCAAGGCACCGTTGTGCTGTTTGATTGTGAAATATTGAATGGAAAGTACGATATTTAATTTGAATGTTGGTAGGTACGCGGCGTTGCCATGGTACTAGATACTAGGCGCCAGGCATCCACGCTACTCACAACGCCAACCAGATACCAAGGCACAGGAGTAATCCCAGGCAACACAGAGTTCTAAAATCATAAATTCTATACCTTACCAGCAGCATATAACTGCACCTTCACGTTGGGCATTGAACAGTAAATAGATGCCTGTGCCAGTAGTCCTACCAACCTCAGCATATAGGAGCTGTTTATGCTAGCATACACCTAAGTACCATCCACCCCCAGTTCTAAAACTAACATACGGATAATGAGTCAAATTGAAGTTTGGTTTATTGTTAACTGTGCAGTACTGAACAGGCTAGCATGATAACTACACCATACCTTTCAAAAGGAGTCTCTATATTGTGTGAGAAAAAGAACGGGGCTGGTCTATGATATGCTAAGTGGCCCAAACGAGATTCAAAGACCAAGTACCCCAGCCTTAGGTATATCAATTTTCTTTTCCATGTACCCAAACAGCAAGGTAAAGTTTTGAATTAAAAACTATATGAGGTATATGATGCACCCATCCCCTTCAGGAGAGATTCAGCAAGTGGGTTGTAGGTGGCAACAGTAACCAGGTATGACTTCGAGGTCTGATGACTTAGCCCTGCGCCAGCTTCTTCAACTGCGTAACTACAACAGAATGTCCGTTAGTAACAAATAGAAAGTAACGAAGGCTAAAAAAGACAGTAAAAAAAAAACACCTACGATCCCCATTAAACGTATCCGAATCGCCACCATACTTATACGCATCGTTAAACTGCCAAATCGTGTAATACGGCCACCCGCCCGGCGGCGTCCCCGCGGAACTGCTATACCTAGCCAGGACAAGCGGATGTGTGTCCACAAACGCGCTCGAATCCCCCGTGCAGCTAGCCCACCAGGACGGGTTCGTGTACAGGAGCGGGTACCGCCCCGTCTTGGCGCGGTAGGTATTGCTGAAGTCCCTGATCCACGCGACCATGGCGCTGGCCGACAGGCCCGCGCAGTCCCCCTCGAGATCCAGCATCCCGGGCAGCGTGAGCCCGTCGCCGGACCACCCCCCGCCGTTCGCGAGGAAGTAGCTGGCCTGCGCGGCGCCCGAGGACGACCCCGGCCGCGCGAAGTGGTACCCGCCGCGGATGAGGCCCGCGTTGGTCGCGCCCGTGTAGTGCGCGCTGAACTTGGGATCTTTGTAGCTCGTGCCTTCCGTAGCCTACTCGTAACTTTGTAAGTACCTGCTTATCGTGTAGCTGACCAGAGCATATTCAGGTAGTTCGTCAAGGGGGAAGGGGAAAAAGAAGAAGAGAAAGTTACCTTGATGATAACAAAACGAGCCCCGGAGTTGTAAGCTGCTGCAAAGTCTACGCTGGACTGGTAGTGAGAAATGTCGAACCCGGGGACAGCAGCGAGGGCAAGGCTGCCGAAGCCAAGGCAAGTCGTAATGAAAGCCTTCATCTGCATGATTGCTGGTTAAGGATTTCTATTCTAGAGGACTGACATTCCAGAGGCGATATGTGAGTTGCCTCACTCGTCGCCATAGCAGACTTTATACTTCTTAAGCTATAAGATAAATCATAGCCATATCTACCTGATATGTACGAGACCCACAGGTGTGATGAAAGGTACGACGTGGGAAAGTAGGGGTTTGGAGTCTTTCGATAGGAAAGGAAGGTAGATAGTAGATTTTACGTGGGTTTTAGAAGCCGTTGGTTATTTAGTGTTACTATGCTTTTCAGCTGAACTTAGAAAGTTGTCGATCCTACGTAGTTTGGGAAAAGCTCGTGGATATCAAACCACGATCTAGTATTTCATCATTCGCACTTTTATGTTTATAGCAAGTTGAAACAGGTGAAATGCTATTTAGGTGACAACGTTATATTATGTCTCGACGAGGTGGCTTCAGCTGCTTACTATGTTATAGTAGCGTTCGGTTTGAGCTGAAGGTTTAGCTTGCTAGTAGTTTCAACAAGAAATCGGCTGTTAAGCTGCTGTCTCTGGCTTTAGGCTAGAATATCCTAACATCTCAGAAGCATTCGGGGTCCTAACTAGCTGGGTTTAAGGAGGTAACCTAGGTGGAGTAATGTGGTTTACCCGAGGCAATTGGGAGAGCTGAGGTCCTTTCGAACGAGCACGTTGTTGAATATTCATCATTTGTAAGACCACGGTTGAAGGGAAGTAGTTACGTATTTTTTTTCTTCGTCGTGGGGGCGGAGAAAGCTGAATGAATACAATCAAGCTTCGAAGCTTGTAAGTTCAATGTTGTAAGTTGAATGTTGTAAGTTGCAAAGCTCTAGGTGTACTATGTACCTAAGCTGTTATTTCAAAGTACAGTGGATCCCTCCCCTACCTTGGATCACCTATCGTATCGATAAGCTCGATGGAACCAAAGTTCCCCCCCCTCTGGCCCCTCAGGTCCCGCGATTGGAACTCCAGTTTTACCTATCTTATCTGAGCGAGAGAGTACGTACCGCCAAAAAGATTTTGGTGGTAGAATTATTGACAAGTAGTAATTACGACCTCATCGGCGGGTTTGTGGACGAAGATATAGCAGCTGTAGCTGTCGACGATCTTTTAGTTACTTGCGTTATATACAAACGATACCAATTGGGCAGTGAGAACCTTGTAGAGCATCGTCGACGGTGCCGTACCGGACGGGAAGGGGAAAGAGAAAGAAGGGATTAAAAAAAAAAAGCACGACATCATGGCGTCTGAAGTCGCGGCGGCAGCCACCAACGTCGTACGGCGCGCCGGCAAGGAGATGCACGGAATCGTGGTATCAGCCGGGCTAATGGACAAGACGGTGAAGGTGAAGCTGGGTGGTCTACGATGGGAGCCCCGGGTGCAAAAGGTCAGCAGCTTACCTACTTAAACCCCCCGTCTATAAAATAAAGAGAGAGGAACCCACGATCCAATTAATATTCCCTCCTCCTCCTCTTCTTCTTCTACTGACTTACCTTGTTACGACAACCAGTTCTTCAAAGAACCCCGCTTCAGGCTAGTCCACGACCCTCGAAACTCCCTCCGGCAAGGCGACGTCGTCGCCATCGAGCCCTCCTGGCGCGTGTCGCAGCACGTCCGCCACGTCGTCAAACACATTATCGCCCCCTACGGCGAGCCCATCGAGAGCCGGGAGCCCGTGCCCACCCTCGAGGAGCGCATCGCCGAGCGCGCCGCCAAGCGCGCCGCTAAGGACGAGCGCAGGAGGCTGCGCAAGGAGGAGGAGATGAGGAAGAGGGAGGAGGCGAAGATGGCCGCCCTGGAACAGGCGAAGACAGACTTGGCCGCGGACGGGAATATACCTACTACGACGACCGAGACCACGTTGAGCGATGTCGACTGAAGTTCACCTAGTATAGGTATCTAGATGGATGGATGGGTGCGTGGGAATCCAAGATTCAGGGCTGCAATGCCCTTAAGATGGCATAGCTAGCTGTCTATCTGTCTATCTCGTTAGTTACGTTGATTTGAACTGCGGAAGATGATGACGACAACAACGACTGCGGTTCCACACGATAAAAAAGCTGTATATACCAGAATCACCTACATGTAACAACAACAACATACATAGATGTACGACTACCGCCCCTACACGGCTATAGTTATGGTTATGTGAAAGGCGAGATGTCATATCATCGACATATAATTCATATTGTCATATTGTACGAATGGTCTCATACTAGACCTAGGTATCGTATGTCAACCCGTCACTTGCCCTGCCCTGCCTTGTCCTGTCTTCCCTGGCGTAGCCTCGCCTCGCCTCGCCTAACCCAGTCCCTAAGAACGCCATTGTTACGTACGCATATCCGTGTCTCATTTCGTTTATCTATATCTACCTTGAAGAAGTCCCCCCTTCGTCTTACCACATGATCATGTCCCCTACTCATGCCCTGATCGTGGGGAGTATGTTACCCGCCACGTTCTCCAAATCTCCTCGCCCAATCCTCGTATTCCCTAAGCCCTTTTTTGCTGACGCTCGGGCGGATGTTGCGAAGACTAGCCTTGAAGTCGTCCAGTTCTATAGGCCGGATCTGGTCCATTGTCGTATGGAGGAGAGCCTCGCCCAAAGCGCGTAGGGGGCCCATCGCCGCGTCCTTTGCTAATGCTGTGATATCCGAGCCAGAGAAGCCTATAAAGGTTGATTAGTACTCGGCCTCGAATCCAATTGCTTCTGCGGATCAATATTTACCGTCTGTTAGGTTTACCAGTTCTGCAATGTCGGCATCCGTAAGACTATGCTTCTGCTGGCCTAGCAATGTTTCCAATTGTGTAGCCCTCGTTTCCGCCTCGGGTAATGGTATATACTGACGCCTCACAAACCTCCGCCTCGCTGCTTCGTCAATCGCCCATGGCAGGTTGGTAGCCGCTAGCACAAGCACTCGATTTGGATCGCCTCGCTCCTTACTTATCCCGCTATTGTTCTCACGCCCTGCTGCAGCCCGTTGTAGATCGCTCCATTGGATAAGGAATTCCGTCTTGATCCTCCTGGTAGCCTCGTGCTCTCCTGATCCAGATCGTTGAGAGAGAAGCGAGTCTATCTCGTCCACGAATATGATACTTGGCGCCATCATCTTGGCTAATGCAAATAAAGCGCGCACGAGCTTCTCGGACTCGCCAAGGTATTTACTTGTTAGGCTACTTGCTGAAATAGAGAAGAATGTAGACTTCGACTCTGTTGCGACGGCCCGAGCCAGCATTGTCTTTCCTGTGCCGGGGGGTCCAAAAAGTAGCATGCCCCTAGCTGGTTCGCGAAGTCCCATGAATAGATCCGGTCGTAGGAACGGGTATACCACTGCCTCTCTCAATGCGTTTTTCGCAATTTCTAGTCCGGCAACATCGCTCCAATGTACTTCATCTCCTTGCACAACAATTTCGTTGAATATCGCCTTTGCCGCTCCCTCATCTACACCCGGGGGCAAGTTCTTCATGATATCCTTTTTCCTCTTTTCCCAGTCGTCTTTACCCTTATCCCCTTCTTCAGTAGCCGAATTTGTTGTGGACCGATCTTCGATATCTGATGTTATGGGAGATTCCTTCTGCTTTCCTTTAAGCTTTCGGCGGGAAGGGCTCGCCCGCAATTGATCGTCGCTAGATGACACTTCTTCTCTTTTCCCATCGTAGTCGGATATCTGCCGGCCCACTCGCTTTCTGGCGCTGTTGGGCTCGAATACTTTATCATGGGTTAAAGGCTTTCTCCTTACTGGACTTCCTCTTGAACTTGTTCTAGGAGTGGTTTCTAGAAGCTCCAAGGCTCGGGAAGGAGTACTATTTCGCTCATCATAGCCTGAACTTCTTGTTTTCCTTGGCGTTGGCCTCCGTTCTGTACGAATTCCTACGGCACTAGACTCATCGCGATCTTGGATAGCTAGAGCCCCCAAGGCGCTTGAAGCAGCACCGAGAGCAAGAGAAGATGGGGCAGACGAATAATCGGCTGAAGTTTGCATTGAAGCCTCAGGACTCGGCCGAGACGGTGTAGGCGTAGCATTAGAGGCTTCGGAGGCCACCAACCTTCTCGTGTGACTGTCCCAATGCCTTGGGATTGATGTAGAGTTCTTTCGCCCTTGGTCGTGTGATCTTCGTATCTCTGAAAGTCTCAATGGGCTGGTCGTATCAGAGGAAGTTCCCTTCTCTAGGGTACTCCAAGCCAACGTAGCAGCCTTACTAGCCCCCGGTCCTTTTGTTATCTTGGCTGGTGTATGCCTAAAAGGTTTCGTAGATTTTTCTTGTTTATTCGTCCGTAGCGTCGTTCGCATTACGTGTTTCTCCGGGCTAGGCGACCTCGAAGACCTTCTCGCAGAAGATACACCATAGGGGGGGAGTGAAGGTGGCATCGCTGCAGAAGATGATAACTCTTGGTCTAATATTGCACTGCGAAGTCCCGCAACTGCGTGCTCGGATGATTTCCTGGAAGGAAACGAGGAGCGTTTAGGGAGTGGTGGTTTGGATAACTCCGTATAAGTTATGGCAGGTATTGTTCCGTCGCCAATCCACCCTCTTTCCGGAGTGTTGGTATTCGATCGGGTGCCCAGGCTCCCTTCGGTGCCGATACTTGATTGTGTGAATTGGAATGTTGGATCCTCCTCCCGGGATATTCGAAGAGCTTCTAGGAGATCGATTCTTTCTTTACATTGCACATCCAACTCGCGTAGACTCTCAAGCAAAGCGCGTTCTGTCTCGGATTTCGGAGAGTAGTTGCCCTGCTTCTTGTTCGTCGTATTCTGCCGTATCTGCTCAAGGGCGTTCCTCCAACATGACATCGCCTCTCTCTCGTCGCCCTAAATGTAGAGAGTAATGTGGTTAGTCCGGTTCGGTATTTGTCGACTGGTAATACCGAACAAAGGGGGGGTCCGGGTTGGTATATTCACGTACCTGGCTCTCATAGTAGACAGCTGTTGAGCACTTCAAATAGGCTTCGTCGTATGTTTTTTGGAGACTAGAAACGCTGCTACTGGGCCACATCCTCGCCTCAGGTTTGCCGTAGTCGTTCTTTCGCCTGATAGGAGGGCATGTGATTTCTTTAAATGGTGTCGCGGATGCAAGGGACACGGAGAGGGAGGTTTTATGATCGCATATGATAAGACATGACAAGAACAACCTCCAAAATATATCAGACGCGTAGGAGGTTCGATCCTACAAGTGCAAGCACGTTAGGGCTGGATCCAGAAACGACGTTGAAGATCTTCAAGTCCAGATTCGCGGATTCACGGTCTGGATTCTGTCTGGGTCTACAGATTTTAGAAGGACCCAGTGACGTCGCGTCGTGCCTCTTAGTGGGGTTTGATGACCCAAACCGGTGTGGCTTTGGAGCTTTATACAGTGGGGGGAGTTTACTGGTACAGGCTATGTACTACTAATTATTTAGTGCAGTCGGGTATGTATTGTATGTATCGTATTGTACTACATAAAAATGCATACCATACATGTACATTAGGTAGTTGCTTGGCCAAGTAATCCTAGAGATTTCCGATTGGTGATAACTTTTATGTATAAACCAATATAAACCAACTTTTATCATATCACACTCATCCCTTTTCTACCTAATCTTCATGTCGGTTCGCTAAATACTAAATATTGTCAACCATGTACATACCGATTGACGGCTTATACAAATCGTAAAAAGAGTAGATAAAAAAACTACCCAAATCAATCATCTTCCTCCTCTTCCTCCTCGTCTCGAGGAAGCTGTAAGCCCATCATAGCGAGAATGTTTCCTGCAGGGCCTGCCATTCCCGCTTGACTCTTAAAGCTTTCCAATAAATTCTTAGCGAGGTTATAATCCACATCAACTTCGTCCTCACTGCTTTCTTCTCCGCTGCCGGTATTTTGTTCCGCGTCAGCTTTTGCTTTCCCCTTAAAACTAACTCTGTCCTTGGCTTCGATAGCCCTCGCTTTTTCGGGCTGGGGGTCAAGCTTCAATGCACCATGTTCTCTCAACTCGGCTTCCATCTGGGCAGCCAATTGCTTAATGGCATCGTCATCGTCCTCCTCAACAGCAGGATCGTTTGTAATGGTGGACATTGAAACGTCAGATGTTTTCTTTGAACCCGTAGGTACTACGGAAGGCAGTCCCATCATCTCTCTCATCATCCTCGAGAATTGCTCTTCGTCGAAACTAACTTCTTTATCCTCCTCATCATCATCATCGCTACCTTCCTCATCCGGTATATCATCATCTTCATCCATATCTTCCAATTCGGCACCCTCTATACCGGCACTTTCGTCGTTCAAGAAAGCTTCAAAGCGAGATACAATCTTTTTCAGATCTGCCTGCGCCGAGAGGTCACCAAATTCGCCATGTTTCCGGTTTTGGAAGCCGCGGTTTCCTTGCAATTCGTTTTCGAAGTCTTCGAAGTTGATGTCTAACCACGATTCATCGTCCTCTTTGTATACATCTTCCCAGGTTCCAATGTCTTCGTTAGTGGGGAGTGCCTGAACTCCGTCTTCTTCAATGTCCTCGAGAAGCATAGCAAACTCGCGCGCGAGACGATTATCTTTGCCGGCTGCGTTGGTGGCAAGCATCTCAAATCCACTTGTTACTTTCATACCCATTTCTAGACGCGCTAGCCTCTTTTGAGCATCATCTGCGCTAGAGACCTCTTTTTCTGCGGCCTCGAAGACGGCGTTCCATATTGGAGGAGGCGAGAAGCGCTGAGACTTGAGCTGTGCGAAAAGTGTTTTTGTGAATTTTACGCTAACAGTCACAAGATCCTCGGGAGGGAAGTGTATGTCGGCAGAAGGTGATATAAGAGGTTTGGTTGAAATTGGATCCCGAAGGTAAAACGCTTCGACAGCGGGGGCGATGGTAGAAGGCTTTTCGTGCAATATATAGGCAAGCTTCCTAGGTATTGTAACTAGCGAGCGGTGTATGGAATCTGTGATCTGTCCGGGATACTTCTCTAGCCTATAAAAAGCCTCGGCTTCAACGAATGCAGAATGCACGAGAGAATTGGGGTTCGACTTGATATATCGAACAGCTTCGATCAAGGACAACGGTCGCTTTGCCCCAAAACTTGCGTCCAAAGGTAATAGATAAAGGTTTCCGCCGTGGATCCATGATCGGTTGGCATCTATCTCGGGGCTGAGCCACTTTGGCAGGACGTTAGCCGCCTCAACAAGCAGAAACTCGCCATCGTCGTCGAATACCCTGGCCCAAAGAGTGGGGAAAGATTTGGTCAATTCTCGAAGTAGATAGACTATGAGCCATTCGTCCTCGATCGAGTCTCCGTAATCTGTGGTCCCGTGCAGATAGACCAGATCTTGATCTCTTTCAATGCGCAGTTGGAAAGAATCTCGTTGCCATATGTAATCCTTTGCAATGCTGTCGCAGAGCTGCATGGCTGCTTTTCGAATATTTTCAAGCTCCGAGAGAAGGCTGCGCGCCTCGAGTTTGCTGTCAATGACGAATAATAGATATTCCACGCAGTTTTCGGGCAGCCTCCTGGGAAATTCCTTGAAACCCCCTTCGGAGAATTCGATGTTATCTTCGGAATCCATCGATTGGAATCTAGTACCAGACGCGAGATAACACAGCAGGTACAGGTAGGCTATCTCGACATTATCAGGTTTGATAATAGAAGTTTTCCTAGCTCATCACCTGCACTGGTGATAAAAGTGACAAAGGTGACAAAGAACCGGGCGACAAGGTGAATAGAAAAATGGCGATCTCCAATTTCGATTCTCGATAATTCTAAATCAGTATTAGTGAGGTCAGGATGTTATCACAAGGAAACTATGTGGGTAAGATACGCTTGGACTGACTGAGTTTACTACATAGTATGTTAGAGGTGCATTTTCTCATTTATTAGTTCGAAGCTCTCTTTTGATACTGCACTATCATCTATGTATTGTACCTAGGTAGCTTTATAGTGGCCTACCTATGCCCCGCGCCAGCAAGGATTCCAGCCAAGGCCCCCCTTGCTATCTGAAGAGACTAAAACAGGCGGGGGAAAAGGGCTTTGAGGTACATAAGGTAAAAGGTACGTGGTAGGTAGGTACATAGTATGTATACCTTGTACACTAACGTATTGTGGGCAGTGGGCACGTTTTACCGGGGTTCGCGCCTGGGTAACCGCGTCTTAGTTAATCGCGTCAGGCTCTAGAAAATATAATTTACGAAATTCAATTGCGCCTACTTCGGCTGATACCTCTACCTAGGTACAATCCCGTCATGTAATTACTTAAAAACAATTCCGTTTGATTTTACCCACCGTTCCCCTTATCCTGCTTTATCCTTCCTAATCTACCATGACCTACCTTTCCTAACAATAGTAATTGTCTTACCCCCGGAGGATTCGGTCATTTCTCCTATGTAAAATCTACGACGAGAGCGCCCCTCAGTTTAATTGACACAGCCAACAACAATATCGAGCAAACAAAACCATCATGTCCCCCTCATCCGCAAAGCGCTCTCGCCGAGTTGCATTCGACAAAGATGAAGAAGATGGAATCGCAATTACCCAGGCTAGTTCCAGCATAAAAACCGAATCTGTAAGTACCTAATAACCTGACGTCCCAAGCACTAGCAAAGCTGCGACCTAACACCTTAAATACAGCAGCGAAAGAAGATTCGAACTTCAAATTCCGGTCCGAGTAGAAAAACAGCATGGACGTCTCGCCAAGAAACTACTTCCAGCTCCGATGAAGACGAGACGATGCTAGCGCCTGACGAGGAACAGAGCCCACCAGCTGCTACGCAGTACGAAATGATGCGCGATGCCGGCTTTAGACATCTTGAGAATACCGATCTAGACGACCAGCGAGCGACACAGCGTCTGAAGAGCCGTCCTCATATTCTTGGCGAAAATCAAGTAGCCCTTAATGCCATCATCGAAAGCATCACCTGCTTCAATTTCATGTGCCATACGAGACTGCATGTCGAACTCGGACCTCTTCTCAATTTTATTGTGGGAGAGAACGGAAGCGGGAAAAGTGCCATTTTAACTGCCATAACCCTATGCTTGGGTGGTAAAGCTAGCGCAACGAATCGCGGCGGAAGTCTGCGAAGTTTCGTCAAAGAGGGCCAAGAGAATGCCGTTCTAATCGTCAAGATTAAGAACCAAGGTCCCGATGCTTACAAGCCTGAACATTTTGGAGAATCCATAATCGTAGAGCGATACTTCAGCAAATCTGGCGCGAGCGGCTTTAAGCTAAAGTCTTCTACTAATAGGATCATCTCAACCAAGAAAGGCGATGTAGATGATGTCGTTGAGTACTACTGCCTGCAGGTCGATAACCCGCTCAATGTACTCTCCCAGGATAATGCACGCCAGTTCCTCAACGCTGCTACTCCTGCGGCCAAGTACAAATACTTCGTCCAAGGTACCCAGCTAGAGCAACTGGATCAAGATTACCAACTCCTCCAAGAAACGCTTGAAGCCAACGAGACACGGCTTCTAGCGTTCGAGGAGAATATATCGTTCCTCAAAGAGAAGAGTGAAAAAGCTGTAAAACTGAGGGATGCGCTCACAAAGAGTGCGGAGATGCGAAGACAATCTAAGGTTTACTCAAACCAGTTGGCATGGGCTCAAGTCATGGAACAGGAGGCTATCTTAAAGCAGAAAGACGAAGCTGTACTTGCCTCACAAGAGGAGATTCGCCGAATGGAAGCGACGATTGCAGAGAAGACAGAAATCCTTGAGACGATTGACGATAAAGTTCGGGAAGCTGCTGAAGCCTTAGACGTACTCCGCCAAGAGGAAGGCCAATTCAAGGAGAAAGAAGAGGAAGCGAAGTTGAATTATGAACGCGCAAGACAGTCAATCGAGACAACCCACACGCAAGAGAGGGATATCCATCAGCAGCTTAATAATGCTTCACAGAAGGTCAAGGAGTACGAAAAGAAGATCCGTGAAGAAGAGCAGCGTCTAGAAGAGGTAAACGGTGGTGCTCTCGCTGCAAAGCAACAAGAGCTAGATGACGCAAAACGCGCTGTGGACGATATCAGAGAATCGCAGAAGACCCACGCTGAACGCAGCTCTAGTCTATATAGCGAACGTGACGAAGCTCAGAGGAAGGCTCAGGAATCCGAAGATTTGGTTGGACAGAAGCGACAGGAAATTCAAGCCGCCGAGTCTCGGATACGCACTCTGTCTCAGAATCGCAGCGACCCGTTTGCTGGCTTCGAGCCCCAGGTGCCTCAGCTCCTGCGACTGATCGACAGTGACAGCGGGTTTTCTCAGAAACCTATTGGCCCCATCGGTACTCATATCCAGTTAACTAAGCCCAAGTGGTCGTCAATTCTAGAGCATATATTTGGAGCAAGTCTAAATGGGTTCGTCGTTGCGAGCAAAGCCGATCAAACTCGGTTATTCTCGCATATGGAGAGACTGAAGCTCCGAAATTGCCCTATCTTCATAGCTTCGAGAACCGTGATTACCAACTTGAGGGAACCGGATAGAAACTTTGATACCATTTTAAGGGTGTTGAAAATCGATGATCTACGGGTAAGAGATCAACTGGTCATCAATCACCGCATTGAGCAGACCATCCTGATCGAACAACGAGAAGAGGCAGAGCGCGTCATGTTTGACGGTCAGCTGCCGGAAAATGTTTCAGTGTGTCTATCTTTTCACGACAAGAAAAGGGGCCACGGCCTGCGGCTCATGAAACGCGGCCCAAACATGTCCACCAGTCCGGTTGCGCCTAGTCACGATCAAAAGTCTCGCATGAAGTCTGAGGATGTGGAGTCACAGATCAACTACTTCAAAGAATCCCTTGAGCAGCTCAAAGTCGAGTACCGAGAGCTGGAGACGTCCAGAAGGTCCTTCCAACAAGCAGTCCAGCGTTGTGTACACGCTATTTCTCAGCACAAGAGGCAAGGGGCCACTTTTGAGAAAGACCTGCGTAACGCTCAGGCCCGTGTTACCCACATCGAAGAAGAACTGGACAAGTTTGAGGGTGTCGACAACAAACTGCAGGGATACAGGAACGACCTCCAAGAGGCTCAGAACCAGAAAGACCATTACGGTAACCAATATGGTGAGCTGGCCATGCAGAAGCGGGAAATGAATAAGGAGGTAGAAGCCATGAAAGAGAAGTTCAGCGAGGCTAAATTAGCCTCTCGGGACCACAGAGCCAGAATAACCAAGGCTGAAGATAAGGTTAAGAGATACGAGGAGACACGACGCGTAGCTCTAGTTGAGAAGAATCAAGCTTACGAAAATCTTGAGGTGGCGAAGGAAGGAAAAGCCGATGCAGAGAGATCTAGGAGAAGGCAGGCGGAACTCGTAGAGGACTATATACGACAGGCGAGTCAGGTCGCTCCCGATCGTGCTTACATACCCGAAGGAGAGACTGTTCGTAGTATCGAGCATAAGTTCGACTCTATCAGGGAGCAGCTGAAGAAGATCCGTGGTCAGCTTGGTGGCACGGATGAGGAAATACAAAACCGGGCATCGCAAGCAATCCAGGAATACCGAGAGGCTAAGAAGAACCACAAAAACCTCACTTCACTTGTGGACGAGTTGAAGAAAGCGTTGATGGATCGTTTACGCAAGTGGAGGACGTTTCAACGTCTTATCTCTGCACATGCCCGATGCAACTTCAACTATCTTCTTAGCGAGCGTGGCTTTAGAGGTGAGCTATTTCTCGATCACAAGGCCAAGAGGCTCCGAGTCCAAGTTGAGCCGGACGAAACGAGGAAGAGCAGTGCAGGTAGAAATACGAAAACGCTGTCTGGCGGAGAGAAATCCTTCTCGTCCATTTGTCTTCTTCTTGCCATATGGGACGCAATGGGATCTCCCTTGCGATGTCTTGACGAATTTGACGTTTTCATGGATAACGTCAACCGTGCTATAAGCACAAACATGTTGGTAGGTTGACTCCTAATTCCATAAATATAGCATCACGCTGCTAATCAATACTGCAGATTACCACCGCTCGTCGCTCTGTCGGCAAGCAATTTATCCTCATCACCCCCAATGCCATCGAGGGCCGGGCAAAGATTGACAAAGATGTCAAGATCATCAGGTAAGTTTTTACATTTCGATCATCATCCTAATGTGTACCGAACTTTAGACTAACAGTATATCAGACTGACGGATCCACGACAACGGCTTCTCGCCGACCACTGATGTGATTCGGTTTATCATGACGGCTATAGGAATTGTTTATGTAGGGCTAGTAAAGCATTGGTCCGGTTACGTGCATTCGGCGGTTGCGTCTCAGGGAATTATGGTGTTAGAGTGTTCCTGAGGTGGCATGAGGCCTTCGGGCCAGGATGATATCAGGAGGAAAGGGTAAAGAAAAAAACTATAAGGGACCGGACGTAGACTAGTACTGGCTTCGTTGCCGTTTCGAGTATATTGTACAAAAAGAGCCGAGCTGTGCAGTATGGCTTAGGCATATATCTGCGACCTGACTGTGGTAGCAGTCTTAGTCTTAGTCTCTCAATGTAGAGACGGTATGCTAATAATAAATATATACAATACATACCGGTTTTCTCTATTAAGTGATTTTTTGTTCATAATATTTTTTCCCTCAGGCCAGTAGTCAAACCCCATACTCACGCCTACTATTACGTTGCTTTAACTTATCCTATATCCTAACGCCCTTGCTCCTTAGCACATTTAACCCAGCCGAAGCCGTAAAACCGACCCACTGGGCAACGCTGCCGAGGGCGCCGCCGACGGTGCTCGTCTCGTCGAGGCGGCGCTGTAGGAAAGCCCGGGTCTCGGCGTATCCGGGAGACCTGTCGTTGGTCATGAAGAGCTCGGACGAGGCGTAGATGACGGACAAGGATCCGCGCTTCGTGTACCAGGACGGGTCGACGGACGCGTCGCCGGAGAGGAAGTAGATCTCGTCGGCGAGGAGGGCGAGTTCTTGCAGGGAGGCGGGGACGTGTGAGGGTTGGGCCATGAGGGCTAGGGCCTGGTTCGGAAGAGCGGTTGGTTAGAAGAAGAAGAAGGGTTTTGGGGAGAATGGGCGAGGGAGGCTTACCTCTTGCCAACGGTGGTTAACCTCCGCGTTCGACCGTAGCCTTTCCCACGTTAATCTTTCGACTTTCTCGGGGACTTTTAACGGCGAGGCAGCGGCAGATGCCCCCTGTTGCTGTTGTTGTTGTTGTTCTCCCTCGCCGAAAACGGCCTTGGCCCAGGGCGCGAGGGCCTCCCGTTTGGTAACGAGGTGGTACCGGATCAGGCTAAAAGGCCCCTCGGGCAGGACGTTCGTGCTTATGTCGAGGTACCCGGCGTCGCGGGCGCCGAGGGCTAGGGCGTGCTGCGTGAAGCCGTGCTCGGGAACGTGCTTGTAAGCTGCGGAGAGGATGGCTTTCTCGGCGGGGCTGAAGACGCCCGGGGGAGGAGGGTGGTCGTAGGAGTGGTAATAACAGCTTCGGGAGGGGAAGGCGGGAGATGGGCGGCGGAGCTGGGGGTGGGCTGTTTGGCGTAGGAGGGCTGTCGCCAGTCTTGTCGTCGCCCGAGATGGGGCCATGATGTGGTCTAGTCTAGTCTAAGGGATTCTTTTTTATATGCTTAAAAATCGAAACCAGATCGTTAAGGCTTGAATGTTTATCAAAGTGACGATCTCTTTTTTTAAAAAAAAAAATATTCTTTTTTATTCTTATTTATGTTTTCTTTTAACCTTTCGATCCGGCTTCAACTCTATCACGGACCGTTCGGGATCCGCAAAGCTTTGACCCGGAAATCTTCCGACGTTCTGCTTCGGCGGGGGATAATAAAAGACTTGTAGTGGGGCCCCAAAATGGTTCTGTTTACGATTTACATACCTGTAGGTAAATCCCCACATGGCCTTCTAAGGCAATGTACGTACTATTAGGTACTGTACCACGGTCCATGATACTTGATTACCTCGGTACCAAGATCTCCAAGGAGTAAAATAATATTTATTTCTTCTCTTTTTTTTCAAGGGAAAGTGAAAGATTCTAAACCTATTATGGAATGTTAAAAAAAAGTTTTTCATCTTCTTGTCTTTTGTCTTTGCTCTTGCTTTTCCTTTTTTTTTTACGTGGGGGGGTTACGCGGCGAAGTCAAAGACCCTATCCCCTATCCAGTTATCATCCCGTTCTAAAACATCAGCTCCGAGAAACATTTTATGTGCGTACATAGTACCTATGTGATGAGATTCGAGAAGACTCTGAAATCATGCAGGCTGCCAGGTAAAGGACAACCTTAAAGTGGGTTTCGTACGAGGTGGCAAGTAGTCAGCCAGGGGGGAAGAGGGGGGAGTGAGTTAAGGAACACTTTGTGATGTTGTCAGATTCGTATGTGAATGGTCATGCATTCATGCTAAATATCTAGCTACTTACATAATAAGTAATCTTATTATACCTATATATATATATATTATATATTTCAGGCACGGTATATATACGCCAGTCCTAATGTTAGACGCTTGTTATGGACGTGGTTTATGTACCTAGGTACCTAAGGTATGCCTTCCAGAAAGATATAAAACCCACAGCTCCTTGTAAAGGGGTACAGATCGAGGTATCGCCGCGATTCGCTTCCCGATTCGCATTCCATTTCCATAACCCCTCCCTCATGCGTAGACCTCCAACAGGTAGTAGGTAAGTAAATGTAGTTCCTGTTAGCAGCCCTACGAGAACTCGGCAGAGGACGGTCAGTCTTCCTATTGGATTCCCTATTTGCGGTATAGCAGTGATGTGACGAAATATCCTCTGGAGTGGGTAGCGACAACCAGGGGTAATGTGTCTTGGCTTGATATTCTTACGAGCTTGTTTAGATGTTAGTTTAATGTGTATCATGCTATGTCATTCTATCCTGTATAACTACGTACTGCTATGTAAACCGGTCATTAGGCTCTTCAGAGGCGTGGTAGTAGTGAAAAGCGCCACAAAGCCCCGGCGCCTATGCCCCTGGTTCTCCCCGCCAGTAAGATAACCATCCAGGTTTGGTATTGGGCAAGCCGGGCAAGTTCACGTTCTACGTGGACCTATCGTTACTTCGTCGCGGAGCAAGGGGCTAGATGGTACGAACCGAAGTAGCCCTTTATGTTTTCCCCTCGCGGTGACGAGCAAATTTACATCATGTACAAGGAAAAAGGAGTGACCAAGGCTCCGAGTATAGGCGGACTCGGCTACACGTCTGTCCCAAAGATAGATATAAGAATGCTAGTAATATATAGGAAGTAAGCCTTAAGCATCGTAAAGTAAAGCGCCTATCGGCAGTAGCATCGCGATCAAAAGACAGGCGTAATATGTTGGTTCCCAAGCTCGTCGTACATGCGTAGTATGGGGGAGGAGAGATGCGACTGATGACTTGCTTGTAATAGGCAGGCTTTCGATGTGATGCTACGAAGCCATGTTCCCTCCTAGCCAGTAATGGGTTAATCTAGTAGCACTGCGTCTGCTGTGTCACTGCCGCGCTGCAACTGAGGACGAATATTGGCTCCTGGTCCTAGAGAAAAACGGCACTTCGTGAGCGGACAAGGTGCCTATCACCATGGAGTACCTAGCCTCTGGGCGTGAGAATAGGGAAATCTTCCCATACTTCAGCCACCTACTCGTTTCTAGTGTTAATACTGGCGGCGGAGATACAAGGATATCTTCACCAGGATGCAACCCGCTTGAATCAGTATCATTATTCTATGGCGGTGAACTAGAGTGCTATGTAAGGCTTTGCTGATGAACTACTTTGTATACATACACGGTGCTCTTCTGTAGTACGTTTTAGAAGCTACTAGGATTTCCGCTACATATCATCTAGGTCCACGTCTATACGTACCTAGTAGGAATGTTGATACATTACGGAGCCAGGATTCTTAACTGATTCATGTGGCGAATAGTCGATTTCCCACAATGGGTGGACATCGTGCAGTATTGTGGTACCATTCTCAACGAAGGCGGATGAGAAACTCATCCGCTAACCCCCTTCTGAAAAATTAACAAGTTCAATCACCGGAACACAACGCTGAGGACTGGACAGGAGTTTCAATTACCACCTACACTTTACTCACTGTTGTATGTGTGATCCAATCTGTCAAGATGAACGGTCAGTATTTACCTTTAAAGGGGCGGTTAATAGAATCTGATGTATAGACTGTTAATGCAACGAGACAGCTAGTTATTGAAGATTAGTATTGGGTGTACCAATAAATGCCTACCTAACCTAACATATATAGCATGTAGGATAAGAAAAATCTCTAAAGGCAGTGTGCGGAGGCTCGGAGCCGAGAAACGTGAAGGCTTGGTTCGCGCTGCAGGCGACCATTTAGGGACCAACCCTGCATTTCGATATGATAAATCAGAAAAAACGAGGAGAAAAAAAAAAGAAAAATCTGGGAAGCCCCTCGCCAGACAGCCAAGTTTTTGCATCTCGAATCGCGACGAACTGCCATACCTGGCGGGTGAAAATACCGTGTCCAGTTGTTTCATTTTTCGGGCCAAGTTTACTGAGCACACCTAGGTATTTTATATTGATAAACAAGCCTGATAGAAGCCTGTATGGTAGATGGATGCTATAAATGTATGAACGCATGAACGTATGAACGTATGAATGTATGAGTGTATGCTTGTACATACATGCATGGTTTGCACATCTGGGATGTGGATGCGACTGTGACCATGATCCTAGATGTTAGTACATTCCTAAGTACGGGGGAGCAAGAAAGAATGTTAATACTTGAGACATGACATGGCTGACTGCAGCGGCCCGATCTATCCAATGCGGTGGCCGCGGCACCAGCCGCCGTTAAGGCTTGCGTGCATCGACCATTTTATGTTTTGCACTGCTCGTACATACGCGTGTGCTTGAGTTGAGAACTGAAGGATTATCTTAGTAGGTATACCTCGTATTGGTATCGATCGAGGGAAGAATAAAAAAAAACTTGGTCGTAGATGGACTCATCAAAAGAGGGAAAAAAAAGAGCTAAGAGTTAGAGTTCCAACAAGGTACCAAGCTTGGGCCACTATAGCCGGGGTTCCCGGAGACGATGCCATCTCTAGATATTCCCACATGAGATACATATCATACCTACTTCACATTAACTAGAAATAGGCGATGCTGAATTTATATTCTTTTCTATATAAATTTGTATAAAGACATATCACTTATGATTTTATATCACGCGATCATAATACAAACGGCTTACATTGCATAGTTGATATCTCACCTCTTGCGTTACGATGTGCTTATTAGCGACTTGTAAACGGTTGATGAAAATATATGTAGTCGGATAGGTACCTGTGGGATGACGGCGCGCGCCAAGACCACTTTCTTCAGGGATTTAGAGCGGGAACTATATTATCCTTGCTCCATCACTAATATACATATACATACATATACACACACGTATACAATGTGCCTATCCGTTGCTTAGCTATGTAGTACTCGTCTTTGCGAGGTGTTCCACACGAAAGCAATATACTCGGTTGCCCTATGCATGTTCTAAACGAGGCAAACACATAGGCAAGGCCACCTATGATATCGCAAAGCGCTTAGAGATCGTCAAGCTCGGACATGAAATACATATAGTGAATACATGGCACTGGGTAGATTTAGATCCAAGTCCTCGATAATGGATTGGCCAAAAAGCCCCAACAAGTGAACACTACCCCATACCGTCCACAGTATGACATGCCTAGTATGACATACCTAGGTGGGTAGCGTCGATGGTTTCCTGTTTTGCAGTAGCAGTTACGGTAGGGCTAGCCTGTGAGCGTCTGTAGCTACGTATTGTACCTATTTTCAATATTGGATGTCAAGTAGTATTGTACATAACAATTCTGATAGCTCAGCCAAGCTTACTTACATAGGTAGGTACTTATCAAAAAGAACAATCAAAGCTTTTACCTTACGATCAGCACTGTTTATACATTTAGGACCCTTAGACCTTGGGTATGTGCTCTGTAAACCGTAAACTGAACGAATTCCAGGCTTTTACTCTCATGATGTGTTCGGGGTTAGTAGTTGCTTGGCCGTGATGGTCGACAGATTTAGGTCCGTGTTTGGGCTGTTCTTATCAAGCAAAATAGGATATTGGATCGACACGTGCCTCTTTAACCGTACATCTAGCAGAGTTGCCTTGCATCTTTTGTACATACCTAGGAACTTAGGTAGGTAAGTCAGGTAGTACCTATGTCAACTTGCAAGATCTTAGGCCAGCTAGGAGCTAGGTTAGTACGTTCAGCGCCTCTCGCCCGACCACAGCTAGAGCAACAACGTGAGAGATCAGAAGCCGTACCTCCACCGAATCTTCAGTTTCATATCATAACTGACATATAGTAATATATAATATATACGAAAATAAAAGGTACATCTATATTATTGCTAACATGAGGATAAGAACATGGTTAACTTATGAGTTGACGTTTGTATAAGTACTTGGCTTAATAAAGAGATCTGTACCTTTCGTGGTAACATAGGTAAGAGCAACTTGAATTTTTAAAATAGAACAGATGAAATCCCCTATAAGACGGTTATTTAAGCAGTTACTATGTTATTCACAAAAAAAAAAAAAAAAAAAAAAAAAAAAGAAATAAAAAAGAAACTAGTAGGAAATAAAACATCAAAAGTATTTCTTTTTTGGATACGGTATGAGGTGCGGCTAAGCACGGTAAGTACAAAAAGCGTAACCTAATTTAGAACCAGGGGTGGTTGAAAGCATAACATATGCATTAGTGGGGAATAATCACGATTACGGGGCTAATTTTCCTGACCCGAGAGCGCCAGTGCCACTAGGAAGAACCAATGATAGCTGAGTATTCAGCTGACTCGGACGCGGTAATCTTCCCTTCCTATTTTTTTGGGGGCCGCTTTTTCCAATCGCGTGTTGCTTTCAGCCCAAATTCCCATCCCATCTTGTCTGTCTGTCTGTTCCATCCACACAACCAGCAATTCACACATCGAACGCATCTCCCCAGATTTTTTCCCTTTCCCTTTCCTATTATCGTCGATATTAGGGACTGGTACCCTCTCCTGCAGCACACATCGTCTTCAGAGTTCCAGGTACGTACGTACGAGAGCCGCTGACCATCTGGTCGCATATGCAAGCCAATCTAACCCCCCAGCTTACCCTTTTGTTGTTTTTTATTTTTATTTTTGTAATCATCCTTTTATTCCCCAACCTTTTTTTTTGTCGCCCGCGCCCGCGCTTAGCACCAAGTCGCTGTACACACACATATCGCGCGACACCAGCAAACAGCGCCTTACCTCACTTGACATTTACCATTTACATCCATCCAGAGACGCACACACAACACATACGTTCGTGTCTCTAGCCTCAACTATCCGTAATACCGGCATAATAGCAGTTTAATAGCTAACCTCTTTATCGGGTGAGCTACCGCGTGTCTTCAAGAGCTACTACGATTTGCTGCTGAGTTGCTCGTTGTTTACGGATAGTGGGTAGGCTGGAGAAGTTGGTGTTCGGCGTTCGCTGCCTGTGGTCGGTTTTCTCCTGCATGCAATACATACATACGCCTGTCTACACTACCTTGAACACTACCTACGCTACCTACGCTACCTACATCATAACCTTTCTACCACCTATCCGTATACGGGACCAACCCGGAGAGGCGCTCTGTCAGCACAGCCTATTGTGCAATACGAATGCAGAGACGCTGAATCCACACCCGATACAAGCATTCTTGTACCTCTTACCTTCTTGTCCTTATTTTTATTTTTATTTTATTTTTTCTTCTCTCCAGGGCCTTTTTAGTACTGCATCTAGTCCCCCCCTCCCCTTTTTTTATCCCCTCTACCTAGGTAGCTAGCGAGGGTCCCCAACTTGTTGTTGTCTAATCCCCCGAAAGCTTTGGCACACTCCTTGTCACTTCGAAGGCTCACCCCTCCAATACAGATATACCTCTCTTCCCGGCGTTCTCGTTGGTACTTTACTGTCGTCGGAGAAAAAAAAAAAAAAAAAAACTTCTCAGACAAGGCGGCCAAGCTCGACACAAAGTCCTTTCTGAACCTATTTAACAATGGGTAAGTCCACACCACCATCTTGATATCTTCGAGCTACACAAACATCTATACAACGTTGTGGATTGTTTTCTACTCGCCGGGTCTCGCGCGTCTCCCGAGGCCTTCTTGTTCTTTCCCTTCCCTTTCTTTTTTCTCTCTTCCATACCATAACCATTATCCCCCTTATTCATCATATACATATCCACGTCCCACACTACCTATCCAACTTTGTACAGGCGTACGTACATACATACTACCTCCCACACTGGCATACTCCCCGGCTGTCGAATCATATCTTTCCCTGGCTACCCGTTAAGGGTATTTCTTCCCCCCCAAATCTTACCTAGAGGCATAAAACAAATGCCTCTGCGACGTGTTACTGCCTCTGCCTTTACTTCGGGCTTGTAACAGCCCACAGCATTGCCCGCTTTCTATATTCCTACCTTCTTCCAAACCTCCCCACCACCCAATCACACTCTTCCCTGGCCCCTTTTACTCGGCTCACTCCACCAGTTATTCTATCATAACCACCTGCCTACCCTTTATGCCGTTTTATACAAGCCGCAACCCATCCCCCAGGCCTTTAATACGTCGCGCTCCCTCCCCACCCCCGTCCCTGGACGCTTTCCCTTCCCGATCCACTAACGGTCTGGCCTTCGAACACTTGCGTATGCAACTACGGCACGTCAGATTGCTACAATTGAGACTTTCCAATTTAACCTTATAGTCATAAAAATTACCTCTTTTCATATTTGCTCTTTGGAACTTGGCTTCTAACTTACGACGTTTTGAATAGCTGATTCCGGAGATACATATCGCCCTGTCAAGGTAAGCAAAGTTAGCAATATATTTTCAGAGTTCTGGTCAGCCGATTGGCACTTGAGCCGATATCCTAGAATCATCTGTCCATCACAACTTCTGGCGGGCTGGTTATTTCAACGACAGCAAAAACTCCAAATAAAGAAATCGTCCGTGCAAGGGGTAGACGTGCCCGACAGCTTCTCCCCACGCTATTTTATTTTATTTTATTTTTGCTTTTGAGCTAGAAGGAGGCACCAAGACAAATCGAGCCAGCTCTAGCATATAAAGTTTGCGTCCTTCCCGAGCAGCCGCGGGCCAGTTTTTGGACGTCGTGATTTCTAATGAACCGAGGGATTTTCGTACCCCGTTTTCAACAAATTCCTCCTGCAAATCCCCTGGACATCGATAGCTACTGGAATTTATTAGCTCGACGGCGTGCCATCTTTTGCTTCTAATGTCATTTGCAGCCCAACTAGATGCTGACGAGTCACAGCGCGAGAGATCTCGCTCTCCCCGACGTGGCCGTTCGAGGAGCCCGGGCCGCTCAGGTCGCCGTCGATCATATTCACCGCGGAGCCGGTCTCGCAGCCGGGACGATTACCGTAGATCGGATAGACGATCGCGATCTCCCATGACTGGAGCTGGGGCGCCAGTTGGAGGGTCAGGTTCGGGTTACGGTGGACCACCTCAACGGTCGTACGAGGAACGTGCGGCAGCGCGAGAACAAATGATGAATAACATTCGCGAGACGTCGCAACAGGACCGTCGTGTCTACGTCGGTAACCTGTCTTATGATGTGAAATGGCACCATCTCAAGGACTTTATGCGGCAGGGTAAGCTATTATTTCGCAATAGCGCCAATCCAACTTGTAAATTTAGGGCTAACGGCGGTTTGTTTCGCAGCTGGAGAAGTTCTCTTTGCCGATGTTTTATTACTTCCGAACGGGATGTCAAAGGTGGGCTTCTACACGTGATTCATGGCTGGTTTTCTCTTTGGTTCTTTCTCCTCTGGCTCTTGTTGGAATTGATGGATTGACGGGTTGGGACATTGTCCACGGGTTTTTGTAGGGATGCGGGTAAGCTAAGACATACATTCCCAAACTTGAAGCCTGCAAGTCTTTACTAATACGTTTCTAGAATTGTGGAATATGCTACAAGGGAGCAAGCACAAACAGCTGTTCAGACTCTCAGCAACCAGAACTTGATGGGACGACTCGTCTACGTTCGTGAAGTAGGACACCCTCCGATGTTCGTTATTTTATGGTAGATACTGAAGGCGGGGTTAGGATCGCGAAGCGGAACCACGATTTATCGGCGCAACCGGAGGCCGCGGTGGCTACGGCGGTGGAATGCAAGGCGGATATGCCGGCGGCGCCGGTGGCGGTGCTGGAGGCGGTGGTGCCTACGGCGGTGGCGGTGGTGGCGGCATGGGTGGTGGTAACCGCCAGATTTACGTGTCTAACGTTTGTCCATTCCCGCTCCTTTCTCTCTTGACGCCAATTTAGGTGGCTGGTCCTCATATTAACTTCACGTGTAGCTTCCTTATACCGTAGGCTGGCAAGACCTAAAGGACTTATTCCGCCAAGCTGGTTAGTTCTCTTGCTCGATTAACTAATATGCCTATGTGGCGAGTCTGGTGCTGATGTTAACGTGGTTATAGCTCGAAATGGCCAGGTAATCCGAGCTGATGTCCATCTGGGACCGGACGGCAGACCTAAGGGTTCTGGTATTGTCATGTTCGAACACCCCGAGGATACACGTAATGCTATCCAGCAGTTCAACGGATTCGAATGGCAGGGACGTTTGCTCGAGGTTCGCGAGGATCGTTTTGCCCACCAAGGTGCAGGTGGATATGGCCGAGGTGGCTTCGGAGGCCGTGGAGGGTTTGGCGGCTCGTATGGAGGTCGCGGAGGCTTCGGCGGTCGTGGCGGCTTCGGCGGCGGTAGCGGCTATGGTGGACGCGGAGGTTACGGTGGGGGTAGCGGTGGTGGGCCCGCCGGTGGGTTCGAAGCCAACAATGCCACGCCGGCGGCTCCAAACCCATTTACCGATTATGCCACCGCTGGAACCGACCCAAGCGAGACAATTTATGTCCGAAATGTAAGGCAAACGACTTCGCTATTTAGTTGATAGGTTACTAATCCCATGTACTAGCTTCCTTGGTCTACTAGTAACGAAGATCTGGTGGAACTCTTCACGACGATTGGCAAAGTTGACCAGGCTGAGATCCAGTATGAGCCCAGCGGAAGGTCTAGAGGATCTGGTGTTGTTCGTTTTGATAGCACTGCTACTGCGGAGACGGCCATTTCGAAGTTCCAAGGTTACCATTACGGCGGCAGGCCTCTTGGCCTAAGCTTCGTGAAATATGTCACGCCAGGTGGAGGAGACAACATGGAGACGGATACGCATGGTGGTCTGACGCAAGATCAGATCATGTAAAGCACTGCTTCTCCGGTGTTTATTGTCACTCTACCCGGATCGCGAGCTTCCCTAGGTTGTCCGACATCGCTAGTGTCTTGATAGTTCCCATACCGAAACTATCATGTGAGTGTATCGACTTTCTAGAAGGGTTGGGTCGGATGGAATGGGCGGTGCCTTGTCCGTTTTGCATAATTGTACTATTTACTTCGTTCTCATTTCCGTTTTAGCACTCGCTTCATTCCTTTCATTTCTCTTCAAGATGTATCCCTCTACTCGAAGTGGCAACAATCAGAGGTTCTCATGGCGAGGAATTGCCGGGGAATAAGACCACCATTGCAGCGGCGAGTTCAATCCATTACTAGTAATTACGAAGAGGGGGAATCGCTGACCTGCGGTGTGTTGATTCGCGGGCCATCGATAAGATGCGAGGGTGAGCGGTCAGCGCACAATGATCGGCGGGACACAGAAAAAAGGTGGTTGTTCTTTCGTTCTTGGTATCTGTTACCTTTCCCAGCGTTAGTTTTTTTTTTTTTTTTTTTCCATTCAGAAAAAAGGCGGCGATGAGGCTTAATGATGCCCTGACAAGGAAATGAGAAAGCTTGAGACGCACAAAAATAGATTGTACTTCGCGAATAGTATTCGGAATTTCCAGAAATGGGCTGTGGTTTGGCGCAATCTGTTGTGCCCGAGGGCCCAAAACGGAACAGATTAAGGTATAGGGTCTTTCATGAGAGTCGTAGGATTTCGCATGGTATGCGTGTAGGTCGTCGAAAGCTACCTAGGCTTGGCTTGCGTGCGTCGTTTTGTGCGTAGGTATTGCATAAGATCATCGGGGAAGCAAAGACCTAGTCTAATAGCCAGGGCGTGATGGTTGGTACGTAATATCTCTACCGTCTAGACGTTTGTAGATAAAAGAAATGGGCTTGTGGAAATCTTCCGTCGGGCTTGGTTATGGCGAGTCTAATGTGTAATGACACGTATACGACTGAGGGTATTTTATGCCAGGCGAGTTTAAAGTACTTGGTAACGTGTTTAAGGAGTCTCGCGTCAAAGTTCAGTCAGCAGCGAGGAGAGAAATGAGAAGATATTTCAAGGCTTTGATATCATTTATTAGCATATCTCAAGCTCTCGTCTGAATATACTACCAAACCAGCAACAGCACGCACTTAAGTAGTCTACCCGTGACCTAGTAGTAGCTTACAGCTACCCAAATTTAATAATGCTACGTGATCCTAGCCTTTCGCGAGGCGCGCAAGCGCTTTAACAGACAATAAATGGCACTGCTGATTATGGCCTCCTATCCTGAATACCTCACAGGAACTTGAACTTGTCCCCCAAGTGGGCTTCTAGTTTGAGAAGGCCAAGAGCGCTCAGAACGGGGTCCACGCGTGGATAAGAAGATCCTAGGCTGGCTGGCCTCTCCAAGATGAGCACGAAGAGGAAAAGGGAAGGTGATAAATATTATGTAGTAAAGTTGCAAGGGGCAAGGTATTATATCAGGGACCAGAGGGAGCAGCAGAGCCCTTCTTCTTCTTTGCCTTGCCCTTCCTCTTGCTGCGATCTCTCGGCTTCAACGTGGCCATACCGGCCTTGCATACTTCGGCATATCTATCGAAGAAAGCGGGAAGAGCGTCGGGCTCCACCACGGTCGACAGCTTAATCTTGTCCTCGCGTCGCTTCTTGCCCTTCGCATTTGTGGCACGGATGAGTACGGGCATGGGCTGTGGGGGGTGTAGATCGGGGAGTACGGTTTCGCTCGTCGGCTCTGGGACAGGTTGGTCGTAAGATACTAAAAATGGGCGAAGGGTAATGGGTTAGAGAAGCCACCGGGGAAGAGGTTGTAATATTTCCAGCATCAAGATCCGTGGGGACTAACATCTCTTCTGCACCAACACTATGGAACCGTGATCCTTCCCTTTCTTCTGGTCGAAGAGCTCGGTGAGCTTGAGGAAGAACTGCGAAAAGTGGACATTAGTACGGGCGCAAACTCGAGAGACATATGATTGGGTTGGGTATATGATGTGATATAATGTGATATAGAAATGTGTATGTGTGTGTGTGTGTGTACCTCATCATTGTTCAAGTGACCCATTGCGATTTGTGAATACCTAGAGAGAGATATGTGGATATGTTCGATATGTTGTTATCTGACGGTTAGAATAAGTTAAATTGATTAAGGTATGTAAGTTTCTTGCATGGGCCAAATTGATGTTAGGTGGGGTTTCCCCGTGGTGGGGCAGTCCATTAGCAGCATGACTAACTTACAACATCAAGTTGCCATGTCCAAACTCCAAAGTACCTGCCGTACAATACAATAAACTCGTACGAAATTGCGAATACAAGTCACATTCATTAGGCGGTACCTTCCTTTTTACAAGGCACGGGACTACAAATAGCTGTTTCCTAGATGATACAGAAAATGAACGTTAGTCCAACTTTAACAATTATTAATGTTCCAGTAAAAAGTATCATAGGAAGTATCACACGTAAGTACCTACTTTTGTGGCCCACTTGCCATTTATAGTACATAACCTTCTAATTCTAAAAGGACTTTTTCTTTAAGAAGGTGTGAATATAACACAACAACAACCCCAAAATATTTAACTTATTCCTCTATTAACTACCAAAAAAACTAACAAATAATTTATTTTATCTACGGTTTTTTACAAGATCCTTTTTACATCCAGCACAATCTCTAATCATCAGAAAACATCGCCGAAATGGCACCTGGACACCAGCGAAAACTATCGTTGCCTGCAACACTTCTAAAGGAACTTGACGCCCAGCAGCCATCTTCTTCTGTTCAAGGCGGAGGAAGATCCAGAAGGCAACTTTCAAGAAGAGAGCAACGCAAGGCCCAGCGTGTCCAGAAAAAACTGTCTCGTCGCCCACAGCCGCGTCAAAACCAGGAAGCGCGCAAGCCTCACAAGTCGTCTCAAGCTAATGGCTTTAATGGTGACGATGATGAAAGTGATGCTCTAGAGGATGATGGCGAGGATGGCGAGGAAGGTGATGCAGATGATCTGGATATGGAGGATAGCTCCGAGGGAAGCGATGGTGAGAGTGATGGGGATGAAGAACCAAGTCAACCCAAACCCTCAAAGGCCACAAAGAGCAAACTTGCTCAGGACGATGCAGAAATCAAAGAGTTAGAAAAGAAGTTAGGCTTGAGGGGCAGGAAGTCACTACCCAAGTCTTTCCAGGATGATGGTCTCGGCGATTTACTGGATGGCTTGGATGAAGACGACGGCGGCAATATCGGACCTGCCTCGCAAAGTAGACGCAAGACGGAAGCGGATGAGTGGTTGGCCCAGAAAAGAAAAAAGGCACAAGCAGCCGCCGAGAAAGCTGCAGCTAATGAAAGTGCTGGTGACAGCGATGAAGATGGCGACGATTTGGACGATGAAAATATGTTGTCCGGTGACGGCAACTCAGAAAAAGACGACGAGGATGCTTTCGAAGGCTTTTCAGACCAAGAAAAACCTGCACTTGCGCGACCGCCACGAGAAAATCCCTACGTCGCTCCTACAACAGGAGTCGCAAAATACGTGCCCCCAGCTTTCCGCAAGCAGTCGGGTTCAGGTGATGAAGCAGAAGCACGAATTCGAAGACGTGTCCAGGGTTTGATGAATCGCCTGACAACCGACAGTATGTTTGGTTTGGTCAAGGATTTTATGGCTCTATACGACACGAACCCAAGACAAACCGTGACGTCCGCTATCGTGGATTTGATTCTAGCCTTGGTCTGCTCACCCGAAAAGCGCCCCGACTCTTTCTTCACGATGGTCGCCGGTTTTCTTGCGGCAATGCATAAATCCCAGGGAATGGCCTTCAGTGCCTACTGCATACAGCGACTAGTAGAAATTTTCGACCAGCGTTATAGAGGGACAACCGGAGATAAGTCAGACCCCGGCTTGAGGCATCTTATTTCCTTACTTGCCGAGATTTACAATATGCAAATCGTCGGTCCTGGATTGGTATTTGACTACATTCGCCTTCTCTTGCATCATCATTCTGAGCTCAATACCGAGCTGCTTTTACGAATTATCCAACTCTGCGGCCCGAGCCTCAGACGTGATGATCCCCATGTGTTAGGGGATATCGTCAGTATGGCCAGGCCAGACAACACAATGTCAACCAGGACCATCTTCATGATTGACGAAATGAAGAGGCTACATAGTAATAAATCAAAAGCCGCAAACCGTAATAAAGACCTCGCAGAGCAGCGGGTTCAGATCAGGAGGCGAATCGGTGGTCTAGGCGGCACCCACGATGCTCAACCTCTGCGCATGGGTTTACAAGAGATCCGGGACGCTGATAAGCACGGAAAGTGGTGGCTCGTCGGGGCCAGTTGGTCTGGCAGCCATAGTAATACCGATGGCCAAGGCGATACCCCCGGGGATGAAGAAGGTGATGATGCTGACGAGATGATGGTAGACGTTGGCGACGACCTTGGCATTCCGGATCTCTGGCAATTGGCAAAACAACAGGGTTTCAATACGGAAGTACGGCAACGAATATTCGTTGCTTTACATGCGGCCACAGACTATGAGAATGCAGAGCTGCTCGTCCGTAAGCTGGGACTCAATAAGCACCAGCGGAAAGAGATACCCGAAGTGATTGTTCGAAGCAGCGAGCGGCAGTCTCAGTACAACCCCTATTATGCCCTGGTCGCTACCCGATTTACCGGGGACCGAGAGCTGGCATTTCAGTTTAGACGATGTCTCACAACGCGACTCAGAAAGATGGGAGAGGATATTGAATTTGGTGACGACGATGATCCTGACATAGAGGACTGGGCCGAGTATGACATGCGATGGATATACAACGCGGCTAAGACGTACGGATCACTCGTGGCTAGTCGAGCCCTTCGACTAGCGGATATAGTGAAGCACCGCAACTTTGGGGCTCTCCAGGCGAACGCGCACCTGTTTTTCGAGGTGATGTTCATTTCGATACTCCAGGAGTGCGGGCGCAGCAGCCTAAAGGAGGTTTTTAGCGGCCTAGATGCAAAACACGCCCGAGGAGTACTGTGGTTTTTACGGATGAAAGTGTGCACAACCGACCTCTTAAAGGACACGAAGGAAAAAGTAGCGATTAAGAAGAGCTATAATGCGGTAGAGGAATTGCTAAGTGTGCTCGCATCGTCGTTCGCATTGGGAGGATTATCAACTCTACGCTAAAGGGGGGATATATTAGGAAGAGATTATCAACTCTTCGCATGGATTTCCTCGTTCATCAATGCAGAAAACTACCTAACCTAGCGTAACGTATCTGGGCTAGACATGTACGAAGTAGTAGGTAAATATACCACCATAAGATAATAGTATATATGCGCTGATTTTTTAGTTAAGGAGATAAGCTATTATCATGTCTCTTTTTTATATTTACTATATTTTTTCTTCTTGTGGTTTAAAAAGTAGATGATTAACTACATGGTGGTTACGTATAACAGGTTACCAAGAATGAGACAAAAAAAAAGATAGGACCGGTTACTTTCGGAGTAGCGGGATATCGGCGAAAATGAACCGCCAAAGAGGTACCTAGGTATTGTACCAGTGGCAGGTACCAGCGGTAGTATACCACAGGTAAGTACCTAACGGTAATAGAAATCAATTCCTCATTGGTACATGGATACCGGTACTTGGTCATCCCCAACGCCCGGACCTCCAAAATTTCGAGCAACTCCAAAAACATTCCGGGTCCATCTAAATCTCGTCAGTCTCTCATCCAGTTCTCATCTATACTTATTCACCTCAACCAAACGTCACACCAATTGCGCTATATCCGCCTTTTGTTTTTCTTTCCCCCCCCTTCGTTATAGACAAGATAGGCAGACCGGGCAGCCAGCCGAGGAAAACTAGATAATTATGCTGGCCAGTCGTTTAATACCGCGGGCCGCTGTGCGATCTGCTTTCCGCCCTTCTTCGTAAGTTCTATCTATAGCCGAAGTTGAAGCTCTCTCTCTTTTTTTTTTTTTTTTTTTTAAACCCAAACATGATTATCCCACTAATTCGTATGCTTCATCACCCAGTCTTCCCTCAGTAGTCTCACCCCTATCGCGATGGAGAAGGGGATACGCTACCGAAGCAGGTTAATACTCCTTTTAATATCGTCTTGTCTTACCGACCCCTTCTTATCGCTAATCATCAACCCGGCGCAGAAGAAAAAGATCTAGTCATCATCGGCGGTGGAGTGGCCGGATATGTCGCAGCTATCAAGGGTGCACAGGAGGGCTTGAAGGTTCGCCAATGCCAACTTTGATGCGATTTATTTTTTTATTTTTATTTTTTTTAATCCCACGTCTATCCATTTATACATACAAGACGATGCAAAGGCAAAGAAAAGAAAAGAGAAACAAAATCTAACTGGCGATTACACCCCACGGCTAGGTCACTTGTATTGAGAAGCGCGGCAGTCTCGGCGGTACCTGTCTCAACGTTGGATGCATCCCTTCGAAATCCCTCCTCAACAACTCGCATTTGTACCATCAGGTCCTCCACGACACTAAGCTCCGAGGTATCGAAGTCGGCAATGTCCAGCTCAACCTGCAAGCTATGATGAAGGCCAAGGACACCTCTGTTACCGGCTTAACCAAGGGTATCGAATATCTCTTCAAGAAGAACGGTGTCGAGTATATCAAGGGTACCGGCTCTTTCGCTAGCGAGCACGAGGTTAAAGTGAAGCTGAACGATGGCGGCGAGACGAGCGTGGTTGGCAAGAACATCCTCATCGCTACCGGTTCCGAATCGACACCTTTCCCCGGTCTCGAATTCGACGAGAAGCGCGTTGTCACTAGCACCGGTGCCCTGTCCCTCGACAAGGTTCCTGAGAAGATGATCGTCATCGGCGGTGGTATCATCGGTCTTGAGATGGGTTCCGTATGGTCGAGATTGGGTGCCAAGGTTACCGTTGTCGAATTCCTCGACCAGATTGGTGGCCCCGGCATGGACGCTCAGATTGCCAAGGAAGCACAGAAAGTGCTCAAGAAGCAGGGCATGGAATTCAAGCTCGGCACCAAGGTCGTCAGTGGAGAGAACACGGGCGACAACGTTAAGCTCCAGGTGGACTCTGCTAAGGGTGGCAAGCCCGAATCGGTTCGTATTATCCCACATATGCATGCGCAGAACAGTATATTCTAACTTGGACTTCTAAAAATAAATAGCTCGAGGCCGATGTTGTCCTGGTTGCCATTGGTCGCCGCCCCTATACTGCCGGACTCGGTCTTGAGAACATTGGCTTAGAGCTCGACGAGCGCGGCCGTGTCGTTATCGACTCCGAGTACCGCACCAAGGCTTCTCACATCCGCTGCATCGGTGACTGCACATTCGGCCCTATGCTTGCCCACAAGGCCGAAGAAGAAGCCGTGGCCGCGGTCGAGTATATCAAGAAGGGTTACGGCCACGTTAACTACGGCGTTATCCCGTCTGTCATGTACACGTACCCCGAAGTCGCTTGGGTCGGCCAGAACGAGCAGGAACTGAAGTCGCAGAACATCCCCTACAAGGTCGGAACGTTCCCCTTCAGCGCTAACTCCCGCGCCAAAACCAACCTGGAGACGGAGGGTTTCGTCAAGATGATTGCGGACCCCGAGACGGACAGGTTACTAGGCTGTCACATCATCGGACCTAACGCTGGCGAGATGATCGCCGAGGCTACCCTCGCGCTCGAGTACGGTGCTTCGACGGAGGATATCGCGCGCACTTGCCACGCCCACCCGACGCTCGCCGAGGCTTTCAAGGAGGCGGCAATGTCGACTTACTCCAAGGCCATCCACTTTTAGTGGGAAAGGTCGAGAGCGTGTAAATATAGAGAAAAGAGAGAGAGAGAGAGAGAGAGAGAAGGATGGTATGATGTAGATGAAAAAAAGGGGGTATGGCTGACTACTAACACTACCCCTGAAAAGAAAAATGAAAAAAGTTATCATCAAGGCAGGCAGGAAGACTAGCATCGGTGTAATGGTGTACATTAATACAGCATGTGGACAAGATAAAGCAAAGTGAAAACTACCTATCTACTATATAAGTGTGGTGCAGTACGTTACAGTGCAGCGATGTGTCGTGTTTTTCGAAGAGCCTCCTTTGAAAAAGGGGTTGCTGTTGCTGTTGCTGTTGATGGTGCATTAGGTAGGTATGTTAAGAGATATGTGCCTAACCTAGCTACCAAGCTGGGTATGTGACCAAGTGCGTGTGCTGCGAGGCGTTCCGTTTGTTTGCTATTGTAGTAACTAATGTTTCCAGGTAGGTATATCTCATCTAGAAACTAACATAGCCTAACCTAGAAATCAATCGAGTAAAGTATGTAGATAGACTGTGCTATAAGAGGTTACTACTTACATCTGCTACGTTCGGTATTTATTCCTTCATTCATCCACTGTATCAATTTCTTTACTATTTTTTTTTCTTTTCCTTTTCTCTAGCTTTTCTCTATCTTCTCTAGGATGGCCCGTTCTTTTTTCGGTATACCAGCGTTCATGTCTCCTACCCATTCATTTTCCGGTCGTTGAGGAGCCAGTCAAATACTTCTTCCACTCTAATCTATGTATGAGAATCTACCTATCCATCCGTCCGCCCGTCCGTCCAACTACTTCCTTACCCCCTTCACCTCTTGCTTATCTCTCAACCCCTTAGCTTATTTTAGTTTATTCAGCATCCTCCTGCACCGCCTCAGCAGCCTGGAGCGCCCTCTTGAATATATCTACCAAGTCCTCTTCTAATCCTACGCTGACCCTGAGTAAATCCGGATTGACCCCAAAACTCGCCGCCCAGTCTAACTCCTGGTAGTGCGCGAGCACCACGTACGGCGAGGTTAAAGTGAAGTTTGTTCCCAAGCTTGGGCCCTTCGCCGTTTCCAGGGCATCGTAAAACGCCATGGCATGGGCCTTCGTCTTGAGCGTGCACGACAGCAACCCGCCGTACCCGCCGGTCGGTAGTTTGCAGGCCTCGTAGTTGGGCCGAGACTCGTTGTACTTGGGGTAGTAGACGTTGGTGACGAGGGGGTGCGAGACGAGAATCTCGCAGATGGCCTCGGCGTTGGCGTTAACGCGGTCGATGCGCGAGATAAAGTCCCGGCTGTTGCGCTCCATAAAAATCACGTCCTCGGCCCAGTACGTATCCTCGAACTCGGCCATCATGACACGCTTGAGGGATGCGTAGTACCGACTATTGGGGTTCAAGATTATGCTCCCGCCCATCACGTTACAGTCCCCGGAGAAGATCTTCGTTAGACTGGAGACGACTACGTCGGCGAAGGGGAGCACGTTCACGTTTACGAAGTTGCCGACGGTCTCGTCTACCACGACGGCGAAGTCGTATTTATCGGCTAGCCTTCTGATGCGCGCAAGATCGGGGCAGGTGAGTATGGGATTTCCGGGAAATTCGCAAAACAGGCCGAGGAACTTTTCCCCGGCTTCGAGACGCCTCTCGAGGTCGTCCAGGTCAGCGCTAGATCCGTGGCCGTAGAATATAGCTCCGGGTCCGAACTTTTGGAGGATCTTGAGAGTATCAACGTAGGGGAATCCGAAGTTGATACTCTTCTCGGGGTTGCGTGCCTTGAGCAGGGTCTGGTGAGTTGTGAATATGGCGTTCATGCCGCAGGGTACCAGGTATATGTCGTCCTCCTTTAAATTTGAAATGCCACGGGCGTTAGAATCCATCGTTGGCAGGGCAGCAGTGCTTTCTAGATCGATATCCGTGGTTAGAACGCCGGCGATGCGGCGTCTAATAGCCGACTTGGCATTGGGAACGAGGGAGAGGTCAAGATTTCTGCCGTATCGCTCTTCCAAGAACCTCGAGCTTTCGAGTGCGTCTGTTGCCTCGGCGGCGGGAGGATCAAGGGTTACGGGATACTGGCGATTGCTGTTTGCCCCGTTGGACCCATTTGTCGTGTCGTCTACGGAAGCTGTCCGTCTGTACCTTTTTGGACCGCGAACCAGTTTATTCAAAGGGCGAGGTGATGATGACGCCTTGTCCTCGGGCACGAGCATATTCTCCTTGAATAAAGCATGGTAGAACTCGGCACGTCGGCTTGAAACACCGTCGCCAGAGTGCTGCCAGTACTGCTTCGCAAGGGGGAATGATTCGGAGGTGCAGAGAACAGCGGAAATAGACGGGGTGTCAGGCAGTCCAGCCGGGGCTTTCTTAGTCGGGTCCAAGACGAGATGCAGGACGTCGAGGTCCGCCAAGACAGACTCGGGCGCCTTGTCTCGGATGAACTCGATACACCTGTTTGCCGTCTTTTTAGTAGGAAACAGAACAGCCTGGTGGTTGGCAGACCCGTGCTTGGCGACGATGTCGCGACCGAATGCCTGGATGCTCTTATGGATGAAGAATCTGGGGTAGCCGGTAACCATAACGTCAAGGACCCATTGCTCCCCTTCTTCATATCCGACGTTTGACCTCCACGTGGGAAGCGAAACGCTCACGGCCTTATAAGAAGAGAGTTAGTCAGTGAACAAGAATGAAGAAAGGTAATAAAAAGAAGGAGATGAGGAGGAGGGAAAACTCACGTGAGCAGTGTTAGGAGGTATCGAGTCTCCTAGCTCGATTGAAGGCATTCTTGTTATTCTTGATGTTATTTTCCGTGTTATTATATTATTATGTACCTAATATTATTGCGTTATATCAGCTCTACTGTAACGTCCCTTTCATCTCAACGTATCAACGTCTCAAGTTAGAGAGAGGTAGAGAGAGAGAGAGAAGAGAGAGAAGACCGAATAGGTGAGGTATGTGTGTAAGGTAGTTTAGGTTACGTAGGTAGTCAGCGGTAACAACACCAAGTATGTAATCATTAATATTAATGGGGAGGACGTAAGTAGTTCTACTCTGTACAGGGATATTGGACGTAGTGGATTGCTGCACGTAGAAAAAAAGAAAAAGAAAAAAAGAAAAGAAATGTATGGATGCCGCGATCGGAGGCAAGAATTTCGAACTACATAAAACTTGCATCCTCTAAGTATAGGTATCTTTTAAAAGTGTCTGATTGGTCCATCTATTTTATACATGATAGATACTACCTAATGTAAGTACTACTTACATATAGGTAAGTACCTACTAACCTAGCTAGGAGTTTATTTGCCTTGCCGCAACTTACCCCATACAAGTTCCTTTACCTCTTATAATACTTTGTACTTATGTTTTACGGTTACACACCCCTATCAGCTTTCTAATTCCCTCCTACATATTACAATCAATTTACAGATACCTACCTATCAATACCTAATATAAGTCCAGAAAGAAATATACAAAAAATATCCTAGGATAGCAGTCATTTGCCTATAACAAGATGAAGTTGAATAATGTGATTTTATTGGGCGAGAATTCGGTTACAGGTACGAGCCCGCTGGACGTCGATATCCAAGATGGCAAAGTTTGCTCGGTATGTCCTTCAGAGCATGTAGCCAGCGAACCTCCCAAGGTCTTATTACCACCCCTCTGCCATCCGCATATCCACCTTGACAAACCCCTTCATCCTCACCTGCAGTAACCATCTTTTCAGAATGTTATCCTAATTACTCCGATCTCTTACCCGAGACTGGCTCCTACGGTGTAACGTCCCTCCGTGCTTTTGTAGAAGTGGACCACCTCACCGGCGCATTGTCGCTGACTACAGCTACTCGACTCAGGTCTGAGTTTTCTCATCTGCTGCACATACAGGTCTGTGTCTTTGCCCAAGACCCCCCTTTCTCAGGTACGCATGGGGAGGCGAATCGATCCGTCATTGCCTCGCTCCTCAAAGACCATGTAACGTCCATTCAAGCCCTTGGAACTACCCCTTACATCAAGGGAGAAACCGGGTGCAAAGACATAGTGGAAGGTCAATCCGTGAGGGGTATGCTCCTAATCAATAACAGGGAAGAAACTAGGCTACCGGAACAGCCAGCAGCTTCGGGCGCAAGATACCTGCCAGGCAGCGGACAAGTTTCAAAGATACCGTATGAGACCCACCCGATGTCGAGTTGAGATCTATCATTAGATGAGCTCAATGGATTCTAAGTTGAGTACCAATGATTGGGGGTTTCAAATTCGTCCCGAGCATGGCGACTGGGTAGCAGTTAAGTATCCGACGTTCGGGACAGCTGAGACAAATTTTCGGTTGATGTGCTCGTAGAAATTGTGCGTTTCGTAATAAAATAGATAGCATCGGGCCAACTTCACATCATAGAACAAGGCGAATCTGAATAATCCGGTCCGAATATCTCCTTATTGCGTTCGCGCTCGTTGAGTCGAATTTTTTCCTTGACCTCCTTCGGAAAGTACTCGCGAAGAAATGCGGCACGTTCGCTATCAAAATGTTCCAATCCAGCTCGCATGATCACGTCAGCTCGGCAGAGGGGGCAAAACCTCTCTCCTCTTCGTGACATTTTCACGAGACACCGACTGCAGAATATGTGCTGACAGTCTAGCCGAACCGGCCAGTACGCAACGGCAAAGCAGATAGGGCAGAGATAATCATCAAGCTGCGGAACGACCGAAATCAAATCGTTAGACATTTGTGCACATATGTCTTTGGCCACATTCCCTGCTAGAAGCCTATTGGATTGCACAGTGACAGGGAATGCCCGCGAAACGCCCAGCGCAGTTCTCTTATCGAATTCTGCCCAAATGGTTAGCGGAGAGAGGGGGAGGCATGGGGGGCAAATGCGATAGGAAAAACTTACTCTTGAGTATCTTGGTCACTGCTAGACTGTTAATCTCTTGAAATTTAAGAATTTGCAAGAGCAGAGCGTTCATATTGAGAAACCTTGTGTAAGCTTGCTGGCTGTTCTCAAGTTTGAGGCCATGAATTAACTTTCTCGACAGGACTTGATCTTGAAACCACCTGAGTTGCTCGACCGCCTGAGCGCTTGTTCTGGCGCCATGGTCGTTTTCCCTAGTAGAAAAGAAGACCCGAGCATCCAAGTAAAGCTCGAAGATACTGCGCCAGGTTTCCAAGTCTCCCCTAGCCCTCCGCCCTTTCGACGGTTTCGTGGCTTTGTTGATATCCTGACCTAGAAGACTGATCTCTTTACCTAATTTATCTTGTTCCTCCTGTTGCAACGCGTCTAAGTTCGAGACATCGGTCTGTAGAATTTCAAAGAATTCGCCATCGAAGACTAAAGGCACTTCGATCTGTTGAACAGATAAATGGTCCTCTTTTGGCAATGACACGTGGTCGGCACTAGGAGGAGGATCCGTAGGTTTAGTTGAAGCAACTGGGTGTACACTGCTAACGTCGCATACTAGTAAATCTGATGATTCCCCTGTCTTAGATACTACTTTCTTCAAAAAGTCTCTTGTAGTCGGCGTTAATTTTGCGTCTACGGCCACGCCATCTTGAAGGTGGATGAAAAATGTAAGCCTCGGACGAAAATGATTAGAAGCGGTGAGTTTTCCATCAAGGTGATAATGAAAAGCAACTACAGATGGATCCTTCTGGCTGGCAGCTAGTTGAGCCAAAGTATCCTTGTCGAGTCCGAGCTCCTTGAGTTCATTGGTAACCTTCTTGAGACATTTTTTTAGCTGGCCGTAAGGGACAGCAGAGTTGACCCATTTCTCAGGAAAGCCTAATATTTTTTTGTTTCATTTCTTTAGCAATAAAGTATGTTAGGAGAGTAAAGCTGGCAGCTTACCTTCTCTTTGTAGAGCTTTCCTGAACTCTTGAGCGAACTTCATGAGAACGGATGAGTGCGATCTATGTAGGTATGTAAGTATATAAGAAGACGGGTTACTTAGGGGCCGGCCATGTGAAGTTGTGCGAATTCATAAACAGGATTAGCAAATTTGAAAGGTTGAATGAATTAACCTAGGAGGTTGTGACAAATTAGGTATCTGGTGGATATGGAGCGCGGTATAAAACAAGTATGCTTTGAGAGAGATGTAATTATATATAAACTATTAGGTATGGAAGTATATACGTTCAGGGATATTATATATATGGTATGTATGGTATGTATATATGGAGAGAAGAGGATGAGGAAGTAGGAGGTAGTGTTTCGTTTAGTGTAGAGAAACGGGGCGAATATTCCTAGTTTCTTGTACCTAACTTTAGGTAGGTATTGTACCTACTTAAGGTAATCTGGCAAAGAACATTCGAAGTTTTACCACTAGCTCCGTCTTAGGTACTTGACTATTGCATGACGGTACTTCTCGTGGTACCTTCTACGGTACTACCTAGATAGTCTACAGGTCCACATCTGATTCGTCCTCCGATGTAATGTACCTGCAAATATATGCAGCCTTAGCAGATTCGAAGCAGTTTGCCCCTGCGTGACCACGCGACCAATTGCCTCTTGGGCTATTTTCGAGTCTGGCCTATCTGGATGAATTTTCAAATTCCTCCCCGGTGAGGGGATTCCGGCTTTAATGCATAACAGTTACTATACGGAACGAAAAGAAAAGAAGAAAAGGGAGGTTCCTTATTTGTCCCGAGCAAATGGATAACTTCCACCCAAAATAGATTTTACTCAAGAGGTATCCAATCGCAACAGGATTACTTGACCTTAGGTACTTAATTAATTAAGTACAGCATCGTCGGGTACTACTAGAGTGAACCTTAGCTTTAACAAGTGCAGTATCTGGAGGTTAGGTATCTGCCCAGGCTGGCCAGGTGGGGGGATAAACCGTAAAGTGCGCGGGGCAATTAGTGAGTCGGGGTACATCCCCACCTTATGTAAGTCGGCGAAAGTCAATGAAATTTAATACCTATCAGGTTCTTCTTACATAGGTAGGTACCTACATGTGATTGCTACTTATTACTACTTCACTACAGGTAGTTTGATACTACTTCGGTATAAGTAAATAGGTAGTCTAATACCTATACCACCTGCGATACGGTATACCGGCCCTATACGTGTATCTATCTATATAACGCCAAATCGACAACGAATTACTATAGGCATAGACATACAAACACTCCCCCAGACTTATTATCTTCTCGCCATGGGCGCACAGCAGTCGTCCCATAGAGACCCCGCGGGAAGCGATACCGTTCCTAAGAAGACGGACTACTATGAACTATTAGGAATCCACCACCAAGCTAGCGACGATGAGTAAGTAGATACCGCGTAACAAATGTACATATGAATTACTAAATTCATAATTGATTGTTAGGATCAAGAAGGCATACAGGAAAAAGGCTCTAGAGCTACATCCTGACAGGAATTACGGCGACGTCGAGAACGCTACGCAAAAGTTCGCCGAGGTTCAAGCCGCTTACGAAGTTCTATCTGATCCCCAAGAGCGCGCCTGGTACGACTCTCATCGCGATGCTATACTCCGCGGGGATGATCCGGCCGAGACTGGAGCCGCTCCCGAGTACGACAACGTTCGCATAATCACCGCCGACGAGATTTACACTTTGGTTGGGCGTTTCAACAAGAACGTTCCCCTTGACGATTCGCCGAATAGTTTCTTCACTGTCTTGCGTGAGATGTTCGACAGGATAGCCGAAGGAGAAGATGCGGCTGCAGACTGGGACGGGCTACCTCCAGTCGAGTACCCTTCCTTCGGCGAATCTAAAGACGGCGATAGCGTAGCCAGGGCATTCTATAGCAGGTGGTCCAACTTTTCTACCAAGATGAGCTTTTCCTGGAAGGAAAAATGGCGACTCTCCGATGCTCCGGACCGGAGAGTTCGTCGTCTCATGGAAAAGGAGAATAAAAAATTCCGAGAGGACGCTGCTCGCGATTTCAACGATGCAGTGCGGTCTCTAGTTGCTTTTGTCCGCAAGCGTGACCCCCGTTATGTAGCGAACACGCAGTCTGAGGCTGAGAGGCAAAAGATTTTACGGGATTCGGCTGCAGCGCAAGCCGCCAGGTCGAGAGCTGCGAATCAACAAAAGATGAATGACCAATTCGCCGTTCCTGATTGGGCACGGTCTCGGGACGATGAGTTGCATGAGGGAAGCTTCTCCGAAAGCGACGAGGAATCCGAAGTCGAACATATAGAATGTGTGGTGTGTAACAAGACGTTTAAGAGTGAGAAGCAGTATGAAGCGCACGAGAAGAGTAAGAAACACGTGAAGGCCGTCCAGCAATTACAACGGCAGATGAAAAAGGAGAACGCAAATCTCGATCTAAATCTTGATACCCCCACATCGATGTCGGTGATAGATGACGGCCGTGTAGACGGAGACGTAGATGTCGCCGAAAACAACGAAACAGATAACCCTCATTTAGAAGACGAATCCAACCAGGCAGAAACACCATCCAAAACCAACACCGAGCCTGAGAGCTCAAAAGTCATGACGGCCGACTCGGAAGACGATATCGAAGATGATGAGTATGCGTCAAGAGATGCGGTGGAAGCACGTCTTGTACCAGGGAACTTAGCAGATCCCAACCCCTTACAAGGCGAAGGAGACCCTGTTGATGATATCACGAAGAAAACAGAGGATATATCGCTCCAGAGCAGCGAGCCCACCAAGAAGGTGGGCAAAGCAAAAGCCAAGCGAGAAAAGAAGGCTGCTCGCCAAGCTACTTCGGGGCAACAGGACGATGCTGTAAGTTTGCTACTGCACCGTCAAGTCTGTTAGTTAGTTGCTAACTTGCACAAATAGACATGCGCTGCTTGTCAGAGCCAATTCGATTCTAGAACAAAGCTCTTCAAGCACTTGAAGGAAACAGGACATGCGGCGCCCAAGGCGGTCCCATCCAAGCCCACCAAAAAGCGACGGTAGATGTTTGCTACATAGGCGTTCTGGAAGGTTGTGTCAAATCAACTGGACCACCCTTAAATCTAGTAACGCTACCAAGCATTTCCCCTTCCACTCAAACCCGACTTATTCTACTATCACATGGCCTTCCTTATAAAATACGGGAGGCATTACTAAGATAATACCTATTTCCATCCCCGGTCGCCCAGTATAAGGAATCACAGCTTGCCAAAGTACTGCGGTGGGTGCTCGGATATTTGCACCATCAATAATTATCCCATAGTCCTCCATGTCCCACACCTTAACGCCTGACAATTACCTAGTGGTAGTCTCCTAACCGATCCGATAGCATATTGCGCCTGATATTCGTTTATTACTCCTCAAGAGCCGTGTCGTCATCTTCTTCGTCACTCAGAGTTTGAACGCCATCTATAGCTCCTCCAGCCTCCTCCATCTGTGCGATTGGGTCGTGGTCTGACACGTGAATGATGGCTTTACCCTGGACATGCTTCACGCTTCTCCGCCAATCCTTCCAGTCTTCCTCGTCGCGAATTAGAAATCCTATGAGCATGCTGGGATCCATCTCCTTGACATGTAGCCGCCGTAATTTTCTTGTGTGGCAGGTATTGATTTCTTCCTGCGTATAGTCGCTGGGGTCTTCGTGATAGGGTAAGGCCGGTCGTGTGAAATGCGGATCCAGGTAGAAGAAGTGGAGACCTTGGACGCCGATGAAGTAATGCGATGATGACGGACGTCCGCTACCGCAAGTCAGAAATGGTCTTATTAAATAGAAACATTTATGGGATAAAATAAAACCTACCCAGCAATACCAATCGACTGCGGCATCTGCAAGGATGCTGTAAGAGCTTCCCAATAGACAGGCGTAATCTTGTCAATACCTAGACGTGTGCCAACTAATATCACTGTCGGGTGGAAAGTCGTGCCATCAGGTTTGGCGATCTTCATGAATTTATCTTCGTAGACATCTGGTCCATCTCCCGTTGAATAGACGCGTAACGTCGGCTCGGTCGAATTCGTCAAAGCTCTGGATATTTTTTTTTTAGCCATTCTAATCCCAAACCACTATATTTTTGCTGAATACTGACTGAATGCACCTCGCAGTTGCTGAAGGACCAAACCATTCCCCCGGGTATTTTCCACACGCAGAAGCGCCGTGACGTACGAAGTTATGTATTGAATATGGTGCCCGTGGGTCATCGGCAAATAAAGATAGAATCTTGTTCTCTTCCACGTTCGGCGTATTCCTCCGCCATCCTAGATATGACTTAGGGACAATGCACCGAGGTACAAAGGTATTATAATAATGGATTGACCTACCTCGACCAAGACGATGTACTAGCATGGCGTTGGCCAACAAACTCTGGCCGGATCTGATCATGCAACCCCATCCACTATCCGAGGCGAATCCATTCTGGTCGCTCAGCTGGCTCTTGAGGCGCATGGAGAAAGACAGGGCGGAGAGGGCCTTGGGGTCTTGCGACTTGGCTATGGGGTCGAACTCGGATCGGTAAGTCATCCATATCCTGGATTCGAAATCATCAAGGAATGCGGGAGGCCAACCTCCATCTAGAGGTGCTTCGTCATAAGCGAGATAAGAATCGAAACTGCTAGAGGTAGAGTCGGGAGGAGTCTCTGGGAGTCTAGAAGGAGCTTGTATGACATCTTTAGCTGGTGATTCGGAAGTCGAAGGTGTGTCTTGCTTTGGGCTGGAGTGGTTGCTGGTGCTGTTATTATTGCTATTGTTAAGCTTGTAAGAGGACCCGAGACACCAGACCGGTTGGTCTCGGACAATATCATTAGTCGGTTCAGGGTCCCAAAACAATTGCACGATGCGTCTGCCGATATCGACCGTAGACCCCATGTTGGAATACGTTGACGTTGTGGATGACAGCTCGTTATGGTGGTTTCAGCGACTCCAAAGATACGACCGAGGCGCTTCGGCAAGGATAGCCTTTATCCAGCTGTAGGAAAAGATCGAGCGAATCTAGCGCCACAAGTGGAAACAGAACAAGATAATTTAAGGCAAATACAATGCTACGTTAGAGTTGTTAGGGGATATTGACTGGAAAGCGGTCCCATCAAAACAAAAGTTGGCTCGAATGGACGAGGAGAGAAGAGGTTAAGAGCGAGAGATAGACGATTATGCTGATGGAAGGGGTGGGGAGGGATGAAGGCTGGGATGGATCATGGATTAGACCAGTATAGCGCTTTCGAATGTCAGAAGCGCCACCATTCACGTAAAAAAAAAACAAAATGTTAGAGACGCGATATTATTTAATTGGGATAAAAAAACCATAAGAAAAGAAGTATAATTGTTGTAGCTTCAAAAAATGATGAAGTGGAAACTTGGTATCTTTGGAGACTGGGAACTTGGAAGTTGGAAGCTTGTCGGTGGCTTGTTCTTGTCAGCCAAGTCATACGGTCAGACGGCAAGGCAAACCCTGGTCGCTAAACCTTGTATTGGCCTTGTAATCGTATTGTACAATACAATACTGTACCTGTTGTACTGGCTACCTATAAGCGGGGCGAGGGGGCTTTGGGGAATGAACGATGGTGCCTTGTGACAAGAGCATGGGGATGCTTATCGATAAAACCTATTATCTATGATGATGCACCAATTACAGAGTTGACAGAGTTATGTTGACTGCATGAGATATATGTACATTAGGTACCCAGTAGGTATATACACTACAAATGTACTTGTTATATTATGTAACTTACTACATGTAGTTCGCAGCTCCCCAAATTTACAGGTATTACGAATTATTTATCACTACCTAAGGAAGTACTTAAGTTAGCACTCGCCGTTCACCATTCGTTTGTAGCAAATGACTTGACTAACTAGAGGTCCAGCATTTCCAACACCTTCCTGTAAAACCTACTTCTTACACTAACTACCGCCTTGTTCGAGTTATAAGGAGATCCTCAATTCCGTGTTGAGTACCTGTTAAAAGTCACCTATTGGTTTCAGACATGCTCTGGTCCACATTATCGTCATCAGAAAGTTGCCCGTTCTCTTTCATCCTAACTTAACTTCAACTCTTGTTCTCTTTCTCTCCCTCTTTTTCATCTCGCCCGATTTTTCAGCTTTCTTATTACATCCCATATCAAGGTCATCATCTACTATCAATCCTTACTATGGCGAAACACAAAAGAGGCGGTGCTGGCCCTAAGTTCAAGGGTCAGCGGTTCCCTCATCGTAAAAACCCTTCATTTGCGAATCGCTTAGGAGAGTATGGCGGTAACAATCCATCACCAGGCTTCCAAAGCTTTGTGCGACCCCACGGTATCTATCCTGCCCCGGATCTCTTTGGAACTTGAATTTTAGATCTAATACTACTACTTCAGGCTACACGCTTGCCGACGAGGCTAGGAACACGGCAAACAATCGCCGCGGCGCTCGTGGCAATGACGCAAAACTGAGATATAAGCCTGTTACGTTTATTAGTGCTGGTTTCATGGATCCGCTTGAGGATCTCAACGTACAACTTACCACTTCGAATAAACCGCGAGAAAGCATAAGTCTTGCAGAACAGATCCCTATCGCTGCATCTCCTGTAGTAGATATTAGCCTATCTGAGGACCGCATTTCGCCTTCTCCTGATGAAGTGCCATCCCGCGTCACACAACTGCCTTCCACATCACATTCGCATATTGATCCGAGCAAGACTTCAACGAAGGATCATAGGCGCCCTGCAGATCCTGAATCCGAGCATGATGGAGAATCCAGCGAAGAAGTTATATTGTTTAAAGGCAGAGATCGTGTTCGCAAAGAGCCAATCTCTCCAGGAGTCAAAAATGAGACTGACGTCGACTCTTTGAAGCTACACGAATTAGGCATAGAGCTAGAGCAAGTCATCGAGGAGACCATTCACCCAGAACCAGCGAAAACAAGCCATGTAGTGAAAGATGACTACATACCTCTGAAAGGCAAGCCAAAGACCCGTAGCCGACAGCGTAAAGCAAATCAAAGCGCTACATCGGATGAAGAAGCCGCTATCATTGCGGATTACATGGCTAATATCAAGGATTGGGGAGTGGGAGAAGAAGAAGAAGATGATGATGATGAAGACCAACATTTAGGAATCGGGTCTTATGGTTTTAGCGTACTGAGAGATCTCGGTGGCACTGATAGCGACGCTATTCCCGACGAAGTCTCAAGTGAAGCCGATACGGATGGCGTCTCAGAAGACGTGGAAGGTGAAACCGACGAGGAAACCCGTCGACGTCACCTTGAAGCTAAGGACGAACGCATAGCACGTGTGCTTGCTAAACAAGAAGAGCTAGGTATTGACGGTGATGATGTATTGCTTTTCGACGGGGAAGCTTCAGATGAATGGGTGGCATCTCATCCTGTCCCACGTCGCAAAAGGAAGGGCAATTCAAAAGCTAAAATCATCCAAAAGAAAGGTCAATATCCAAGTGCAACACAGATGGCGGATGCATTTGATGAGTTAGATCTTATGGATTGGCATCGACCCAGTCTCAACAACATTAAGAAGGGATTACCAACATTCGACCTATCAGACTCTGAATTGGAAGAGGCTATGAGATTAACCCATCAGCGGGACCGCCTTAAGAAGGCAGAGAAGAAGAGAGCACGCGAAGAACTACGATCGCAAGGCCTACTTGGGAAGAATGCCAATCCCAACGACCTTCGAATTAAGTACCTTGGGGGTATGTCGCTAGATGATCTTGCTAACGAACTTGAGGTTTTTCTCCTTAGTTTTAAAGAGCAGTAAGTCGTGATAGTCCCGTCGATCATTCAAAGCATGAAGCTATGCTAACTTTATCCAGACTTATCCTACCGCCATTCGACAGGGACACCCGTAAAACAGTCCACGCCTTGGCCAACAAGTTCAAGATTAAATCGCAGTCCGCAGGTAAAGGCAAGGATAGATACCCAGTCCTTTATCGCTGCAAGGCCACGCTCCCGTTTGACCGAGTCACATTTGACAGGACATTCGGTCGTGTTAGGCAAACCTGGTTCCCTCGTGTCGACGCCAACCCGAAATTGGTGGACGAAACCAGAATTCTTAAGCGAGCCGAAGCCCGAAGCGGCAAGTCGCGCTTCAAGAGCTCCCTAACTTATCGCGAAGGAGATATTGTCGGACAAAATGCTGTTGAAATAGGCTCAGAAAATAAGGGTAGGACGATGTTGGAGAAAATGGGTTGGTCCAAGGGCATGGCCCTGGGAAGTGAAGAGAATAAGGGTATTATGGTGCCTATTACGCATGTGGTCAAGAAATCCAAAGCCGGACTTGGAGATGCCTAAAAAGGAGTGTATTCACTGGTATTTGGCCGATTGTAAATTTACAAACAGAACATTACATTACGGGGCTAGGGCATTGATGGCGCATACTATTCTTACGCGTATTGGGATGTTAGACATGCGTGGCTATCCAAGCAACAGAGCTTAGAATTCAACTTTTCATCCTTTCCATCGGAAACTAGGATGTAGGTTAGCTATATATTGAAGTGCAAACGAGACAAGTGGTTAAATAAATACCATGAAAAGCCTAATAGACCCAAACGGAACCCCGTCCTGGTTGTCTGATAAAGCAGTCTTGGGGTTTAAACCTTCTTCATTCGATAACCATCTATAGTATATTGTGGCGGACCCGAAGATGTGTCCAGTTTGTACCGTATGAAATATTATACGGGGCTGGCAGTATGTATTAGGTCGCAAGAGGAACCAAGCTGAATTTAAGCAAACACGGACAGTTAAATCAAGGTGTTATACGTGTTCGAACGCAGGCCAGACCTCTAACTGCCCCGCACATCACCCAACCAGATATGCCGACAAATTATCTTACAAAACACACAAAACCAATCAAGACAATATGGGATGGGAAGACCTTTAGTATTAGCATTATTCACGATGTTTAAAGATGAAACTCAGGGCGTTTGTTCATATGCAGATTCATTCCGAAACCCTATCGGGAAAGAGTATTGTACAACCGCAAACCCCAGACCGTGTTGTGCGAAGACATTGCCCCCTTAGTAAAAAGCAAACCATCCGTAACGCATTATTGAGACTCCCGTATGTGGGGACATGATGAAAAACCAAGTTTTGGCTGAGTGAGTCTCGTTCATGATGCCAAATCAGAAAAAAGTCCCATGCCCAAAAGAGAAACCAGACGCAGAAAACCAAGCACTTATTTCGTGGATGACGAGTACTTGGTGACCGCCTTAGTTCCTTCAGAGACGGCGTGCTTCGCAAGCTCACCAGGGAGAATCAGACGGACTGAGGTCTGAATTTCTCGGGAGGAGATGGTGGACTTCTTGTTGTAGGCAGCAAGTTTGGAGGCTTCGGTTGCAACTCGCTCGAAGATATCTGAAATGTCGTTAATACAAATAAATCTTCCACATTCACGCGTCAAGCACGTAGATGATTTGACATACCATTGACGAACGAGTTTAAGATAGACATGGCACGGTTGGAGATACCAGTGTCGGGGTGGACCTGCTTGAGAACTAGTATAAGTTAGCAATTGACCTGATTGATAAGGGCTGCGACGCGTCGGAATACTCCAAGTCGCGTCTAAATCCAGATTGAGGATGCAACTTACCCTTGTAGATGTATGACGAGTATGTCTCCTTGCGGGCCTTGGTGCGCTTCTTCTTCTCGCCAGTAGCGGCGGTCTTCTTGCCGGCATCCTTCTTTTCGGGGGCCTTCTGAGCGGTAGCCGGGGCCTTGGAGGCGGGCTTCTTGTCGGCAGCTTTGGGAGGCATGTTGGATGATTAGAGAATAAAAATCGAAAATGGGGTATAAGTTGGTATGTTGAGTGAAATGTAAAGATCGGAACGAATCCAAATATTTGTTGTGCTGGCAGAAGTTAGAGATGGAAGATGGAGAAGAAGTCAAGAGATGTTCGACGGAGAAAAGGTGGTGGGTGGGAGGTCCTTTTGTATTGGCCCCGGGCGCTAGCGTGATTACTGATTTGATCCTCGTCAGGTTGGACTGATTGATCTTGCCTTGTACTACGCGGTCGCACGTAAAAAAAAAAAAAAAAAAAAGAGGTACGCTCCAGAAAGTACATCCCTGGGGAGCGGTGTCTAGGTACATTAGTGGTATCTGCCCCACTTTCTACAAGGTAACGCCAGTAAACGCGATAGAAACCGTTACGCGTTTTCCTACGCATAGGCCATAATGATAACAGTGTTAAGTGAATAAAAAGAAAACCCCTCTAGCCCGGCATTTTTTTTAGCAGTTTGTACTTTGAATCAGACATGGATAAGTCCATTCCCCAAAACAAATGACGAAAGAGGAAATGGTTTGAATAATTGATATAAGCTCCAACCAATCAGATAATTTAGATACTTTCGAATTTTAGCTTTTATCTACCTCTCATAGCTACGCAACACAAGTACCTTTTATCAATTATCATCCATCTGCCGCAGCTCGTCTCCCCCCTCCCCCCCACAACTCCGTACCGGCTGCTAGCTGTCCGCATAGCGCCATGTAAGGACTACATCCTATCAGATCGGTATAGATTCACGGAGCTCGACGCCTTCAGATCGGTCACATGCACAGTATTCGGCAAGGTCGAACAGTCCACATAAACCCGTAGCTCCGGATTACAAATTGAATCCGAATCGTGGTCACGATACTCCGAACTCACCTAATTCAAAGCCCGAGCCCCGTTATATCTCGGTCAAACTGGAGCTCTAGAAGCTGTCCGGGCCTCCGTAAATACGGTAAGCGTCGGATCCGATTCTGCTATGGTTACGGGCCCCAGTTCACTACAAAATTTTGAAGCTATAATAGAAAAATGGCATATATTAAACCCATGTACGTATAAACATAAGACATACATAGGCCAACTTTATTCTATATAAACGTACCAAATTTCATAGGGGGGGAAATTCCCCAAAGTTGACAACCCAGCTAAAGTTTAAGATATAAAATGGTAAACTTAGTATGAAATTGAAAAGGGGTAAGAAGAGCTAAACGGATCAGCTACATAGCAGTTATTTTGCAACGTAAAGGCGACGACGATAATAATAATGCGGTTGATTTAAGAAACGAAATAGAACGGATGAAGCAAAAGGCTAAACAAAATGGTGACCAAAGTGTGCACACTCGCATTTTCTAACCGGAATTTGATCCGCAAAGCGCAAAGCTCCAAGGAGGGAAACTTAAAAATGATAATCAGACGAAATTAATGGAGGGCATTCCAAGGGGTAAGGCGCGTATTTTACCTTTGGATACCGGTCAAAAAGTCAAAAAGTTGCGAGATCTCATGTAAGTAACATCATTTGGTAGCGTGGGTTATGATTGGGTCAATGGCAAAATAGTGATTTAATTGATTTATTATTCGACGGCCCTGAATGGGACTAGCGGAGCCCTGCTTTTTCCAGTGTTCCTTCCTTGCATTATTTTTCTACCGAACCCGCAGCTCCCCCGAAATTCAGCCCAATGCGGACTAGGCGCACAATCCACTCTATTTTCTGGTGATCAGTGATTCTGATTTCCAGGACGCGACTAACAATACTTAAGCAGCTCTCCCCCCACCACCATTCAACTTCTTCCTCTACTTTTCCATCTCTTCGTATCAACTTCATCACCCACAATAAAAGTATTTGTCTTCGCCCTCATACGCTTTTAGAAAGCATCAGTCCATCGCGACCTACATTTACCAAGTTATTCCCAAACTTTTCAAATCCAAACCCTCATCAAAATGACTGGAGGCAAGTCCGGCGGCAAGGCCAGCGGTTCCAAGAACGCGCAATCGTGAGTTTTCCCGCTACCTTTCCAATTACAACGCGCCTGGGTTGGGTTTTCGATCCAAAATAGACGCGTCAATTGCCAACATTTACCGGGATAACATTTTATCTAACATGTTTCACCTAGACGATCTTCCAAGGCCGGTTTGGCTTTCCCCGTCGGTCGTGTTCACCGTCTCCTCCGCAAGGGCAACTATGCCCAGCGTGTTGGTGCTGGTGCTCCCGTCTACCTTGCTGCCGTTCTTGAGTACCTTGCTGCCGAAATTCTCGAGTTGGCTGGCAACGCCGCCCGCGACAACAAGAAGACCCGTATCATTCCCCGACATCTGCAACTCGCCATCCGAAACGACGAGGAGTTGAACAAGCTTCTCGGCCACGTCACCATCGCCCAGGGTGGTGTTCTACCCAACATCCACCAGAGTATGTTCTATCTCCCTGCTACTTTACCGAACATTTTATATCTGACATTGTACCTTCAGACCTGCTCCCCAAGAAGACGGGCAAGCCTGGCAAGAACGCCAGCCAAAGCCAAGAATTGTAATTTGGCATCGTTTTCTGTTTTCTGATTGGTCGTTTGGGACGTTTCATGAACCATGGGGTCACGGCAGGGCACGGTTTTGCTTTTATGCGTTAAGGGCTGTACATTACAGGCACAATCCATCGAGTAATGGACATGAATGAGAATATTTTCTGAACAATAATAACCTAAGTTTTTCCAATGCCTTGTCCTAATTGATTTTAATTTGATGTCCATTGCTTCGTGACGTAGTATTCCAAACTAAGTCGTCTATTATGCTTATACAACTTCTGCATTCTATTTCTCGCTTATCTTCGCCTTGCAAGAATTCCCACCTTTGATATTTGAAGTTTTGGGTAATTCCAGGTACTTTGAATTCATGAATCTTTTTTTTAGTGTCTAAAACTCCCGTATATTACAGGTTCTATGTACAGATCGGCAATGACCCATTCCCTTGCCAGTTCTGTTGCCATTAAAATCTCAGCGGCGGTGGAGCTGTTAGGCATGTTAGCATAATTTCAAAGACATCCAAACGAAATGTGTATGATCTTACGGTCAGTGTTGTGTACTGGCAAGTTTCTCTCATATTTGGATCCTGAGTAAATGATTAGCATTGCAAAGTCCATGTCGCGGGCCATCTCTCAATTCGCAGCCTACCTCCTGGTGCTGTAGGTGGGCGATATGGATCGGGGTGCTTCCACGTCTCTAACAGTTTCTCTGTTTCGCTGAGCAATGCCTGTAATATCGAGCGGTCAATCGGTATGTCTTTTCCCCATAGTGACTGCAAGAGACACCCATACCCTTTGTTTCCTGACGTCCGTGACATTTCGGTTCGCTTCGAAGAGGGATCGGATATAAAGAGCTTGGCCGCGCCATAAGCTTCGATGCACAGCCCAGTCAAGAGCCAGCTTTAACGAGCGGCGGTAAAGCGACCTTGGGCACGATTTTATTAGCGCATAGACAATATGAACGGTACTCAATTGGCCTTACAGCGCAGCTTGTCGGTTCGACATAGTGAGGTCTTTTACTCGTCGTTGTGATAGGTGCGATGTGCGCGGCCCGGTTCATCAGCAAGCTGCTGCGGCCAGGAGTTCCAGCTGCACCAAAGCTTGCGTCTACGATATATTCTCCAGGGAGAAGAGGGAGTGGGAAGCTTCAACGGCGCAGTCGGCGGGATGGTGTTGTGCCCGTGTTTTCAACCTGAAATTGTTGGAAATCCCACGCAGTTAATTGGAACTTCCCAAACTCCCCCAAATGGAGGTAAGGTAGCCAAGGTCTCCACATCCATTATCGGAGCCGGGATGACGTTTATCCTCTCTCTATTCTTGCGTCTTTTGGGACCTATGATTACGTCCAGATCCACTTCTACGGATTGCTAGGTACAGATTATGTCTAGTGGTTTTTTACATGTGCGAATTATGAGGTAAGTACCTCAATTACGCCACAGTACATACATGTACCTTTTCTGCCGCTTTTTGTCCCTTCCAGCAGGGGGGTTAGCAGCTCAGCAGGTTGTTTTTAGCAAGTACCTACATGACCTACATGTAGGTAGCCAGGTAGCAGTTAGATGTCCAGACTCCACAGAAATACCTATATGTTAGCTGTGTAATGGGTGAGTACCTATTGAACCTAACATTTCCGATGCGCAAAATAACCTAGGTCCTGGCAAGTGCTCCGTACAATTCCATGATTTGAGGGAACCGCGACGGAAAAAAAGGACCACAGCTTTGCCGGAAACATGGGAGCAGCGGATCGTGTCTGAAATTTTTTGGGACCTTCTCCTAAATTCAAAACCGAGAGATAGCGATTAAATAACACACCTTATTGAATTCTTGTCATTGCAGGCTTCGGCAGCTGATAAAGAAATAAAAATAAAAATAAAAACTTAGCTATTCCTACTTCCCACTTCCCACTGGGTGTCCCAGTCCTTACTTTCTAATTTAACCTCTTCCTTGTCACCTCCGTATCTACCAAACATCTCCCGGCTACACCCGTCCTCCCGCTCGAGCTGTAACCCACCGTTCAAGATGATGTCGAGACGGCTTCAAACCGCCGCGCGTGTCCTGCGCCGGCCGATGCAGCAGCAACCTTTACGAGGAACTATTCCTCTGCCGCTACTCATGACGCAAGTTCGCACCTACGCCCAAACCATCGTTAAAGTCCCACAGATGGCAGAATCAATTACCGAGGGTACATTAAAACAATGGAACAAGAAAGTCGGTGACTACGTCGAGCAGGACGAAGAGATTGCTACCATTGAAACCGACAAGGTAATTGAAAATCCTACGCCCGTCTTATATCTGCTGTAGTGCGGACATTCTAATATATACTTTTGTAGATTGATGTCGCCGTCAACGCCCCCGAATCTGGAGTTTTAAAAGAACTGCTTGCCAATGAAGAAGATACTGTGACCGTCGACCAGGAGATCGCAAAGATCGAGGCCGGCGCAGCGCCCGAGGGTGGTGCAAAGTCTGAGGAGCCGCCGAAGAAGGAGGCGGCCACAACTGAGTCACGCCCGGCGCCTTCGGAGGGAGAGAGCAAGCCTGAGCCAAAGTCGGAACAATCTAAGCCACAGCCGCCCGCGGCAACACCTAAGGAGCCCGCACCGAAACAGCCTCAACCAGCAAAGGACACTTCGGCCAGCGTTGGACCCGTCCTGGGAAGCCGGGAGGAGCGCCGTGTCAAGATGAACCGCATGCGACTTCGTATTGCTGAGCGCCTAAAGCAATCACAGAACACTGCTGCATCTCTGACGACTTTCAACGAAGTTGACATGTCGTCACTGATGGAGTTCCGCAAGCTCTACAAGGAAGAGGTGCTCAAGAAGACTGGTGTGAAACTTGGTTTCATGAGCGCATTCTCTCGTGCGAGTGTTCTGGCGATGCGGGATATCCCTGCTGTCAACGCCTCTATCGAGGGAGAGAACGGTGGCGACACTATTGTATACCGCGATTACGTCGACATCAGCGTGGCTGTTGCCACTGAGAAGGGTCTGGTCACTCCGGTTGTCCGTAACGCCGAATCTATGGATATGGTTGGTATCGAGAAGGCTATTGCGGATATGGGTAGAAAGGCGCGGGATGGTAAGCTTACGATTGAGGACATGGCTGGCGGTACATTCACCATCAGCAACGGAGGTGTGTTTGGCTCTCTCATGGGCACCCCCATTATCAACCTGCCACAGAGTGCTGTGCTAGGCCTTCACGCCATCAAGGACAGGGCCGTTGCAGTAAATGGGAAGGTTGAGGTCCGACCCATGATGTACCTCGCCCTGACTTACGACCACCGTTTGCTAGACGGCAGGGAAGCTGTCCAGTTCTTGGTTAAGGTCAAGGAATATATCGAGGATCCCCGCAAGATGCTCTTGGGCTAATTTCGATGGATGCGTGGAGAGGTTTATCAATTTATTACTGTAAACAGGTTACATCATCGGTAGAGTGTATAGTATAGCGGTCATCCTGTCGGTATGCTCGTGGAGGTACCTTCGAATAAATATCTTTGAATAGGCAACGTTGTAAATTACACGCCCTTGCTCGGTTGTTGATGCTGAATGTGGATCTCCTGCTAGCTAGCTACTCAACTTGTCTTTGTAGATGAATAGATAGATGGATAAGCTGCGTGACTTGATAATAATATAAATAGGTGGTGGAAGGGTTAATAGGCCTCGCAATTTCAAATTTGTCTTTTATAGGGGATATCTTTGCTTCGTGATTTTCCACTTGACTTTTATATATAACTAGTAACTAGAACGAGTTTTAAGGTGCTGGAAGTAGATAGACTATAGTAGTTGGCTATGCTACCAAGAGCATGGTTATGGGACAGATCTAGGACTTACCATTTAATAAGTTCTGGGAGGAAATTTAGCGATAGGCATACGGACTGCACGTAAATAGATTAAAAATATACGCAAGGATAATGATCTGAAAGTAGCTGCTAGCTAGAAACAAGAAACATATCAAGTCTTGAATTGGTCACTCCAGATACTTCACCCAACTCTCAAGCGATATGTGCCTAGTCCAAACTGATAGAGACCCGTCTCTCAAATAAAAACAGGTGGACTAGAGGGTATTTCTATAGGTTTGGGAGACATGCTATAGATGTAACTATCACGAGAAATACAAAACACCCAAGGTGGCAACTTTACCAGCCATAAATCCATCGTGTTTTATAATCCGCATACGGTCTCTCGACAATCTACCTATGTACTGTTGCCCAATAGCGAAGGAAATACTACCTCTATAGAACTATCGGCCGCGTTAGCAATCACGGCAATATATTCAGGCTACTATAGCAAGCCGCTTACTTATATGGTGTAATCTGCAGTATTAGAATGGCCCGATCAAGTTGTTCTTAATCGTACCCCTAATCAACCAATAAGTGATCAACCATCTATAGCATATTAACAGTGCCAGGAATAATGTGCCTAGCATGTACTCGGGACTGCTGTATCGTCCCTAGTCTTGTAAAGCTGGCAAGCAAGCTAATCCCTATGCCAACAGCCCCTTGCGGATCCGAGAAATCCTTATAGGTGGAGATAGAACATGTTGCCGTGTAGGTATTTTTACGAATTGTCAACGAGGTGAAAGATTTAGGGATGAAGACCTTCGTTAATTGTAGTAAGAACCTGTCCCGAGGTAGACCAGAATGTGGATAAACAACTTCGTTGTTCCGCAAGGAACTCTAACCAAGGTAGGTCCGTGAGCCAGAGCTATGGTACATACAATTATACGCTTTGTATTTCCTGCACAAACACATCCTTAGTCTTCTCATGTCTGACATAACCTTATGGGCCAGAAAGCCTGGAATACGCCACGGAGTCTCTGACATGCTGAACATCATTGATACGTGGTTTCAGGAGAGGTATTCAGCTGGATTAGGTGCCTACCTAAGGGATATGGGTTGTGCCGTATACTCAGTAATGTTCCTAGCAAACCAACCATGGGATAGACGAGGAATTGCCTCTATGGAAAGGATTGCTCAACTTCATCTTATACCCAGCTTTAAAATCTACACAGGGCTAGAAGAGAAACCCAACATCACAGCTCGCTGACTATTGCCACTGAATAATCCAATGTCTGCTGCTCGACATCTCCATCACTAACATTATCAACACCTTCATGAACAACCTGTCGTCATGAAACATATCAATCTAAGATCCTTTGATACCTACCTAGGTATCAGGTATCTAGGTAGTCGAGATGGAATTAACTCGCACGAATATACCTACATACTCCAATAGACAATATCGAAATGCTATAGGCGGCGTGTTTGAGATATTAGCAACTTAATGGAGCTAAGTACCTAGCGTAATATAGTATGATGAAATTCGATATTGGTATATTATTCTACTTGCTGTGTTTGACTCTAGCTCATTCCACTCATGGTATAAGAGATCTATTCATAGAGACCGAAAGCCCGGCAGAAAACCGCCCCGGGGCAATAGTACGGCCATGGCGGAACTGGATCTGTGCCTTGCTCCTGTGATTTAAGGACGATAGATCATGTCCTCACGATCAGGACCAGTGCCGATCCATTTAATCTATTATTCTGTCAGCACTCTTTCTTCCAGATCCAGCAGGACATTGATGATGCTAACCTTGGTTTGGAGGAAGTTCTCGATGTACTCGATGTAATCTCGTGCCTCCTTAGGAAGTCCTGACCACTCACGTATCTTCGTAATGCTAGTGTTCCAACCAGGGAGTTCGTGATATACAACTTCGATATCGTCAAGGGCTGACAAGTCAGCGGGGAATGAAGGCAACTCTTCCCCGGTCTTCTTGTTTTTATATGCGATTGCCACCTTGATCTTATCGAACGTGTCTAGGACATCAAGTTTACTCAATTGCAGCGAGTCATAGTCATTGACTGCACAAGAGTATTTCAAGACAACAAGATCCAGCCAGCCGCACTGATAATCACGTTAGTCATCGCGAACCCCCCAAAAAACACGGGTAATAGGATTTCAGCCGTAGGGAATGCGCCTGTTCCAAAACAAGTACATGAATTGCTTACTCTTCGCTTCCGGCCCGTGGAGACGCCAATTTCACCACCTAATTGCTGAAGCTTTGAACCAACATCACCGGTATCTTCGGTTGGGAAATTTCCGGAACCAACCCTGGTGGTGTAACTATTGCCAATCAGTCATAACATCCCTTGAATCCCCCAACAGCAATGGGGAGGTTGGAGTTGGGGTTTTGTGTTCACTCACGCCTTAACAACACCGATGACTTCCTTAATATTTCTTCGCTTAAGCGCGAGGCCTGATATAATACCACCTAGACATGTGTTGGAGCTGGTGACATAAGGATAAGTACCGTAGTCTAAATCGAGCATCAGGGCTTGGCTACCCTCGACAAATATCTTGGCGTTCTTATCCTGAGCATCCTTCATGAAGGCAACAGCGTCAATGACGTAGCTAGCGAGCTTGACGCGATACTCCTTAAAGCGTTCAATCTCCTCTTCAACGTTATATTTCAAAAGATCACCGTAACGCTTTTTATATCCGGCAGCTAGCTGTCGCAGTTTGCGTTCGAAGAGCTCCACGTTGTACATCTCCGCAATACGTATACCGCTTCGTGCTGCCTTGGTGCTGTAACAGGGACCGATTCCTCGCTTCGTAGTACCGACCGCATTAGAACCTAATTCGATTTCTTCAAGCCCATCAACGGCAGCATGCAAATCGAAGTTGATGTGGCATCGGTCGGAGACGAAGAGGCGTTGACTGGCATCTTTGATGCCTTTCGCCTCTATGTCGGCAAGTTCCTTGAAGAAAGAGGGAACGTGGAAGACGACAGCAGATCCGATCAGATTGATACATTTAGGCGAAACGAGACCGGACGGGAGCAGGTGAAAGTCATAAGATATTCCCTTAGCCTTAATAGAGTGTCCTGCATTGTGACCGCCCTGGAGAGAGGTACGTATTAGCCATGTAGGAGTAAAGAGGGAGCAAGGTCGAGAACATAGCCGGCATAAGATGCTCCCTGCTTGTCACGCACTGTAAAGCGCTGAGACAGATGGACCAACTTACAGCGGCACGGGCACAGATTTGGGCCTCAGCGCAAAGAATATCCGTCAGCTTACCCTTGCCCTCGTCGCCCCATTGGCTTCCAAGGCATATTGTAACGGAGGAAGAAGACATGTTGACCGAGAGAGACAATTCGGGGAAGGGAGAAAGGCTCGGAGAAGGACGTGCCGAAGTTCAATAACGCCGTGAAGGAAAGACGAACGGCCGAGATAAAGATCGGAGTTTTCACCCTTACATTACGTGCGTGATTAACTGAGATTTAAAATTTTTAAAACTGGCCCGGGATCGGGAACCGTAATAAAGCGCGATTTATTCGAATAAATATTAAAATTTGTTAAAAAAATATAAAAAGTTTAAAGGAAATTAAGAAATTAAGAAATTAAGAAATTAAGAAATTAAGAAATTAAGAAATTAAGAAATTAAGAAATTAAGAAATTAAGAAATTAAGAAATTAAGAAATTAA